GATAGATAGATAGATAGATAGATAGATAGATAGATAGATAGATAGATAGATAGATAGATAGATAGATAGATAGATAGATAGATAGATAGATAGATAGATAGATAGATAGATAGATAGATAGATAGATAGATCCACAGGATGGATGATTTTGTGACATTTTGTCAGGCTTCTCACACCATACACCTATGTACCTACTGTACGTGACACTATCATGCCCTTTCCACTTGCGAACCCATCGTCATTTTCTTTTTTTGGGGGGGCAGGAGAAGAAGAAGAAGAAGATGGCAATAACAACCGAACTGCTAATGCGGACAGTGGTACGAACCATACATCAGGCAGAGCCATCCATTTTACAATATGATGTTCCGATACCGTACAATAAGTTCCAACAATACACCAACTGAACCATGATGCTCTCTCTCCTACATGAAATTATAATCTTGCATTTCTACCAATAGACCATTCCTTTTTATTCATTACATTCGTTTTTATTTATTTTGTAATGATAAGCATCCTATATATATGTATAAGTTATATAATATATCTTAGTATTTCGAAATGTAGAAAAAGGCAAAACACTCTTTCTGTGTGTCAGTCCCAATAGTAAAAACAGACTGCATCACCCAACTCAGCCTTCCCAAGAATAATAAGGTTCACTCGTAGTATGAGTAGATAGTAATTCTCTCGAGGCGAGAAAAAAAAAGGCCAATCCATGCATTTTGAAATTTAAAAAAAAAGGTAGACAAGTGACATGTCATTTGAGCTTTCACACATTGAACTCATGCATGAACGGGAATGAGCAATGCCTTGCGGTTGCTGTTCGCAGTACTAGCTTGGTGTTTGGCATTGTTGGTCTGGGCAGCATCCTTGGCAGCAGCCTTAATGGCATCTTCTCCGTATTGCGCCAACAAGGCAGCAAGAGTAGCAGCCGCCAATGGCAAATTTTGTGTTTTTTGTGTCGTGACGGGTGGCGATTGTGGGACAATGCTTTCCGAACTTGGGAGGGCCTCTTGGATTTCCTTGGGAGCCGTGACTGCTTGAATCAATCGATTGACAATCAATTCCTGCACTTGCAAGGGCAAAGTGGCCAAGGCGTCGGACAGCTTGGCCATGAGTTCCGGACTGGCTCTTTGTGAAGAGTTGGTCTTGGGAGTGGCCATGCTACTTGTGTCTTCAAAGTCAAAGTGTTCCGTCTTGAATGCCGTAAAGAGTTGATCGACAAAGGTGTCATCCGACAGATCCGATGGCGTTTCACTGGCAGTCAGTGTTGGATGCATCGGAGAAGGAATGGATGGCGGCGCAAAGTTGTCCACCTCCATGTTGGAACCGCCAAACGATTGCGGAATATCGGGAAGCGGAGGCATCGAATCCTCCACCTTGGTACGCTTGTTGTTATTATTGACAACAGTGGGAGTAGCAGTCGTGGGTGTTTGCTGCTGTTGGAGAGAGACCTTTTGCACAAGGTTAGTCAACTCATCAATGTTCTTCGTCATTTGTTCCAGCTTGGTCTTGAGTTGGGTGACTTCCGACTTGAGAGCGGTATTTTCCTTGTCGACTTGGGCGGTGGCAGTAACAGTTTTCTTGGTAGTGGTGGTCGTGGTCCCCTTTTGCCCATTCATTCGCTTGATCTCTTGCAAGAGTTCTGGCTTGCCCCGTTGGAACTTTTCGTGGCGGAATCTCCAATAATTGGCTGTTTCGGCCTCTAGTTTCGGGTCAATGCGAATCGTATCCGCATACTTGATCTTGCGAAAGGCATAAAAGTTGAGTTGCTGCGTGAAGAGTAAGAGAGGAGGAGGAGGAGGTAGAGCAAGCATTGGGTTAGCATGGTGCTTTCATTTGATTCAAAGTCAAGTCAAGTCAAGTCATTTCAAACGTGGCATTGCATTGCATTGCATTGCATTGGTAAGACAAAGACTCACCCGCACAAAGGAACTAAACTTGGAATGCTTGAAGAATTGCGGAATGATTTGCTTTTCAAACTTTTCAGGGTTCTTGACCACAAAGGTTTCCCCATCGTCGGACCAGCAAGCCACCGTGGGATCGCAAGTATCCACCATGTGGTAGGTTTCTATTTGATTGATTTGATTTGATTTCGAATGACACATCAAGAATGACAAAAAGAGAGAGGAACAAGTGAGTCATTGAGGCGATTGCAAGGCACAAAGTTGATACCAGTCATCATTATTGTCATTGTCTAAAGCTTGAAGACCATACACAAGTGCAATAGCCTTGCATCCAAGCCAAATACCCGACACCATGTCTCGGATGTTCGGTAATGATTTGGCTTTTGTAGACAGGAATGAAGACTTTCTGGTACATTTTGTACGTAGATTCTACGTAACGGCTAGACTCACTTCGGAGAAAGATGGGAATGTCCTGAGCTTGATCCGAAAGCAAGGCTGCGGGTGCTGCCTTGCTTAAACCAGGCGCTGATACGACGTTGGAAGGGGTTGCATCAGGTCTAGGAGGTAATGCTACTGCTGTTGTCATGATTGTTGCTTTCGTTTTCGTTGTCGCTGTCGTGTTTGTCTATATCGGCTTTTGATTCTCGTTGTCCCTGTCGCTGCAATCAAGGATCCGATAACTTTGGGCTTGCTTGGGATATTTTGAAAGCAACAGTCTAACCAATCAAATCGAACGCTGGAACTCCCTGGAAGTGCGTACCTTTTCACGTAGAAAGTCTGAATCATTGCCTGCTTCCGTGCAACGCTACCAGATCATGTCTGTCCATCTACCCTCTAGGCGACCGAATTCCATGTGCAAAAGTCCGTGTGAACCATTTTGAATTCCCTTTTCGCATTGAAATCACGTAGAGAAAGTAAGTCACACTCAGTGCGCGGGTTTGCCAAAACGGAATCCAAACCCACTTTTCAGTCGCGCCTCTCGCCAAATTTATTTTGACATCTGGCAAAATCTCAAAATTCCTATCCCCGTCTGACTGTGACTGTGATGACACCCCACGCACGACCTGCGTAAGTAACCATACATACCGGTATATTCTTTTTCCTTACCTGCTGTTTGGTTCGGGTTTTTTTTTCCATTGAGAGAGAAGCGAACGTGTATCATGATCGGAATTCGGAATGAATGGAATGTCTAATGCCAGCTACCACATGATGGACCGCACACGTACTTATATGTCTACTTTGTTTCGCCGTGAAAATGAATGAATGACAGATGTCTCGTTGACACACGATGAGCCATTGAAAGAATTTTTAAAATCTTGAGTCAGTCAGTCGCCCTTTCTATTCTATTGATTATCATACCCCGGTATTACAATATAGTAAACGGGGCTGAAGGTAAAACCCCTGGAATTCCAATCCCCATTTGGGAAAGGCATGATGGTATCATACCGGTAGGTACTGTATATCCAGGCCTTATTGTGCTACTGTTCACTACGCAATATTCAATCAAACAATCAATCGATCAAACAATCAATCAAACAAACAATCAATCAATCTAGCTAGAAAATATCAATAGTTGGATCGAGCTAGTCAATGCAACACATGTTTTGACCTACTAAACGGTATACTGGCCGAGGTGCTTTGCCATACTCTATATTCGTCCTACCAATATATTATTGTATCGTTGGCTCATTCATTCCATAACCAGCTCTTGGTACGTATATCTAAAAGGATTGGAAGAGAAAGTGAGGTAACCAAGAATGATGATGATGAATGAATCCCATCCCCAAAATTAAATACGGATGGATGATTCATTCATTCATTCGTAAGTCGTGCTTTCGAATAGTGGTCTACTTATCATCATCTCATACCATGTCCGCATTATCGTTATTATTATTGTTCCCATTACTTGCCCATGGTGGTTACCAGTATCCCAATATCAGCAAGCTATATATCCCCATATTGCTCTCTCTCTCTATGTATATATGTATTCATGCTGGATGACGATCATGAGGTTTCTTCTTCGATCTTGTTCCACCACTGCTACAGTTGCACTACAGTACAAACTGACAGTCAATGTTGCAGTCATCTAAAGTGTCCGAGTCAGTGGGACAAGTGATCATTTCAAACTTGCCCATGTCCTTGTCCAAAAGCAGGAGCGTAGTAGTTTTTGCTCTACTAGTGGCAGTGGTACCAATCGGCAGCATGATCAATTCTTGCTTTTGCTCTTCCTCTTCTTGTACTATGCTTCTCGATGCTCTAGAACAGCTCGAAACAATTCGGACCAAGAGAGGATCGACGGCTCGGGCACCATCCGGGCAAATTTCCAACATGAGCTGGTCCGTCTTGGCATGAATCCATTGTTTCCAATCCAGACCATGATCCAGCATGTATTCCATGGCATCTTGTGGTACATGGAACTTGTTGTTCTTGTTGCTTCCTCCAATACTACCCCCGTCGCCAGTATGACTGCTTCGGTCTCCCATGACGAATTCTTCCAATCGTTTCAAGAGTATGATTCGCATGGCATCTCGGTCCAATGGTAGCATTGCCAAAATATGAACTTTGGTAAACTATTGAACCGAACGGACGAAGAATGATCGTGATGATGAGATAACGAAATTAATGAAGAATGGAATGCATCCATGATGAGCGATTCAGAGCCAGTTCCAATCATTGTTTCTTCTTCTTACCAAATTCACTCCATCCACGACCATACTATGCCCCACTTCATCATATGCCTTGATTATCTCTTGTCGTAAAAAAGATTCCAATTCTAGCTGAGGTAATACGTCCTTTCTACCGCCATATTTTCGTAAAGCCTTATGAATGGTTGGAGTGCCACTTTCGGATGTCATGATAATAATCGTCTTGTCAAATGTCCCAGGTGGTGTCTTTTCGAGTAGTTCGGCAAGAAAAGAAACCACTTGACTTTTTTTGGTGGAATGGGATGGGTCCTCGGTCTTGTCCAATGGCCACAGAACAATGGATCCATTGGGATGATCAATGGCATGATTCAAAACTGCTTGATACTGTGGGGACGACGATGGCGACGAGTGATGATCCGGCTCCAAAGCCCAACCAATATTTCCAATTTGGCCTTCTTCGTCGTTACTATTCAATTCCAGCAACACTGGAGAGATATCATTCATCTCGGAATAGCAGTCCTTGCCATGAAATTGGCGGACTAGACTTCGAGCCAGGTGTCGCTTTCCGACGGCTGGTCCTCCGACAACATAGAAAATGAGTGGACCCTGCTGCACTAGTGCTGACTTCCGTCGATGCGGCTGACTTGGTGGCTCTTCTTCGCCTTCTTGTCTACTGGTGAGATCATGACTTTGATCTTGATCGTGATGATTCCATTCCGTGTCGAATATCTTTCGCAGCTTGTCAATTGCCAAATCCTGTCCGATCACTTGATGATTCAATCTATTCGTATCCCAGTGCCATGGAGCGTGGCAATCCAAAATGGGTATCGTAGTGTCTGATGTTGTTATTATAGATGTTGTGGTTGCCGGATTATTAGCATGTTGAAAGAACAAGATTGATGGAAAGAAATTGAAAGATTCTCGTGACATGGCTTCAAAACACCAGTATCCGACATATTTCGCAATTGCTGTCCATTTCGTCAAAAGCTCCCACACCACAACTGCTTCTTGCGACAAAAATTCGCCCCAGCTACTCGTTGTATCATGAGCATTAGCGCCAAGAGGAGGAGGAACGGATGGGCCATACCAATAGCAGATGTGGGCCAAGACTGCTATTAAGGAAATCAGCATCCATCCACACGATGAAAATATAGACTGACCTCCCCTGATACCATTATCGTGGTGATTTGGATCGTTGCTGCTGTACACATGGTAATGAAATGGAACCAAATCACCATTTTCAGCTCGACCAACAATTTGATAGGAATACGATGGTCCCATGGTGGATGATCCCCGTTCTTCCGACAGCGACTCATTGTAGTCCTGGTCTTGGTTATGGTGATGCGTTTCTTCTTCTTGATCACGGGAAGTTATTGTTAGAGCGCGGCCCCAAAAGGAGGAAGACTGTGAATGGGATTGATTGGTGACTCCAACATCATCATTTTCATCATTCTCGTCACTGACATCCTGCATGACGATGTCTCCATCATCCCATTGATTTCCTTCATGTTCCCCTTGACTATCATCACTACCATCATCACTTAGAGTAAATTTCCCCATTTTCTATGATGTACTGAGAGTGTAATGGATAGCTTTTCAAGGATCAATGTACTGTATTTTAATATAATGGCCATTTTGAAAAAATCCGTTGTATTCGTCATGCGACCGTTTTTCAGATCGTCCGTGCGTGAAGTGCCCGTTCAGTTCGAACAAGTGTTCGTCATTGCAAAATCCAGTGGTGGCGGCTACATGCTTCATCTTGAATCTATCATACCGGTATGCGCTGCAGACGAATTCTGAGGTAAATAAATATTTTAAAATATTATCTAATGAAAAGCGATAATTTTATTTGTGTGTTAATTACCATTCTGTTCTTCATTCCGATCACTCATTCTAACCAACAGATGGTGAAATCAGATTCCCATACGTGTATCGAAATATCATGGTGACGAAAATGAAAGAGCTCACTTGAACGTGTACAATAAATGAAAGGGAGTCGAAACTTGAGTGTGATGGGTTGGGTTGTTGCGAAAGTTCCGAAACGAAATGGCGTCGAACGCTTCCATTTTCGAGATCTCACTGCGTGAGCGTCTAGCGGTGCGAAACACATTTTGCCCACAATTTTGCAACACGGCAAAATAAAAGGAGAACTATGCACAAAAATAACGACCTCCAAAAGCAAACTTACCCTCCTTTGAGCTTTTCAATCGTTGAGTTTTGCAATCCTCCTACTATAGCAAGTAGCACGCCTTCGTTCCAAAGCGACGTTGGTGTCTTTGAACCTATTCCCCTTGGGGCACCTCATGGTTCGAGACAACAAGCTGCGGATTCCTCCGCGATTTTGAAAGAAGCACTTAAAGTGCTTCTTTCTCAAGACTGCGATCATCACCATAGGGCATCGGGCAGCAGTTCAATGAATCCGAGTCCACTTGCCGTCTCCTTGGCAGCTGATACTAGGTTCAAGAATGAATACAACACAATCCATCCAAGGACATCCTCTTCATGCTGCGACATCCCATCGCAAGTAGAGGATGAGTCCAGTATGTATACCAGGGACCGCTTTCAAGCTCGCCAGACGGACCAGTGGGAGTCGCAATTTCAACTTTTGCAAGAGTTCAAACGAAAGCATGGCCACTGCCGGATTCCTCATACCTACATAGAGAATCAATCACTGGCACGATGGGTCAAACGGCAACGACACCAATACAGGCAAAAGCTAACCGGAAAGAATACGACCATGACTACTCGTCGTATCAGAGCTCTTGAAGGGCTTGGCTTCGTTTGGGATTCTCATTCTGCCTCCTGGGAGCAAAGGATGAGCGATTTGATGGAATTTCGGGACAAATATGGTCACTGTCAGGTTCCTACTCACTACCAAGAAAACAGAAAGCTAGCGACATGGGTCAAGTGCCAGCGCCGGCAATACAAACTTCTGAAGGCAGGCTCTAGAACAAGTACTTTGACTAAAGATCGACTGGAGTCATTGAACAACGTTGGCTTTGAGTGGCGAGCAAAGATTGGGAACACAACTGTCACTAATAAAATCTAAGAGTAAGAAAACTTTTATAAACGCGATTTGTATACAAAATAGTGCTGTAGATAGATGCCTCGTCTCTCCTGCGGTGGAGAAGTTGACTAATCCCACTGATTGTAAACTCACTAATAAAACTATATGTTTGCTGCAGCCTGCAGCATGTGTTCTATCGCGCATGCATCATGTGGGATACGACATAGGACCGCTCTCACCGGTGTGTTTGCCTCTCCTACTGGTACCGATACTGTTATGTCCGCGTTCTACCGTATCTGGTGTTGGCTTCCTAATAATGCTGCTGTGACAGGACTGTTCGATCGACTTCTCCCATGTCCAAGCAAAGTCGCAGCTGAGGGACTTACGAGACGTCGAAAAGAAAAGGGAAAGCTGCCTTTTCGCATACGCTAATTCTAAAATATATATCAAATACTGTAGAAACGTTGGTCTCGAGCACTTAATCCTACGCTATTTGTCGACTCGTTACAGAACACTAGATCGGAATGTTATTTAACGATACGGTTTTTCTGTCCCATCTGCGACACTACAACACTTCACTACACAAATTGCCACGGCAGTATCCAACTTATATACTGCGTGGCGCTCCAACTATAAATGTACTTCATTTCGTTCCATTTTTCATTGCACTTCATTTCGTTCTCTCCTTCACTCATTCACTCATTGAAATTCCACTCATGCAAGACACTGAGACGCCATCGTCGTCTCCTCGACGATCGATAAGAGCTTTGGATGCGTCGAGGAGGACCAGCCTCAGTTTAGTAGCTGATGGTTTATCCCTCTATGATGGATATGGCCCTGGTCAGCACACCAGGAACAGAAAGATTGACGAGAAAGCGGAGTATTCGGTCATTCATCGACCAGAAGCCCGCGCTATCGAGCCAAGAACACCCATTTCGTGCCCGCAGTTACTCATTCTTGGAGCTCCACCCATGCACGACCCCGACGCGTCGCCATTATCTCCCCCACAGTCGATTAAAGCATTGTTGGATGCGTCAACGAGCGTTAGTTTAACTGACGTATGTTTCTATAATCTGTCTTCTGTTCCTGATCACACAAAGAATACCACAGATGAAAAAGCGGACTACTCAATCTTTCACCAACCCGACCTTGGCACTTTCGAGCCAATACCCTGTGGAAAACCAAGGACACCACAACAAGAAGCTGCTCTAAATGCAGTGGTGCAGGCATCGCTACGGTACCTGTTCGATACGCATGATGCTTGTTCGTCACCATGTCAGTCCCAATTGTTCGGTCAGACGCCATGGGAATCTGACAGTAGTCACGACGATGGTAGGGATACCAAAGAGCACAGACCAAAGCGACAACGCCTGCTATCGGCTGATGAGGAGTACTCGACTATGCGCTTTAAGGCTCATCAGACAAGGGCGTGGGACCAAAATATCAAGGATCTGTTGAGCTTCAGAGCAAGAGAAGGCCATTGCTCAGTACCACACTCGTATCCAGAGAATCCAGCTCTTGCTAGATGGGTCAAACGTCAACGCTATCAGCACAATCTTCGCGCTGAAGGGAAGAAAACCTCGACCATGACAGCAAGTCGAGTCAAAGTCCTTGAAGACATTGGATTCATTTGGGACTCACGTCTTGCGGTGTGGGAGGAGCGCTTATGCGACCTACGAAAGTATTGTTCCCAGCATGGTAATTGTGAGGTTCCAGCACACTATCAGGGCAACCAGAAGCTAGCTACTTGGGTAAAGTGCCAGCGCCGCCAATACAAACTTTACCTTGCGGGAAAACCAAGTACAATGAATGCAGAGCGCGTGGGCATCTTGGACAAACTTGGATTCTCGTGGGATGTACAATCTTTTAAGAAGAACAGGTTTTCTGTGCCATGATCGCGTTGGAACACTCCTCATGGCTGGCATAGCTGCAAAATTGTGCGCCGAGACGACTACTGGCTGTGGAAGTTCTTAGAACATTCTGAAGGGGGTGCGTTAGGATGTATTACACAGAATTTAGAATGTATATGACTACTTTACTTGTTGTTGCAGATGGGTAATGCGTATATGTTGAGGTGCATGCAGACTTCAATAGTTTCATGAACAGAAACGTGCGACACTGTTGCGACAATATGGTCGCGACTCGATTTCATCTCGCATGATGAAATAAAATAGAATAAAATAAACGTATTGCAAATATACTATACACTATACACTATACCATCAGGACATGAAAGTCATGCCATGGCAAACCTCTTGCCACCATGACATTTCGAAATGCTCCACCATACCATCTTCCGTTCGATATGCTGAAGAAGAATCCACCAGTGACTCCAAAACAGAGACAATAAAGAACCGTTTTGCAATAGCCAATCAAGAGTTTCAACCTGGTGAGATTGTCCTTCGCAACGCTCCCTTGGCGTGTTCTTTGTTCTCATCGTTGGTAAGTGACAGACAACAATCGCAATCACAGCGCTGTGCCTATTGTTTTGTACCTGGATCAGAACAAAAGCTCTCTAGATGTGGAAGATGTCAATCCGTATGGTATTATTGTTCACGAGACTGTCAAAAGAAGGATTTCCCACTGCACAAAAAGGAATGTATCTATTGGACGACCAAAAATAAAGACAAAGCCAAGCAACTGAATGGTCGAATAAGAGCCGAAATCTCACTTTTGATTCGAACCTATGCCAAGATTGAAGTCATGCAAGCCAATAAACAGCAGGGAGAATCATCAGAAAATACTGCTGTGAGTAGTCAGAGTACCAAGAATACCACCATTATTCAATCTGGAATCCAGCATTTGGCTTCCTTGTCACAATATCCAAATGCACTGGACTCAAATGAGCAATCCATTATTACCGAAGCCACCACTGCCATTCTTATTTGGTCCAAACATCAAGAAGGAGCCGAAAAGAAAAAGAAAAAGGAACCACCAAACAACGACAAAACCACAACAACTGTTGGCATAATTGACAAGAAGGACCACCAAAACATAAGACAACAAATGGAGGATCTTTTGCGAATATTTCGAGTCAATAATTTTGGAATTACAGACGAATTACTAAAGGTTATTGCCAGTGCGGTCTACCCATTGGGTGCCTTGCTCAATCACTCGTGTCGGCCCAATTGCATTTTGCGATATTCCTACAACAACAAGAAGGCTCCTCCCGTTTTGGAAATTGTGGCCAGCCGCTGTATCCAAAAGGGAGAAGAATTGACTCATTCCTATGTCGAATTGGTCAAACCACAAAGGGTCCGAAAGGAACGATTGCAATCCAACTATGGATTTGAATGCCATTGCCATCGCTGCTGCAGTCACAATCACAACAACAACACCTCCAATGACTGGATGCAACTTCAAGATTCCAATCAAGTGGGAACCTTTTTGGATCATTCTAATCCCACCTTTGCAGCCTCCCAAACATGGACGCCTCCGGCGCTTCCAAGAGGTACCAACCACGATGATGCGCATGGCCCACTGCGAGAAATGGCAATCCAACTCCAGGCCCAAGCCAAACAGTGCATGGCCATGGACAATATAGAAGGAGAATTAATGTCATTGACCCAATGTGTTGGAGTCTTGTCGCAACTCTTGCGAGCCCAACTTGGTGATGGTAGTAATCAAGGTCACGACGACGATACTTTGCACCAGACGTGTTTGGAGCTCTATCAAGTTCGTGGGGACTTGCTAGGAACTCTGATTGTGGCTGGTCAAACGAAGGAGGCGATTCAACAATGCGAATATGTTGTGGCCTTTTTGGTGTCTATTCTTTGTGACAAGGAAACCGCGAATTGTCCAAATCACCCAATTCTTGGGCTGCAACTTTTTACCTTGGGGGACTTGTATACTTCTGTTGGTTGGGACGACAAGGCTCAACGAACCTTTGCCTGGGCCAGAAAGATCATGTTGGTTAGCCATGGGAAGGACTCGGATATGGTCAAACTCTTGAAGGATCGATAGGCTGCCTCATTCTCTCGTCCAAGATTCCTCGACGATCAGTGTTGACCCAGCATCTCAATAAAACTCAATCTTTGGATTCTGGTGTGAAATACACCAACGAAAAACGCTCTCCGGCAAATGGGTTGGTCCAATGGCGCAACTTCCACCCGTCAAAGACCAAAGGTTTGTATTGGATGTCAAAGGCATCGCCTTCGACCCTCAATTCCCCACCGACATAATCTCCCAATCCAACAATCATGGACAACTTTTGGCCAGCACCTCTTCCACTATCGACATGAGGAGTGAATTGGGCGTTGCAGTTGACAGCACAGTGCGATGATGGTTGCCGCCCTTGTAGGCTGGCTGGTGTTGTCACCTCTTCAACGGTGATTTTATGAGTAGCACCAGTATTCTCAGATTCGGCAAGATTGGATTCTAGATCAAATACAGCTTCCACCAACTCTGGAAAGAGTTTGTTGCCAAGTGGCAAGTTGTCCCAATTCTGCTGAACTTTTGGATTAACAATCGTAAAGGAACCATTTTGTCGCGAAGGAGTACCGCTACTGTGTTCGCTGTCGCTACCGTCGTCTGCCTTGTCTTGACGAAGAATCACTGTCGATCGAGCCACGGATGTCTCCGGCCAGATATTGAGTGACTTGATCCGACGTAATTCGGACAACACTGGATAATATAGCTTGGAATATGTGAATGGAGAAGTATTCATGGGATTCTTGGAAGAAGCCACCACTTTTCCTTGCTCCAAAAGTTCCGTTCGGATCCGAGGAGCAATCTCTTGAGACAAGCCTTTCAACCACATAGACTCGTTCTCGAGCGCTAGCTTGGCTTGCTCTTCATTCCGTTCCAACAGTGCATTCATGGCCCATCCTATTCCGTCGACTTCTGAAGGAGCTAGCTGGACTATTTGTCGAGTATCATGTGTTTCAAAGAAGGGACGTCCGTTGCTTTGGAGTTCATCAAAATGATACCGGACAGTGCTGAGTATCAGCCGGTTCGGTGGTGCCAATGGAGTTTCAATTGCAGTATCACCGTTGGTAGCCAATGCAATGAAATCGGGTGGCAGCCAGGAATGTGTCATGGCCACGGCACTGCCCACAATTCGTCGGATTTGCTCCTTGACAAATCCATCTCCACGGAATTCAATGATTGCCACCATCCTTTCTTCCTGTTCTCCCTCTTGACCATCTTGCTTTAGAGGTGTCTCCACAAAGAAATCCACAATTCGAGCCTTATCGACGGCCCTCCAAACGGGTTCATTGTTAGGACTAGCATTTCCCTTCAAGGCAGGATCTGCAAAGTTATGCCAAGGTCGCTTGGAGCGAGCGGCAAGGGCACCAAATCGTCCAGTGGCCAATCGCAATTTGTGTTGTTTGTGGTCGGATCGTATTTGCTCTGGCGAAGCCTTTTCGCTTTCGGCACTTCTCAAGGCTTCCTTTAGTCGTCTGAGACTATCTGGTGGTTTATTTTTGAGCTTTTTGTTTTGATGAAATTGTCGTGCTTGACGTGTTGGATTAACATCATCTGCGGAAGAGGACTGCCACCATGCTCTCATGGCATCTTCTTCTGGAAGCCAAGATAATGGTAAAAGATAGTGATAGATATATTGTGTGGCACTCTTTTCGGCGTGCAATTTCGCGGCCCTCTTGGTGCCTAGTATTTGGAGATCAAAGAGTTCTGCTTGGGGTATCTGATGTTTCAATTTTGCACGCGTCAGGTTTCCAACCTTGGTCCAGAAATCCGTTTGCTTTTCCATTGATTCCTTCTTTATCACCTTTGGTAACATTAAATTGACAAACAAGACATCACCATTGGCAGCGCATCCTTCTTCTTGTTTCAGTGCCATTCGTCGCAGTTTGGCCAAACTTGCTTGAGTCGATCCCATAATCTCCAGTTTTTCCAGAGTATCCGTATCATGGTCATACCAATTCTGTACAACTTCTTTTAACGACTCCACTATAGCACCTTGTAGGACTTTCCCGACAGTTTCCGCCAGAGTGGACTCCTCCTCATTGTCGTCGTCTTCTTCTTCGTCGTCGCCGTCATCATGTTTGGGAGACTTATTGTTGCTGTCGTCGTAGTATCCAAATCGCAATGCCACCGACTCTTTCACGATGGACAATAATAATCTTCGATCACTCTGTTTATTCTTGTTGGTAGAATAAATATTCGAACGAGCTGAATGATCATCAGCATGCTCGAGGGAACAGATTGGATCATTTCTCAAGTGTCGAAACAAGGCATTCCGTGTCTCAAAGGTTTGGGAACAATAGGAACAAGAAGACGAATGACTGGTGGTGGTGTTGGTGGTAGTCGTAGTAGCGCTACTGCATGATGCTGTTGATGCTGCTGTTGATGCTGCTACTGGTGCTGATTGCTGTGTTGGCGAGAACAACAATGATAAACTGCTATTCTCATCGTTTCGTGGCGCTGTTGGATTCATCTCTTGTTCCTGTCCCGTGGTAGAACCAACCATCCAAGAACGACTTGACCATGGTGTTGTCATTGTTGGGTAGTACCTTCGTCGTCTGGTCGTTATTATTGTTCTCGTTGTTCTCGTTGTTCTCGTTGTTATTGATTGCGATGAGGAGGAAGAAGAAAACGAAAGGACCGGCTGCACATTACATAATAGCAGATGGAACAATGCCAATAATAGGATAACAATGTAACTGTGGGTACTTTGCCCAATCCGCATTATTGTGTATATGACTCTAGAGAGCAACACGATGTATGCAGACAGTATATATTAATGTATGATATATGTTTTCTGGTGGAAGCAAATAATAAAATCGAAATAAAATACTGATGATGCGCATAATATATGTGATGGTTTTGGATGCACGTCTGTGCGTTTGCCGACAAAATTGGTACTAACAAAGTTTCTCGATGGATGAACTCGGGGCCTTCCATATTGTTTTCAATCATCTGGAGTTTAGTGTACATAGTAATAATGTCCTACAATAATAGAATAATAATAATAATAATAATAATCATGATGATAATAATAACTCTTATTGCATTAGGATGCCTTTTTCTATGATTCATTTCTCGTCCCTATTCTTGCTACTCTTGAGAATGACTGCAAAGTTGTTTCGTTTGGCACCGGGTTTGGGAGGTTGCAATCGTTTCATTTCATGAGACCCATAGTCAAAGGTCTTGGTTTTGACGTCATAGCAATACTTTGGTTCTTTCTGATTTGTGTCCTTTGATTTTGAATCTTTTGAATCAATGTCAATACGACCATCACGCTTGCGTCGTCGTCGTCGTCGTCGTCGTTGAAAGGCCAATAGAATCAATTTGGAGGAACGCTTCGTTTCCACCAGTTCCAAATGAAACAATTGGTTGGTCACAACTTCTTTGAATCGTTCTAGATCGCAATACCTTGAATTGTCAAGGGAGGCCGACGGAAGTACCACGAATAACATTCCTGGAAGTCCATGTTGATCATTCTCGTCGTCGTCGTCGTCGCCACTCGTCATTTTCAATAGCCTCGGATCGGCCGCCAGGGCCAGCATGTCTCCTCGGAGTCTTGGGTCGCCTTGAAAATTCAAGACAAGAGACATGACAATGGCATCAAACGGCTTTGGTGGAGGCGCCTTCTTGTTCTTGTTCTTCTTCTTCTTTGCATCATCATCATCATTATTATCAACATCATCATTATTATTATCACCATCATTAGTAGGATTGCAGGCCATGTCGCGACCATTGCAAAATTCGTGGGCATAGTCCAAAAAGTCCACCTGCAAGACGGATTCATGTTGACCACCATGCAAATCAATGGGGACCGCATCGAGCCAATCGTCGTATCCACGATATTGATTGTCAATGGCACCGACGTCTAGAATCCGAAGTTTAGTAGTATTGTTGTTGTTGTTGTTGTTGTTGTTGGTGGTGGTGGTGTTGTTGCCTTTTGGTTCGTCGGTCTTGTTGTTCTTTACCTTTAATTCTTGCTGTTTCTTTAATAACAACAACAACAGGGGGACCACCCAATCGGCGCAGACAAATTTACTGGATTTGGCACCAAATAGGCTGGCTTTTTGATATCGATCTAGTCCACCCATGGCCTCTTGTTGCTGTTTGATAGAGTCGGCAATTCGTTGGCGTTCTGGTTCACTAATGGTCGTGTCGCGTTCGTTTTGTTCGAGCCGTTTGTTCAAGGTGTGGTATTGAGAAATGACGGCAAGGGATTCGGCCGTGCTGGAAAATAATAATTCATGGGAAGCAGAAGCAGCAGAAGCAGTAGCAGCATGATGATGATGATGACGATTGTTTCGTTTTCGCTTCTTGTTGCGACTCAACGGATGATTCGTGTCCGCATTATTGTTGCCATGATTGTTGTTATTGTTATTATTGTTGTTATTGTTGTTATTGTTGGCAGCAGCAGCAGCAGCAGCGGCAGCTTTCTTGACCATGGAGGCGGCCGTCACACCCTGAACCAGAGGAATCGTTTTTCTTTTCCTTCTTTTGGGCATCTTCTTCTTCTTCTTCTTCTTCTTTTATGAATTAGAATAGAGTTGTAGCTTATAGTCGGTTGGATATGAATTGAATACTACCTACTATGTGTGAGAAGTTATTCAAAGTGATATATTATAACAATTGGGACGATCCGAAAATCTGTTGGTGGTCGAAAATGAAAATTCGAAAACTGAATGCACGTCTGTAATACGTACGTTGGGATGGATAGGTACTAACAAAGCTTCACGGCCAAGCAGAACTTCTCGCCGAAACAAACGATCCGATCAAAAAGATATTATTTATGGTCGCTTCAGAAACCGCATTGGAATTTTATTTGTTGCGACGATCGACGAATAAACTTCAACATCCTCAGCAGCAGCAGCAGCAGCAGCAGTATCTTATCTTGGAATACTAGCTAGATATATTATATATACTGCGGGCACACCAGTCAGTCATTCATTGAATCAATTGCTACAGCAGCAACGACTCAATCAATAACAACTCAACGACTCAATCAATAACAACTTTTAAAACTTAAAAAACTTAAAACAAGCAATGTTCGGAAAAGACGCACGACGCTTTGCCGGTCAAATCAGCGGTCAAGTGGAAAAGTTGGTCGGCGATCATTTGTCCAAAAAGGATGGCAATCGCAGCAAAACCGAAACTCCCACCGAACAGCTTGGATTGGTCGGCGGAAAGCGCAAGGCATTGTTTGTAGGAATCAATTACTTTGGTCAAAAGGGCGAACTCCGTGGTTGTCTGAACGATGTCAAGAACATTAAGGAGTTCCTCGAAGCCAATTATCCATTGGACGAAGTCATGGTGCTCACGGATGATCAAACAGACGATCCGGATGGCATGCCTACCCGAGCCAACATTTTGAGAGGCTTTCAATGGTTAAGACAGGGAGCTACTTCTGGAGATTCCTTGATTTTGCATTACTCTGGTCATGGAGGAAGTATCAAGGATGAAGATGGTGATGAAGAAGATGGTACGTAACGTGACTGTATATATCTATACATACGCGCGTGTGTGTGTGTGTGTGTGTGTGTGTGTGTGTGTACAAATACACTTCTCTCTCTAACTTTGAACTTCTCTAACTTTACCTCATTTATACTATAGGTATGGATGAAACCTTGTGTCCTGTGGATTATGCCTCGGCTGGTATGATTGTCGACGATGAAGTTCATGCTGTGTTGGTCAAGGGATTGCCAAAGGTCAGTTTCATTATTGTCTTTGCATTATTGTTGCATTACAGTGTTGCATCAAATTGCAGTCTATTGCATCATTAGTACTGTGATCATTATTATCATACTTCATTCCTCTCACACTCACACACACACAAACTATTTTTCATGTCATTCCATTCCATTCATTCATTCCATTGCATTCATACTTTATATATTTCAGGGAGTCCGTTTGACGGCCATTATGGATTGTTGTCACTCCGAATCCATGCTCGATCTACCCTTTATTTACAATGTCAATGGCGACTTGGAAATTGTGGAAAGCACCAAGGCCAAGGGAATTGCCAAAATGGTCGCCACGGGTGTCCGCTACGCCCTGGACGGTAACAAAAAGGCCTTGATGAGCAACCTCCAAACGGGCTTTAGCAGCCTCATGAACAAGGGCGGTGGCAGCGGCGACAAGAATGAGGCGGCACGCAAAAAGACCATGGAAACTCGAAGTACCGAAGCCGATGTCATTTCCTTTTCGGGATGCAAGGACAGTCAAACCAGTGCCGATGCTACCATTGGTGGAGAAGCAACCGGGGCCATGACCTATGCTCTCATTAAAACTCTCAAGGGTACCCATGTCATGGAATATACCGACCTGCTGCGCACCATGAGACAAACTTTGGATGGGAAATACACTCAAGTCCCAATGATGAGTGCGGGACGCAGATTGAATTTGAGCAGTCAATTTAGTTTTTAGACTATATTACTAGTCCTAATAGTACTAAAGTTAGTACTATTAGGACTGTTATATTATATATATTGTCTTTTTCAAAAATGGTGATAGGACTAGTAGAGGACTAATGATGGTTGTTATGATAAATGATAGTTGGAATTGTTTGTTTTGTGATGACTATGATTGTTACTATATGAGAATGATATATGGATAGTGTCATGATTCCATTCATGCAATGATCTAATATTCAATCCGTATAGTTTCATATATGCATTCATTCATTCAATTTCATTCATTCATTTAGTCATTTATATAGTTATCATATCTTCACCATATGCAGATCCTAGCTTTGCGCACCTCTAAATCATGTTATCGACGGATTGGTAGTTGCCACCACCATCACCCGTTTCCCGAAACAATTCCGTGAACAGGTCGGGTTGCATGGTTTTGAAGGCCGTGGCGGCACCCAACAGGGCGGCCGTGACAAATCCCAAAAAGTGCGATCCCATGAAAACCCACAAACAAAAAATGGTGATCCCATCCACGACGCAACGACCCTTGTAGGTAAACAAGGTTTCACCTTCTCCCAATACACCAGGAATGACTGGAAATTTGACCTGTTCGACGTACGTCATGGCCATGGGTGGTCGTCCGGTATAGACAAAGACCATGGCCATGTTGATCACAATCATTCCAGCACCAATCACCAAACGAAAGAAATTGGGGGCTGGGAATCCTTGCAAGGCATACAATATACTTCGCAAGGAATTGCACTACAGGTATGCGTTTGGTATTATACAAATGGGAACAAGGGGAAAGAGAGAGAAGGAGAGAGAGAGAGAGAGAGAGTTGAAACCAACAACAAGCGTATACACATGTGGTTAGGGCGATTGATTCATCATTCAATCATCAGAGGAGAACATAGATGATAATCAATAATGCAAGATGAAGTACAAATTCATATTGATTGAACAACTTACCAAGTAAATGGTTGCCGATGCGGATCGGAATAGAGCTTGCTTTTGATTCAAATCTGGCATTTTTGCTGTTGTTTGTTTGTTTGTTTGTTTGTTTGTGTGCGTATGTGTGTGGTTGTGAGGTTTTTATCAAATGGTTCCGGAAGCAAATGAGTTGAAGTAATTTTGATTCAAAAAAGAGGAAGCTTCACAACAACGGTGGAAGGATATTCAGCTTGATGAAAGAGTTGATGCGGATGTGGATGGATCAGTCCTTGATTATAGTGAAAATGAAATGGTCCTATATCGCCTGTTTGATGCTGAATATATGATAATCTCACTCGTGACTTTTTATATTGCGAGGATGATGATTTCGTAAAGGAAGTCGAAGGATTCGACCATACATGGCCAAAAATTGGGCACGTGTTTGTACCTAAATAGAATTGAACGTGCTCGTCATTTCCATAAGTAATCTGTCCATCAGACATCTGGGGCAGTCATTCCCAAGATCCACCCAAGCCATGGATGGATTTTTGCAACTCACCTTTTTGACGACGACGACGAATATAATAGATATATATTACCACCATATTCGTTTCGCAAATGCATACACATACTGTATCTCATATACATCAAGATCATCAATCATGGCGGCAACTACAACGTCATCACCCACAAGCGTAACAATGGAAGAACCGTACGCCTTGGATCATAAAGTCAGCAGTTTACGCCAAAGTATTTCCATGAAACGAAACACATCCAATCTTACTTCGGTGGAACGAATCTTTGTCGATGAAATCATGGAAGAGGGTGACGAGGAAGACTTGGAGGTTCTCTTGACCACGCTAGAAGACCAAACTCTATTTTTTGGGTCCTCGCATGGAAATGGTGAAGAAGGAAAGGAAATCATGTTAATGCTGGAACCACCCACCGGTCCCCAACACTTATTATTGAGAGGCCAACGAGGATCCATCTTGCGACAGCAAACGATTGAAAAACGCAGGTCCTGTCATCAACGAAATTCCTTATGGAGACGATCGTCCATGAAAAAGATGGATAGCTTTGGTAGTGCCAGCACCAATGAAAGAAATAGTTTTTCTGGAGGAAGTGGCGAATTCAGCGTGGCCAGCAGCAGTGGTGGTAATTCCATCAAACAGGGTGATCGGTCGTCGAGCAAAGTGGTGGGACCGCAATCCTTGTTTACCTTGGACGAATTCAAAGAGTTGGAAGCCTCCTATGGTCAAGATGAGGAGGAAGATCATGATGAAAATGGCAAAATTGGCACACATAATGAAACGAAAGTGGAAGAATTGGTAGTACCCCAGACTACTAGTAGTACTGACAGCAGCGATTTGATCAAACGAGCCTCAAGAAACATTTACCTGGGAGAAGGTTTCGAAGTCGGAGCCGAAGATTTATTTAACATGTACTCGCAATCCATGCCTGACTATGATCCCTGGAGGGACAATTTGGAAATGGACGAAGAAGGTCATCGATTTGATTTTACCATTCTTGGCACGTCACCCGACGACATTGATTCGCAGCCCCACGCACTGTCGCCACCGCAAATGTATGCCCTCCAGGAACATTTACCAATGGCTCGAAAAGGAGAGAGCTTTTGGCTCAAGTATTCCATGGTCCGAGATGGAGCATCCTTTTCTGCACTCTTGCAACACGTCCGTGGAAGTCATCATACGGTCATGTGCATGGAAACCATTGATGGTGAAGTCTTTGGAGCCTTTTCGTCTACAACATGGTCCATTCAGCCAAACTACTTTGGAAATGGTGAATGCTTTTTGTGGAGAATGAAGAGCAATCGAGCCGAGGTCAATGGATTGTCACTCTACGAACAAGCCCAACAGGAATCAGACATTGCCGTCTATCCATATGCTTACCGAAACGACTATTATCAATTGTGTCAACACGACCGCATTGGATTGGGAGGAGGTACTGCATCGGTACCGCAAGAGATTCAAGGAGAAATGGTAGAACCTAATCAACTTGGTTTTGGAATTATGTTCGAGGGATCGAACCTGCTGGAGGCCTCCAGTGCCCCCTGCCTCACTTTTGGAAGTCCCTCCCTATCCATGATTCATTCAGATGGATCCAAGTTTGAATTGGTCAACTTGGAAGTGTGGGCCTTGACACCGTGTGTCACCATTGAAGAAGCACGACGACTGGAATGCCAACGATTATTCCTCAAGCGGAACCTTGTAAATAGTAATAGTACTATGCAATAGTTTGCTATTCATGGTAACGAAGAGTTCCTTCTATTATTATCATGTACTGTCTACATTTTTTTTTAAATATCTCTAATCCTCTAGCTCCTTTTCTTGGGTCATTTTTCACTGTGGAATTGCCGCAATACCTGCTGACTTGACACTTTCGGACCGTTCAAAGGAACCTCCTTCCAAACCCACAATAATCTTGTGTTCGGTCGATTCTAACGACTGATGATTATTATTCAAATGTTGGGCCAATTGATATCCACTGGTCCAGGCACCCCCAATGGAGGGTTCCACCAACCAATCTCCCACCACACCAACATTATTGTTGGAATCATACAAAAAACCTTCTTCGTTCTTCCAAACGTTAAGTGGGACGGCAGCTCCCCACAATTGGACTCGATGTTCCAATACTTGGCTTGCTGCCTTGTTGGTGTCCATCTTGTTGGTCGTCTCCTTTGGTGCATCATCTCCCTTTTTGTCACTGCCATTGTTTGGTGTTTCGGGTGTCCCGCCAACAGAGGTTTTCAAGACTCCATCCACAGCTTGTACTAACAAGGCGGTCACTTTGTCAATAACTTCCTGGGGCAGAAATTCTTGTGGAGCCTTGTGCTTCTTTCCAAAGGTGGCCGAACTAATAATAGTCCAGACTTCGTGTTGTTGCTCCATTTCTTGCTGTTGATCGTTATATTTTCTAGTCTGACACGTCAAGGATCGGACTTGCGGGTGATCGGCCAGCATGCCACAGACAAAATTTGGGGGCAAAGTCTTGGACCATTCAGACTCGAGTGGCAAGACCACCGTGACGCTGTACAACGAGTTGAGTGTCATTTTGTTGCCTCCATGCGCAGGAACATTGGGACTAAAATTCACTCGTAATAACGAGTGGACCTCCTTGGAAGGTGTCTTGGACATGATGCGGTCGGCACATTTGCCATTGTGGGCAATGACCAGCTTGTCATAATACCCGAGCGTCTTGCCTTTGGCTTGGAGTTTCCAAGTCCCCGAATTCTTTTGGTACTTGACACCCGAGCTAGGACTGACCCAAGTGTCCTGTTCCAATGCAAAGTTGCTGCTTTGTTTGGCTTGATCGACCATGGCTAATGGGACGTTGCCCATGCCGTTGGTTCCGTAGTAAAAGGTTTGGTCTTGAATCGGTGCGACCTTGCCATTTTTGTCAATGGAACAGACACTGCCTTGTGGAAATTCTTTTAGAATTCCGCTTGATTTCCATTGTTCCAATTGCTTCGCAAATGCCTCGTTTTCCTTGCCGGGTGCAGCAATGAATTGAGCCGCATGATCGTATCGGTATTGACTCAATAGTGGAAAGTCATCATCATTGTTGTTATTATTTTGGTTTTCTTGTTCTGGTGGTTTCATAGGGTCCCCTGGTTGTCGGGAAGCACATCGACCTCCTGGTCGCAGCCTTCCTGTATCATAGACCGTCACGTCGTATTTATTATTGTTGCTGTTGTTGCCCAAAACCAATTCTTGGGCACAGGAAAGACCGGAAATTCCTCCTCCAATAATGGCCACACTTTGACGTCCATTGTTGTTGTTGTTGTTGTTGTTGTTGTTTGGTCGTTTTGGGAAGGTATCTCTTTGATTGTTGTTATTGTTGTTGTTACGTCGATTGGTATTTGTATTGGTGGATGACATGCTCATTGTCAAGGCGTTGGTGGAAGAAAATGATGTCAAATGAGAAAGAAGCAAGACGAGACAGCTGAATTTGCCTTTGCCTGAGCGAAATACTAATGGTGAGGTGGAAACTAACGATGGAATGCCAGTCTTTGACAGTGGCATCGTATTGATGTAACTACTGTAGAAGCTGTGGGTGTTGAAGATGTATAGATGGATGGTGATGAGGAATAATATGTGACTGAATGATGTTTTGTGATGATGTCAGATCTGAGATGTGGTAGAATCCAGTCACGAGTGACATGACATGACATTGAGTCCCATATATTTCGACTAGTCGGACTAAATTAATGTCCCGCCAAAATTTCACAGAGGTTCCGAACAGCATCTATCATCATCATCATCATCATCATCATCATCATATCATCATCGTAGAACGCAAAACAACAATTTGAGTAAAAGCCGGACAAATAGTTACAAATGCCCAATCGCCAGAGGAGAACACGTCAACGAAGAGCACGCAAACGTCGTCCACTTCAATGGCTGTACGATCGAGTGAATGGAATCACCGTCACGACATTGGATAATGACGACGATGAGGACGACATGATAGTCAACACCAAACCACCGTGTTTTTTGTGTCTTCCACCACTCACCTTGAAGGTGTGTCCTTGGTTGTTGGAACAAAATGGATGTTGCATTTGTTTGGGAAGTATGGGATGTTGTGCGTCCAATGATAACTGGGCACGTGGTACCATTTTGAAATTGGGAGCTACCTGTAACGTGATTGCATTCTTGGGAATGGTCTTGGCGACACTCTCCTTGATGAACAATGAAGCAACAGCCTTTGCGACTGCTACCTTGCAAGATCAAGGGACTAGTGGAACCTTATCCAATAAAACTGCTGCTGGAAGCTTCGTCTTGGAAGAAATTCATATTTATTTGGGCTTGCGAGCTGCCACCTTTTCCAATCCAAACACTTTTGGCACCACCATTGTTCCCTATGATCGATTTTGTGACGAAAATCTTGGATTGACTGCCTATTTGAGTCGAGATGATTGTGCTGTTTGTAAGTATACGACTCTGCAGCGCATGATTGCTATATTGGTGGCGCTGGTAGCCTTTGTTCCAACCTTTGGCATGGACATTACTCGTGCCTACAGCAATTTTGATGTCAATTGTCAAAAGGTTGCCAGTAGTGTTCTATCACTGATAACTTTGGTGGGATGCATTGTTGCCTATTTGCAATTCAATCAATGTTTGGATTCTTTCTTTGATGGACCTGTGTATTACGACAAGGATGATGGTGGTGGATATGCTGCTGCCTTGTTTGATCCACAAAGCAATCCGAATGCCCAATTCCTCAACACGGAGGGATTGCGACAAGTCGATTTTGATTGGCAAGTGGGATATGGTTTGCTCGGCTTGTTCTTGGCCATGACCTTTAAATCCATTCATATCATTTGCAATTGCTGTATTCCAACACCAGAAATTACACGAGTCAGGCGAGATCAAGAAGAATACGAGCAGCTGGCATTGGAAGAATCTGAATCTGATAATTCCTTGTATGGTTGGTAGCAATGAGAGAAAAAGGCTAGAGACTGACGAAAATGAGGAATATTCGAATAAATGATGGAATGTTAGATGATTGATGAATTCAAGAATGGATTGTTGGCAATCGAATATTATGACATGTACACAAAACATTCATTCTATTTTACTATATCCAGATGAAACATTGCTACCACAACAACGTTTCTCACATAGTGGCAGAAAAAAAATTGATCGAGAGTCATATACCTGCCGTCTACACTGAAACTCTACACTGAAACTCTACACGGAAACTCTACACGGAAACTGAACATTCAAAATTGGCAGGATCAAAGTACTTGAATTCGACCTCCCGTGCCGCATCGTCTTCTTGCACCTTGGTGGATTGGCTTCTCAAGTCGGATTGGAAAGAATTCCATACCTCCCGTTCCCACGAAGGAGCTCCCGCTGATGAAAAGTAATTGCGGAAAAACCCAAAAAGTTGGGGCATCTTGGTCGAAGTAGATGCCGAAATGATTTCGGTATACAAGAAGGATTGCAAATCAATATGAAGCGGATCCTTCTTGTTCAATCGGAAACCAGCCTTGGATGGTAGAATGGCGTAATCCACAACGTGACCAATAATCTCATGATAGGCAGTTACCGTAAAGATAATACTGGAGAGCAAATTGACCATAGCATTCTCTTGACTCATTTCCGGCAATTCATAGGCTTGTCCTTTGGTGCTAGCCTTCACGCCATTGTAAAAGGCAGTGGCCTGGGCATCAGTTGCAGCATCTCCAGATTTTTTCAACCAATCCTTTACAAATTTGCGAACAATTTCATAGTACTCCTCGCCTTCACTGGCATACGGGAATTTGCCCTCGTCAATTAGCTTTTGCAAAGCTGGATTGTACTTTCGTTCGGAAAATGGCTCGTAGATATTAGAACTTGTAAAGGAAGAAGCAAAGACATCCTTCAATGACTTGTACTTTAGGGCTGTGGACCGATGGAGAATGCAAGTGTCGGGAATGAGAGTGCTGTAGGCATTAATGTTGACCTCCGTGGCACCATAGGTAAAGACTGTCAGTAACCGACGAATGGGATGGTTGGGTGGAAGGTGAATGGTCTTTTCGCGAGTGGCGACATTGGAAACCAAAAAGTGCGTCCAGATGAGATGCTCTCGTGCCGTCATGAGCAAAAACGCAGTCGTTCTGGCCAACATTTTGGCGGCAGCCCATCCTACTTCACCCGGCAAGAATTCCTTGGCTTTGTCATAGTCATAGATAGCCGTCACTAATCGGTCGGCACTAAAGTGAATCCGTGCACCATACGGTCGGTATTTGTCCTTGTCTCGAAGCTTCAAGTCTTGTAGAGGCATATCCACCATGAATGGGCCATGCTTACTATCAAAGACCTTTTCTTGCTTCGCCAAGAGAACACATCCCATGCCAGCAAAGAATATTCGGCTAAAGGATTCATCGCTGAGCATATCAAAATCACTGGTGTAGGAGACTGGAAGGGCTTTGCCAGGACTATAATCCAAATCATCCAACAGCACCTTGGCAGTCTCATCGCCAATGGAAACATCAAGATCAGTAAGTGGAAATATCACTCTTGAAGTGTACACTTTTGCTTTGATTCGCTCTTTCAGACTAAATTTTGTCATCATATCATCTTCCGCCAAGATTTCAATGGTAAATTCCTTGGAAATCTTTTTGGTGACCTTGGGGATAATAGGTATTTTGATCCAAGGATCGTCAAAGTTGTCTCCTATCTTTTTCCAACCCAGGTCGACTTCTTCCGTCATGACATCAGCGTCAGTGGGGGCGTTTTCATTGCTTTCTATAATTGCCGCAGGTCCTTTTAGTGAAAGAATGAGGACAAAGCTGTCTTCTCCTACTTTTTGACTGAGAATCTTTTTGGATTCGTCGGTCAACTCGGTTTCTTCGTCCAGTGATTCTCGAGTCTTCATATCGACCAACGCATCGATGACCGATTGATGGCATACAGCGCCTGCTCCCCACTTTAATAAGAATGACATGGTTGCAATATATGTGTGTTTCAAACAACAGCAAATAGAGTGAGAATGGATGTATACTATCAGCTGTGCAGTGTTGACGCTATTATTATGATTGCGGGGTCATAATTATACAAGATCGGCGGGAGAAAAACAAGATACGCGATTATTGATTGATTCATTCGATCACTGTCGACGCACTGACGAAGGAAAAGTTTTTTCAATTCTTCACTTGAACACTTATCGGTACTGTACCTGGTACCGGTAAACAATATTCATTGTCATCCTACCGGGAGATGAGGCATTTGGTGTGCAAAGATTTTCAAACTTTTAGGCGGTGTAATCTATCAAATCTATCGTATTCAAGAGCCAAATCTGCTGAGCGGAAACTGTCAGGAGATGATATCTCATGCTCTACCTACAGTAATATGGGCTGGCGTTATTCAGACCACGATGTCGGAATAGTTATTGCAAATCGATTTCTGCAAAATAGTAGAGAGCCGCATGCCTCCTGCTATACCGCTGGTTTCATGATTCAGACCACGATGTCCGAATGGTGATTGCAATCTGCAACATAAAGAGCCACGCCAGCATGCTAGTAGTAGTAGCGCACACATTGAAAAAATGAAGCCCATGCTCATTCATCTGGTGTGCCTTCATATGTTTTTCTGCAGCAGGTTGCAACATATCTTTTGCACATTGAACAATGTTGCGTTCGTATTCGAAGCATTAATTCATTCATTCATTCTGATGTTCTTTATATACTCATAGATCCAAAGACGTCGTCGAGGTCCAATGACTGATGCATTGTAGACATATCGATGCTCTTCCGACGTGGTGTTTCGTCCTTGGTAGCAGTATTCTTGTTAGTCTTCCTGTTGCTAATGCGAGGAGTTCTGTAGTTGGGCAATTCCACTTCTTCTTCGTCAAACAAGCCGAATTGAAAGGAGTCGAACATGGCACTATTGGATGAAGATCTCATTGCAGCCATGCTACTGCTGCTCTCTTGGCCTTGTGTTGCTCTAAGGAAGCTGGTTCTATTGCTAGCTTTCTTGGTAATGTCGCTGTCGTTGTTCTTCTGCCCTTGTTGGGGGGGCAAGGCAAGATCTTCTTCTTCCAGAAAGCCGTCTTGAAAGGAGTCGAACATATCAGTACTTCCTAGCAAGGACATGCAAGAATCAAAATTAGGCCCCTTCTCTTTGGACTCTGAGGGCGCAGGAGGTATATCCTCGTCACCATAGAGGCCCACTTGAAACGGATCTGTTTCATCCACACTGCCTTGCAATGAGATCATTGAGCAGCTGTCTGTCATTTCAGTGAGTACTGTGGTATCATCGCATTGACTCTTGAGGTCTTCTGTAGTGCCGCCTCGACTCTTGATGTCATTTTCTGGTTCCACATCATTGAGATCTTCAAAACTTGTTTCACTCAAAGCTGGCTGTCCTGGTTTGTATCCCATACTGCCACTTGCGGAGGACCTTCGTCGAGGCATGGCGCACAGTTGGGCACTGCTTGATCCTGAAAAACTAGCAAAACGATTGCTACTGTTGTTCGAAGTTTCAAGTCTGAGAGCATCAATACTGCTGGAGTTGGATTGGTTGAATCTGAGATCATTCATACTTTTTTCCACATCTTCCTTCTTCGGATCTGAGGCTCGCTTCTGTTCTGGCATGGAGTCGAGCGTGGGACCGAATCGATAATGCGATCGATCACTAGTAGCGACAGTCGAATCTTCATCATAAAAATTATCCATCGTGATTGCAGAGATATCGCTCTGAGAGGAATGCATCGTGGAGGCGCCTCCCGAGCTCGATGAAGTTGTGGTTCTAGTCTCCTTGGATTGTCTCTTTCCCGCTCTTGCTCGAAAGTTGTCGACAGATGGTCTCGAACTACCAATACTGCTCTTCATCGAGTGGGAGTAGGAGTAGGATGAAGACGATTGGGTGGATGGGGGAGTTAACATGATTGGGCCTTGCATGTTCATAAATCTGAATTTGTGTGTACATATGGCGAAGTTAAATTTTGTGATTTTTGGAGCTCTTTGGGACCGCCTTCATAAAATACGGCATTTTGGTTGCGTGGTTCTGCCTTCAATGTTCCGAACTGAGGATTAAGCAGGAACGCTGCAGACATTTTTGCCATATTTTTATATAAGGGAGATTCCTTGCGGTAGTTTCTCATCCTCGCGGCAAGGGCTTTTCACATCTTTTCTTCTGAAGATCACGCGGGTTGCATCATTTCGAAAAAATCGAATTGCCTTTACAGTATTGGATAGCGACCGTTCGGAAAGGAAGTACTCTTTTGTTCCTCGATTTGCAGCGAAAATTCCCCGCTATTTTTGAATGTGTATAAAATGAAATATGATATATATCTATCATTCTGTAGTAAGAAAGCCCTCGAAAAAGAGTGTGTACCGTAGAGCTTTGCAAAGTGAACAATCTGACGCCTAACTTGTAATGACAAGAAGCAGAGCGCATAGCAGCCGGAACGGTACCAGGTACTAACTGCACCTGCTAGGTGCAATGTACAACCAAAGTTGATTGGACCGGTGCCAGTACCGGTATTGTAGTAGGTACTAGGCAAGTACTTGGAACCGCTTTCACCAAAGGTCCGCAGCCATGGAGATCATTATTTTCGTTAGTAGCTAACTTTTAAAACTGCATGTGCATGGAACATCAATTTAGAATGTGTTTGATTGGAATGGATAATTCCTTAATTCTATGCATGTTATTGTTCTTTTATGTCGTTTCTATATAGTCTTTCCTGTTGAAAAGCGACGATAGCGATATGGTAGTCGCGAGTTCCAGATCCATTAGTACCTTGGGATAGTAGTACCTACTAAATCGATCTCATTTCAACAAATGAAGAAATCCAAAAGTCAGATCACGATATATGACCATCTTCTGTAATACTACAGTAGACATGACGATCGGTACCAACTGGTGTGTACCTCCTGCTCTTTGTCTGAAGCGAGTCGCCTCAGTAAGCAGCAGCTTCTTGAGCAAGGGTTTCTCAAGCCCTCGAGTGTCTTGTAGTACCTGCTGCCAGTACAAGTGGGGAAGTTCTCGTTCGTATGTAGTTGTCAGCAATCAGCTCCAACGAGGCGATTCTTGAGGTGGTGATTTATGGATAGTATGATGAGATTCGGTTGTTGCCACAACTTCGGTCGTCACTGGCGATGGAAGAGGCAACAGAAGAAGCAGAGCTCCTGACTCTTCTCCGATAGTTACTACGTGGTTGACCCCCGGCCTATCAGAATGAGGACTTTCACGTTGGTAAAAAAGCCTTCGAAAAAGAGCTTGGGAAGTTTCAAATATTTGCATGTTTCAATGCATGGACAACTGTACCGGTACTGAATGATTTCCATGCGTAGACACTATGTTTCAATGCGTCATGCGTAGACACTATATGTTTCAATGCGATGTTTCGATGCGTCATGCGTAGACACTATGTTTCAATGCGTGGCCACTGTGATGTGTCAATGCGTGGGCAAATGCAACCAGAATGTTTCAATATGGACCGCCGCTAGGTAGCAGAACACAGAACGCAGAACACATGCAGTACCAGTACCGATTTGGTGCCGAAGCAGCACTAGCGTACTGCAGTTGAAGTAGTATACGAAAATTGATTAGTATTCTACTACCAGTAGATGAGTATAACTGGTAAAATACGTACTACGTACTGCTCTAGCTGTATAGCAGAAAGGCAGATTTGAGCTGATGATTCAATTCTTCTCTTTGCACCACCACCAGGCAGACAAGCAACAGGAGATTGTGGATTGATTCTCTTTCTCAGTGTCTCGCTTTCACCAAAGCTACAGTATGTTGCCACAAAGATCACTCTTTGCGGTAGTAGGCAGTGCATGGTGGAAACGGGAGAACTGGAATGTGTACTATTGTATAATTTCTTCGTTATGTTATGATTAAATATATGCTATCTTTCTTATATCATTTCTATATGGTATTTCGTCTAGAAGGATGACGATACCGTTGCGGTAGTCGCGAGTTCCAGATCCATAAATACTATCTTGTGGTAGGTAGTACTACTAAACGGATCTCATCTCCACAAATGAAGAACTCCAAAAGGTCAGATCACGATATCTGACCACCTTCGAAAAAGAAAATTGGTACCAAATATGTACCTCCTGCTGCTTATCTGAAGCGAGTGTTGCCTTAGTAAGCAGCAGCAGCAGCAGCTTCATGAGCCTGGGTTTCTCGCCTGGCTGTGTTCTTAGCTTAGCAAACCATGTGAAATGTTCCACATTCGTATGTAGTTGTCAATCAGCTCCAACGATTGAGCAGAGTACTATGGGTATGAGATTCGGTTGTAGCCATAACTTTGGTCGTCACTGACAATGGAAGAGGCAACCGAAGAAGCAGAGCTTCTGACTCTTCTCCGATAGTTCCGACGTGGGCGACCCCCCTCAGAATGAGGACTGTGAGGGCTGTCGTCACTCGAGACCGAAGACGAAGCAGCAACCCACAATGTAACCGAAGAAGTACCACTTCTGACTCTTCTTCGATAGTTGCGACGTGGTCGACCCTCATGGTTGGGATTGTCTTCACCAGCTTTCATTGGTACCTTATACACGCATTCTTGTTCGTCTTCAAACCCCATTTCAATGGAATCGTACGCATATTGGCTACCTTCCAAGGTTTCCATTGAAGCCTGAGAAGCATCATCGTCCTCATCATCTTCCTTTGTCTCGCCATCATATTGGCTGTAGTATTGAGCTGGCTTGATGCACAATTCCATTTCCACAGACATTCTTCTACGAGGGATGGCACACAACTGCTTGTCACCTTCCGAACAGCTGGAGAAGCGATCGTCGTTTCTCCCAGGAACTCGGAGTTCATTCAAGCACTGCTTCACTTCTTCTTCGTCCGGATCAGAGGAACGCTTTTGTTCCATCAGCGAACGAAGTTTTGGATCGAATCGGTGAAGAGACCGACTGTGATGGGAACCAAACTCCTCATCCATGGTAATGGCGGAGATGACGCTATGATCAGCTGAGCTAGCATCTGACCTTCGACGTTGGTATGGTGTCATGACAGCAGCTTTGGTCGTTGTCGGAGCACCGCACATGATATTTGTGAACGGTACAGACAAATATATTTCAAAATATGATTTACTTACTCGCGATTGAAGTTTTAAAAAATGTGTGATGCACAGGAGCCTTTCAATTTGACCATTTCGTCCTCTCGTGGTATTGACCCTTAAGTCCGTTTTGTCATGGAATTTATGTGTTTCACCGTGTAAGAGCTATTTTTTCACTTGTTTCGAACAATCGTTAAGTAACTTCTTTCCTTGAGGTCCATAGCGGGGGAGCTGATTTGCACAAAATGCTTCTTCTCTGTACCGATATTGAATGTCAGCATCCAACGTCCATGCATGTGCAGATCTACGGTACAAAAGCTACAGTACTACAAGGTACCGGTACGTGTACTGTAGGTTGTGGAACGCAGGGACCAAGACACGTGCTTCACTCTCGAGAGGACAAAAGGACTCTCAGAAAGGCGGAGAAGAGGTGAGGTATGCCCTCGTCTTCAAGGAGGCTAATAGGTACAGTGATACCGAATACGGTATGTGTGTTTCTGAGAAAATTATAATGATATATTCAAACTGTTTCATAATTTTAAACGACCTTAGTTTCTGAAGATGCATGGACAGGATGAGTTCTCTGTACTTGTACTATAATCTTCCATTATAACATGTCTGCTCTAATGCCTTCTACCTTGATCTCCAAAGACATCGAGCAGGTCCAAAGACTGTGACGAGATTCCACTTCGGCTGTAGCCATAGACCGGAGGGTTGCACTTGCCGTGCCTGCGGTAATTGCGGCGCGGTGCTGTGTCTTCGTGGTGAGAGATAGGTAGCTTGCTCTCGCTCTCGCCTCCTAGGGGTAAATCGTATTCAAGTTCTTCATGCAAGGGCTCTTCGTACGAACTATGCGATACATCGTTCTCTTCATTCTCGTCAAATCGTTCGCTAATGCCAAGATCCAGATTATCTTCGCTCAAGAAGAAAGTGCTGTTATGCCACTGCTGGGAATTTCGATAGTCCAAATCAGTTGAGGCGGATGACAAGCAACTGTCAACGGAGCCGCTTCGGGCACTTCGTGTCAAGATGCTGGAAGCGGACTCTCCATTACCGCAGGTGCTGTCCAAAGAATCATATGATTTCGAGTATGCTGATCGGTAGCTCATCGATAACCTTCGTCGGGGCGCAGCGCAGAGCTTTGTATCTGCTGCTTCGGCTACGCTGGAGAACCGATTCATATTTGTAACAGGAAGAATTTGGCGTTTCGCCTGCTCTTCTTCCATTTCAGGATCAGACGACCGTTTCTGCTCCTTTAGAGAATGCAGTCTAGGGTCCAGTCGATACTGATAGCGATCGGATATTGTGAATCGATCAGAAACACCAAATTCATCATCCATAGTAATGGCTGAGACATAACTGAAATGATCCTCCTCGAGACTTGTGCAACTACTGTACGTAGCGCTAGTGACAGTCTCTTCGGAGCTGGGCTTGATTGGCCTCACAGAGCTTTTGCGTTCGGCTTCAGTCAATTCAAAACGTTTGAACATGGTAGTGTTAGAAGTAGTTCTTGTTATATGCACTTGGAAAAAGTGAAACTGAAGTGCTTTTCCGAGTTTGTTTCTGCTCGTAGTTCTACCGGAAGAGTGAGATTCAGGCCTTTGAGCAGATTGTTCGCGGGGGCCGACCTACTACAATCTTTCTCCATTACTTAACTAATACGTTGCCGCGGTACCCAGCATCGATACCGCAAAGACATACTTCAATGAAAATACGTTCGCCTGTATTTTTTAAGGTTTATTGCAGACTTGTGGTACTTAAGAGCATGGTTTTTCGGTGGCCAATCCGGAGGAAATGGTTGTCAGTAAAATGATAAAAATGGGATTGTTGTTAATTTAGCTCGCATCTGGCATGAACTTGGCTTGATTGTTTGCACTCCGCATCGTTCTCTACGAGTAACATCGTTTTTCAACTTCGACTTCCTGTTTATTGGTGGGTATACTTCTGTTGGTGCCCCTAAGCAAAAGGTCATTTCATTTATAGCTAAAATGATAAAACTGGAATGTCATTTGTTCCCCCCTACATGCTAAACGTGAAGCGAACGGAGCTGTTTGCACCTCTTTGGTATTTTCGAGTCTGGATGTCGAACTTCTTTTCTGCTCATTCAACTCATTCAAGCAAGAGTATACAGTACTGGTACCTGGTGCCGGTATTCAAGCGGAGACGGATTTGCTACTTGTAGGTGGATCGATTGTTATCTATCGGATGTTTTACGGACACCACGTTACTCCTGTTCGAAAGGAAGTACTGTAGACGATGTAAAGATATTTTTGGTGCGCGTCTTCTTCGAACCCTACCTGGTACCGTACCCTACGATATTACTCCTCCGATGAAAAGTCGGATGTTAAAATTGTACAAGCAATCGTGGGTTTGTTGTACTCCTGATTACTACTTCGCCCTTTGATAACAACCAAGGTGTCGGATGTTACCCTTACAAGCAATCACTGGCCCGTTGTACCTCTTCAAGTTGCTTTGCAAAACGCGGCGTGAATATATGACGGAGTTAACCGGTTGTTGATGGTTTCGACGAGAACTAGAAGTCGTTATTTGTCCAGACAACTTGTTGTCATTCGATTTCCCAGCTTTCCCGACTGGGCTCATCTGCTTGTTGACGCAGTCCATGGCATCGACAGAACCTTTTAACGGATGGACGACTGAGCTTTGCGAGCATTCCTTCTTCGTCTCGCCATTATCGAAACTGCTATCCTTCTGGTTCTGATTTCCGTCTTGTTCTGAATAACATACCGGTGATGGTGCTGTGTTTGATAAGTGCTGATGTAAACTTTTCGATGGTAGTTCTCGATCATCCACACAGCTTGAAGAGCATGTTTCGCTGGCTGTACTATCAGTGGAGGAACTCGAGTCGAGTTCCGAAAAGGAGTCGACAGATAGCTTTCTTCGAGGGGGCATTGGGGGACACAATGACGAGTCAGAGCATTCTGACAGACTTCTCCTGAAACGGTTTCGGGTGTTCGTGGGAAGATGTGGAGAATTCATGGACTTTTCAAAACTCTGTTTCCGCATGATTTGCAGTGAGGCACGTTGTTTTGGGTCAAACTGATACTCAGAGAAGCTACCCTTGCGGTTGTAACGGGTGGGTTCCGAAAAGGAAATCCTTCTTCTAGACGGCATGATGATATCTGGATTTGACGGGGAAGGCATGGTATGAGAACGAAAGAATGCAGTTGAATGATTTCGGTTGCAAATTATGCAAAACACACCTCCAAGGAAATGTGGTATGGAAGAAAAAAAAGATCAGACTACCCCACAAGAAGGGCCGCTCGGTGTTAACCTTTTTATCAACGTTCTTTCGTGCTTAGACACAGACGCTATTGATTCTCCTTTGCCCAGTTTGCATTTATAATGGCTGGCGATTCGTAATCTTGTTCGACTCGGCAATTATCGGACGAACGTATTATCCATATATTGGTGCCGACGAAGATTACCAGGTACTTGTGACAGATACTTAAAAGCTGATATTTTGATGTAGAGATTTATTGAAGGTATGGAATCTGTTTTCAGAGATTTATTGAATCTGGCGTTGGCCTTTTCTAGTTTTTAACGGAATTTTATCTACCGGTACTGTACCAGAAAGTTAACAATGGTAGTTAGTGAAACCTTACTACTTGCAATGGCGCAAAAGGAGTAATGGCAGCTTCTGGCCGGTGGACTCGTATGCGACAGCTGAAGCCGAATAACATTTCCTATCGCTTGGACAGATCGTCTCCTCCAAAGACCTCGGCCGAGGAGCAGATCTAATAATGATTGGAAAAACGCACAAGGCATTGACTTTGAGGTTATTGAAAGTTAGAAGTATTAGTCTCAGGGAGCAAAAGAAGCAATGGCAACTTCCAACAGACCCAATCGTATAACGTATGCCACTGGGAGAAGCCGAATAACATGTACAGCGCTTAGTCAGATCATCTGCAACGACCTGGACCAGATCCATGATTGGGTGATTGCAGCGCATAGTATGTCATCATCAAAGCTGCCTGTTTCAGAGGAGAGCACGCTGGAACCCCTGTACCTTCGGTCGTTTGTACCCACGCCTTGTATCTTCAAGTTTCAAAGCACATACACATCGCCGATGTGTCAGCTATTCCAAAGGTTCAACAAAACTTTCTGAGCTAGTGTCATCTTCTTCTCTCTCATCCTCCTTAAGGTCTTCGTCACATAGAGATTCCTCTTTCAAGAAGCTACTGGATTGACCACCAAAATGCTTGGATGATCCAGAAGAATCCGTCATTGATGCTCGATAGTTCAAGCTGCTAGAGGACAAATAAGTGTCCGCTGAAGTTTGCCTTTGCGGCGGGGGGCACATTGCAGTTTCTGTTTCTTCCAACATATTGGAGAAGCGATTCAAGTTGCGACGAGGAAGGCGGAGTGTATCTTTTATGCTGGGCATAGCGGCCCACTTATTTTCCATTAGGGATCGTAGTTTCGGATTGGGTCCTCGATTTTGTGGTGGTCGTTCGTCGGAAGTGAACAGACAATCATCGAGCGTAATGGAGGATATCATGCTGGAACCATGACTCCAATACTGTGACAAGCTTGTACGCTTAGCAGGAGCGGCAATACCAGCAGAACTTTGTTGTTGGCAGTAGCTCATGTTCTTGTGACGAAGAAAAATGAATCCAAAAAGTGGGTGACTTGGATCTTGTGCGGTACTGAACCTTCTTTTCGGGGTTTTGTGGGGTAAAAGTTGTTCCATGTGGCAATAATTTCTTTTTTATTTACTTAACAAATGATCAGAACCACGTTTTCTTCTGGTCGACAGACTAGGTATCTGATCGGGATTCGGAGTTGCTACGAGATGAGGTAAAGTTTTCAGATCGCGCACACTCACAACACTGAGAATTCGGAACCGTGTGACTCACTCAATCGATATCTTATTGTCACAAATTTTGCGGGGATTGGTACCACCGGAAGGATACTTTACACCAGCGTGGAGAGAATACGCTTCGAAAAGGCACTTTTAACTATTCAAAGTGTCTAATAGCTAACAAGCGTTTGGGTAAATACCACCGGAATGATAGTGTTGAAAAGAATACCTCATCGTACTGTGTGCAGTCGCTGGATGAAACCCACCAATGCCACTCGACTTGCTTGGTAGATGGTAGATATGAAAACATAAGAGAGTCTATATCCGCATCGTCTTCAGGCATGGAAACGCCCTCTGCTGCGGTATTCTTTGTAGTGCTAACTTGATACCACCGGATTCGTGGTTGGGTGCAAAGCGAGAAGGTTTTATAGTCGTTGGCAAAGTCACTGCAGTCGTCGCTTTCTTGGGTTCTCATATTGTTGTACCTACATCCATACAGGAAACTAACTTCTTGATGTATCTGGAGCGTAGTGTATTGTATGTTCTAAATCTATAGATAATTATGTTTGCTTAGCCTTGCCTGCAAGAGGCATAGGCGGCAGGTCGCAAGTCAAGCTTGTACGCTGATCCTCGCCGTGCAGGCTTGGTAATCGAACTTGACTTTTCCCTGGGGCATCTTGTTTCAAATCGATCCGTAGATCCGGCCAAACATATATCTCCAGAATCTTCTGGAAACACAACAAGCTCGCTGTCATCGTCATCATTATCAACGGCCATTAGATTCACAGCACTTAAAAGTCTTGCGGCGGCGCTTTTGTCAGCCGATGAGACGTAGGAAAGTGAGGAGCGACGCCTGACCATTTGAGGAGAGACATCCACAGAGGGACTGCTGCGTTCTGAAAAGATATTGGGCGTATTACTTGATTCCCCAAAGACGTCGTCGAGGTCCAAGGAAATACTGGACATGCCAGTCCCATAGGAGCCACGACTCTTGAGCGTCGAGCTAATCCTTTGACTTATTTTGGGGTACGATAAAGGAAGCGCCTGATCATCGTCGAGGTCAAAGGAGATACTGGACATGCCAGTCCCATACGAGCCACGACTCTTCATGGCCGAGCTTCTTTGACTTCTTCTGGATGGCGCGTAGGACATGGGAAGCGCCTCATCCTCTTCTTCTAGACCCGTATAAAAGGTGTCGTAAGATTCAATCTCTCCTTGCAAGGGGTTACCAGAAGTGTTGCTCTTCTTATTGACGACGACTTGGTAGCTACTATTGACGCTGTATTGGTGTGCCGATTGGTAATCCAGGTAGCTAGAGGAAGACTTGCGACGCGGGCATTCACACACGCCATCTTGTGCAGAACTGGAGAACCGGTTGTTGCTATCATCGTTGGAGGCAATCCTCAGCGTATCCAAATACTGTTGGACTTCTTCCATATCAGGGTCGGAAGCACGCTGTTGTTCGGGCATAGATCGAAGCTTGGGGCCAAAGCTTTTTCTAGAAGCCGATCGATCAGCAGCATGGCAAAAAGCCAATTCATCGTCCATTGTAATGGCCGAAATGGTGCTGGAACAACTGTTTTCCATTTGAGTCAAAGTGCTGATGCTGGATCTGCCAGATCTTACAGATCCAGCGATGCTACGGCGCTTATTGGTTTCTCTCGGCATGGTTCAACGATGTGCTGTTAAGGGTCAGCCTTACTTTTTTGTAGAAGACTCTTTTGTAGTTTCAACAGCAGAAACGTTTGTGTGAAGTCACAATACCGGCACTGGTTTTCAAATATACGAGTGGGGTACTGAAGGATTCACTTCTGCCTCTGTGATGTGAAGGAGAATTTTTGAGGTGTTTTTCGAAGCCTTTTTCGAAGCCTTTTTCTCTCAGCGGTCTTGGGCCGTCCACAGTTTAATTAGGGATCCTAAATTGGAAATTATAGGGAAACTAAGCAAAAGTGAATATTTCGGAAAGGATACTGACAATTATTAGATGGGAAAATAGAATCATAAGTCCACCCTAAGTATCAGCAACCACATGAGGGAGCCAAGTGAACAGAAATGTCCAGCAAAGAACATCGAAACCACTTAGTCACTGGTACTTTTGCTTCCCCAATTCGACCGTAGTTTCTCAATGTCCCTCCTTCGACTTAGAGGTTCGGATGAGACAATAAAATGCACCGTTCGCACTTCAACTAGAGAGTAGCGGTATGATACAAGAAGCGAAGTAGCGAAACAATCATCACAAAGCGACCTTTTGATGTACCATTTCTCATTAATGTACAGTAGTTGGTACACTACAAGGATGGAAGGGGTACCGGTACCAATACGGTAGTTTGCCTGACGCCGTCCGAAATCCAAAGTGCTTGGCCCCAATGGTACCAGGTACCATACCAGGTACCATCAGGTACAGCACTGCGGGTCATGGATTACTGTACCTATGAATTTATTAAATACTGAAGGTACACTATAACCTTTACTCTTGCTATAACTCTATATAAAATCTCTGGTTTTGAAATACATCACTCTGCTACAGGTACACGTATTCATCTTCGCAGCGATTCGATTCATCTTTCATTCCGAAGCCGAAGTGCTTGGCAGCGCTACTGGACCGAGAAAGGACATGGCATTCACAATGATGACATCTGCACCACACCGAAATCGACAAAATGATCGTTCGTCTCCAGCATCAAATACCGATGATGATGATATTAAGTCAGTAGTAGCACCACCATCCGTCTCTATCATAATAGCTGCTGCTGCTTGCTGCTCCAGTAGTTTGGCTTTCCAACAGGCGCACTCCAACAAGGACAGCGCCTCGAGTCGTTCATGGTCCAAGAGCTTGAGTAAAAATTGATGCAACTGTCCTCTTCGTTCACTGATTGGAATGGTACCAAAAGAAGCAAGAAGGCCGTCCATTTCGAATAGAACTTCTTGTTTCCATTGGACCAAACCAAGGAATTGCAGAATTCGAGACTCGAATCCCCATTCCATCATCGACTGTAAGATTTCCACTGTACCAGGAGCCCTGTTCAAACACAAGTATTCCAATGGCGTAGTCTTCCAGTAATCTTGCATGGTCAGTGCCTTTCTCGGGTATACTTTTTGCAGTTGTTGAAACAAATCAACGTTGTTGGGTCGGACCGAGAGCGCCAGTATATGGAATGCTGTCATTCCATAAGGATCCACAAGATCCATGATGCTGTCGTCGTCGTCATATGTTGGAATCATCATCGCTTGTCTAGTACTAATTCGTTCTGGATGAGTGACTTGATTTGAATGGGATTCACAAGCCTGTCTGTAGCACAATCGATGGAGTGGCAAATCTTCAAATCGCTTGGCCACCATGTGGCAAATAAAAGCATTCCAATTTTGGGTCTGATCATCACACTCGTCTACAAAGCGCGACACGCTGTGGTGATTCAAAGGAACATAAAGATCAGTACAAGAGAAAAAGGCGCCATTGCCAAGAAAGTTTTCGTGATAGATCAGTCGGAGCTTGTCACACATGTGAAAGGCGTAGTTTCCAATATTCTTGAGACTGGGTGATAACTCTGCTGACATGAGTTGTCCACAACCATCAAAGCAACCTTTGGATATTTGCTTGACAGTTCTAGGGATATTGACATTTACCAACGATTCACAGTGACTATAGAGGAAGGGGCATGGAAAGGGATGGTTAGACAATTCATCCATCCATTCATCCATTCATTCATTCATCAATCCATTCATCCATTCGTGTCAGCTTCCTCCTCAACTCAATAAGTTCAGTCAACCTTACCTAAAGGCATCCTTGCCAATCTTTTTGAGACCCTCTTTCAGATAGACTGTAGTCAATACAGAGTTCCAATGAAAGGCTCCGTCCCCAATTTCTTTGAGGGTGGATGGATACACCACCGTTTCAAATTCGCAATAGGCAAAGGCTCCAATGCCCACAATTTGCAATCCTTCTGGCAGTACCAAATGTCTCAAACTCCGACAGGACCAAAAGGCATTCGTCTTGATCTCAATGACCGTAGATGGAATTTCAATGTCTTGCAATTGCGAACAATCTTCAAAGGCACCGATTCCAATTTTTAGTAAACCCTTCTTGGGCAACTGTACTTGAGTCAGCAACGAGCAATATTGAAAGGCCCGATTTGGAATTTCGGTTCCCACCGATTTGTGCACTTTTACCTTACGAACAGTGTGAGGATCGCGACGAGCTTCGTAACGATGTCGTCCCCGATAAATAAAAACTTCGTCATCCTCTTCCTCGGTACTACTCTCGGACGAAAGTGACATTTCGTCCGCCGTCGTGACTTGCACAATTTGTTGATGATGCTCTTCTTCTTCTTCTTGACCAATTCCATGCGTGTTGGCCAGCTGCCGAAGTTCATCATCATTTGTGTCTTGAATGCTCGCTTCATCATTATCCGTGGTAGTATCAGCAGCAGTAATAGCAGTAATAGCAGCAGGAGCTGTTGTCCTTACTCGTTGTTTGATGGATACCGAAACAAAGGCCTCACTTCCCCATTTCAAAAAGGGTTTTTGTTGAATGCCCAAATCAAAATCATCCAAGGAAAGCAATATGTCGTCGTCGTCGTCACTGCTGGTCGAGCTGCTGCCGGTCAAACTGTGTTCGTCCTCCTGTTCCTTATCCTCATCGCTGTCAACGGATCCAAGCGTGAAAGATGGTGGGATGAAACACCCATCAGCAGCAGCAGCAGCAGCTGTCGTGATGTCAGCAGAAGGTATCTTATTGGAGGATGATGATGATGATGACGATGATGACGACGGATCTTGGGCCTCGTCAACAACATCATTCACAATAATGCTTGGAGTCAATGGCAGCTGATCCATGTAAGATTTGTTGCCGCTGTGGTTGGTCAATAAATTAGACCTGGTGTTTAGGTCAGGAGATTGGCCTACTGGTTGATTCTCCTGCCGCGTCCTCTGTCCCGATGAGTTTGTCTCCTCGTCTTCTTCATTGTCGTCCAAACAGCAACCTGATTGACGCAGCGCTCGAATTCGAAGCTTGATATCAGTGGAGCATCTCTTTTTCGGTGATGGACTTGGAGACGTTTGGTTCATGCGTAGCTACCAATCAACGAATGAATGAATCAATGATAAGAACTGGTTCTTGAAAAATAAGCGGTGGGAGATGTCGAAATTCTTGTGGTGAGAACAAAGATCAACAATCGTTGCATCAAATTGTATGTGTGAAAGATCGTCTGTGGTCTTGTCGGGCAAGTGAACTGCTCAAACAGGGTAGAGATGATTTGATTCTTGATCTTGGTTTCCTTTCATACGGTATGAGATGGATCGTACCAGAAGAATGTTATTCTTTGCTGACGATCCGAAGATTTCAGATACTACAGTACTTCCGGGGTTTTGGCATTCTAACGGTTGCCGCCAAACACCATCCGTTCGATCCGTCTTGCTCTCCGTTGATACGCAACAGAAGCATTCTTTTTTCCGAGCCAGCCAAGCATGTCACAATTTGGTGGGATCTCGACAAAAAATGCCAAGCTAGCTTCTACCTTTCCATCTCCTCTCGTCCTCTATCTGCTATAGTATAATAGCCGCAACCCTTCTATTCTCGGAAACAAAGGGAAAAAGGCACACGCACAAGTCATCATGACACTTGGCGTTACTACAGGATTCGAAATGGACGATGATGATCGTGGTGGTCTTTCGGCTTGTCCATCCAAAGACTTTTCCGAGGCTTCCAGTTTGTTCATCAACAACCACACCAGCAACTGGCAGTTTGAAGAAGAAGGAGAAGAAGAAGATACCGTAGAGGATGATTTCATGACATTTCCAGCGTCGGAAAACTTTTTCAAGAATGAAACTGCCACATCTCCACTGCGTAGGAGCGCCACACAGCAGCAGACTGTTGATGGACAGAGAAGAAGCCAAACCAAGAACAACCACAACAACAACAACAATAACACCTCCATCATGTTGTTGGTGGACAAAGTGAGCGCCTCCAAACGCAGTGGTGGTGGTGGTGGTGGTGGAGGTGAAGACACTTGCAGCACCCAAATCACTGATCACGAAGAAGATGGATGCTACACCCTTTCGTTGGCTTCCAACTCGGAACTTGGTGAATCGTCCTCGCCTACAACAGTGCAAGCCAAAGATGAGGACGAAGAAGGAGTGAAACCAAAGGAATACGAAGATTGCTTCTCAGGTGGCCCCGTGGAGAAACCAATGATGATGGTACCACTGGTACCACCAGTGTCACTACAACAAAATGGTGATGGTGATGATGATGATGATGATGATAATGTTGACAAACGGCAATCCAGTAGCGCACGAGATGCCATGGAATTGCCATCGTATGTTTTGGATGACTCTAGCCCTGTTCGAGCAACTGAGGAGAAGGAGGACCACGAGCGAACCTCCTCTCTCGCAATCGCCACTGATGAAACTGACAGTCCAGCCGTGGAGGATGCTACTGCTGTCATTGCCATTCACAACAACAACAACAACAACAACCACAACAATGACACTATGGTTGTTGGAGAAATTGGTGCTGCTGATTCCAAGGTTCGATACTCCAAAGCTGCCCAAGAGGTTTTGAAGGAAGAAGCACCAGTTTCGTTTTCGTCGTCGACGGACAAAGATTTGGACGAGAATGCTAGCAAGACGGCAATCCTGTTGTCCTTGCAATCCCAATCGCATGCCGCAGCCATGGAGTTCCAAGTCTCTGCGGCAAACGCCACCAAAAACGTGGCGGGAGACGTACAACTTGCCAAGGATACGATTGGTTGCGACGATGCACTGGAAAATATTTGCAATGGATTGGCCGATAGCACTCTGTATGGATGCCATGTCTTCATGTCCTTGTTTGACAATGATGACTCGGCTGATGAATACGATGAACAAGAAATGATTGAGGCCCAACAATCCATGGACAAGGGAGAAATTATGATTCCGGAAGAGGCACCCATGATGCAATTGATGGAGGAAATGAACGAAGCTCATCAAAGACTCATGATTGAGGGAGCCATTGACGAGAACATTCCGCAAGAAGTCATAATAGAACAAGAACAAGAGCAACAACACATGACATTGGGCGAAATTATTGCGATTCCTCAACAAGAAGAACACATGCTAATCATGGCATTAGAGGAGGATGATCCCATTGTGCCACGAGTGGTTCGCAAGGGACATGTTCTATCTGACATGTTCAAGGAAAAAGAAGAAGACCAAGGCAAACATCAGCGACAACAAAATAATGCTCTTCCTCCCACCACTGTATCCGCAAGAAAACTCATCGCTTCTTGGCCTCCCAAGAAGCAATAACCATGGTTTGGTTTTGTATCTGGCAAACCTTGCTTGTGTGTGGGATTGTGGGATTGTGGGATTGTGGGATTGTGACAAGCCTTTGAGATGCTTTATTATTTGGAATACACATGGCCTAGAGATCCCACGCATTACTTCCATTATTGAGAGCAAATTACAATATTAATACAAATATAAAATATTTCGTGAACCTATAGTCCTATATTATACTGAGAGCAAAACTATTCAATTCAAAGTTTGCATCCTTCCTAATTGATTGATTGATTGATTGATTGTTGTGTATATGATCTTGCCCACTGCAACTAAAATTTCATATTCGTGTTGCAGCAGAGGCACCGTCATATGCGGTTGCTCTCTTTTCCGCATCGTTCACAGAACGTTATGCGTACAGGCTATTGACGCAAACTTCCCAGATGCTACAGTCACACTCCAACTATACTTTCATATACGCGTTGTAGCAGAGGCCCCATCACCGGTGGCACTCGTTTAAGGATCAGCATCTTTCAGGGAAGGTTTGCACATACTTGTTGAAGGCCAGTATGTTTGCCGTTTTTCACATACACAGTCAAAACAAACGACAGCTCCCACGTGGAGCTGAAGCGGACCGGAGAGATAGCTCAATGCCAGTTATGCTCTCTCTTTGGGATATCGCTTACGGGGTTCCCCCAGCCAAAGAAGTATGTGTTCTGGATTTGAGAAGCACCGCCATCTTCATGGGGTTGCTCTCTCTTTAGAACGATCAGTGTCGTTCAAGGAAAGTTTGCACATCATACTTTTGTATGTATGTGCCTTATTCCCTTCACATCATGCACAGTCAAATCAAACGACAGCTCCCACGTGGAGCTGAAGCAGGACCGGAGAGCCAGAAAATAATTCTCTCTCTTTGGGATATCGCTTACGGGGTTCCCCCAGCCAAAGAAGTATGTGTGTTGTGTATTGGGTTCAAAACGACTTACGCACTCACCTACTGCACGCCAAAACTCTCAGCCAAATACTCCAAGAGTTGGTGTCGCAGTAGTACTCTTGCATGCAAACCCCATAAGGCCTGTCTTACTGCAATCGAAGCACGGTAGCGGTCGAATGAACATTCGAGTAGCTCTCCTTTGGAGTAGCTCTCGTGACAAAATAAAGCCCCCTGCTTTGATTTTGTGAGCATTTGGAGTGTGCAAAAAGTGAAATTGAAGGAACCAGTTTAGAAACGGCCAAGACTGGATCAGCGAAAAGTTTGACCACGTTTTCGGCAGGGTTTTCAATTGTTCTCTCCGTGACCGTTTGCAGCTCCTCGTAATGATAGTTGTCGACTTACCTGGAATTTCACAGCGAAATCAACCAAAGGCGGTGGTGTTCTTGGAACATTTAGTGCTGAGATTTGAAGGGAAGAAGCCTCCATAATGGAACAATGGACGCAAAATAAGTTCATCATCATTAATATTGTCAAATAACAAGCATCATCATCGTATACTTTACTCGTACGTCGAAAGTTTGCTTTTGGACGACTACTGCGACTAAAAACACAAGCTTGCCTGTATCAGTAGGTATTGCAAAGTTACAGTATACTCGTACTGGTATTAATACTGTCCAAGTCCAAACAAAAATTCTTACGCATTGAATGAATCTCATTCCAACTTTCCACCACCTATTGAAGATATACCTACAAATTTTTACACAAGAAATTCATGTTCGATTGATCCTAGTCGTCCTAGTAAATAGTCCCTATTGATTCATTCATTTACATAATGTAGTGATATTGTACATTCAGTATTGTTGCAAAGCCAGCATATAGTAGATTTGGATAGTCGTAGCCTTCTTGTTCCTCCTTTGCTAGCAATATATGAGGATGCTGGCTGGGACGAGCGGCGAAATGCAATCAAAGCGTGGGTGCTGTGCGAGTAGTACACGTGTACAAAAGAAGAAGCAGTTTGACCAGTACCGGTATGTATGCAAATACTTCTCTTCGCATCGCCGGTGATTTGATAGTGTGTGGAAAGGAAGCACGAGTCTCCTTTTTATTGTCTTCTCTCTCGTCGTCATTCCTTCTGTTTGGGCTCCACGAATTGCCTTGGATTAATAATAGCTTGGCCATTAAAAATACGAGCATCGCAGTCGTATTGTTGTAGTTTCCCCTTCTTCGCTCCCCAGCTTGAGGCCGTAATTGTCGCTGCCGCCATGGAGTGAAGTCCATTCTTGACGACGGACACTCAAAGAGTTCTTATTAGTACTCACTCCTCTTGTTCTTCCTCCATCATTGTCAGTAGATCCAATAGACGTTGCGTGACTTTCATGTCACAAGTTTCTGATGTTCCCCAATCTCTACCATCTTTATGAAAGGAACTCCACTTTTGGATCCTTTGCCGATATCGCTTGGGCGAAGGTGTGCCAGGAGCAGCTGCAGCACTGCCATCTACCGACGATTCGTCCTCGGATGATAACGACGACGACGACGAAAAAGAAGCCATTAAATCTGGAACGGCGGGTGGCGCTCCAAAAGTCTTGTATTGTGGTTGCTTTTTCTGTTGTTGTTGTTGTTGTTGTTGTTGTTGTTGATCCATCATGTTGGGATGAAATGGATCACAAATGGCATCCATCACCGAAGTGGGACTGACCCCTCGATCAAACTCGGCCAAGAATCCATAATGGTGATGATCATGATTCTTGAGATGCAGCGGATGACAATGAGGCGGCAATGGTGGTAGATGATCATTCGTACAGCTGTTCCTGTCAGCACCCTTTTCTGGAGTCATTTTCACCATGCCATCGTCGTCGTCGTCATGGTCATCAAGATCTTGAAAGAAATCATCACTTAAAGAAGAAAACAAACTCGAGGATAGTCGAGTCTCTTGGTGACAACAAGAAGGTCCACCACCAATAGTACCTGATGAGATTCTCGAGACGCTCTTCTTGCGTTTGTGGATTGTAGGTGGTCGAGGGCAAACATATTCATCCACGTCCATCATCTTAAAAGTTGTATTTGATGCAAAGTAGTAGTAGGTTACTTATTCGGAGTTGTTATTGGCTTGTTTGTCGTCGTGGTTTCAAATTTGAGAACAAGAACGGTGAATGGTGATCATGCAGAAGTCTAGGAGGAATGATGGTGTAGTATCTGTCATTAAAAGTACTGTTGTTGATGTCAATGTGGATGAAAGTAGTGAGTCCAAGTGAATGTCTACTCCCTTTTGATATTGTGAGTAGACACGTATAAAGATACGGTGTAGTATGAGCTAATCGCTGACTTTTTTTTCTTTTTTCTCTCGCCAATAATACTTGTACAGACTCCTGCCAGACAGACATCATTTTGGGTTGGATCAGAAGCGCGCCAAATAGCGAGTTCGGCGATTTCGCCAAACCCGACAAAGGATGGACAATTAGGGAATGTATGTCTCATTCAACGGGTGATGTGACATGGATCCACCAGTCCGCGCAATCCATTCTCGGACGTTGAACGTGCCACTTGTACCTGGTACTGTACCGGTAGCGGTACGAACTTTGTAGGCTATGTCCGTCCTTACTTCACCCGCTTCACCAACCTTTACCGTCTGTTTTCGTCCACGCACGCCGCACGCGTCCGAATAAAAGTCATCACCAGAACCTACGTCAGCGCAATAGGGTCTGCACTACCGTCCAGTCATTGTACGGCGGCTGGCGTACCGGTACGTTTTGCCCAAATCTTGTGCAAGATTTGCCAAATCCTGAAACTTCAATTTCGGTGCCCCTGCCCGTACTTCAGGCACATAATACTTTGTTTTGGTCAGACCAATATTCATTCACTCTTGTTCGTTCACCATGAAGTTCTCTGTTGCCACTCTTCTTGTCGGATCTGCTGCCGCCTTTGCTCCTGTCTCTGTTGAGCGCTCGAGCACTGCCTTGAATGTTGAATTCAACGTCCCATCTCAGGCCCTTCCCTTCAAGGGAGTGTGCGCTCCCGACACTTTGGACGGATCCCTCGTCGGAGATGCCGGATTCGACCCCGTTGGTTTCTCCACCGCTCCTTTCGCCAACTGGTTCGACGTCGGCCAAAAGACTTCCATGAGCGACTTGGAATGGCTTCGCGAAGCCGAGATCACCCACGGACGCATCGCCCAACTTGCCGTCCTTGGATTCATCTGGCCTTCGGTGTTTGGAACCTTCCCCGGAAACGAATGGTCTGGAGTTGACGCTTACTCCTACACCAACCCCACCGAATCCTTGAGCCATGTTCCAGTCTTTGCCACTGAACAAATCGCCGGATTCATGATCTGGGTTGAGCTCTACCGTGTCAAGTGCATCCGTGAGGATGGTGCGGACCGTCTTCCAGGTGACCTTCGTCTTGGACAAGGTGAGGGAAGAGCCAACCCCTTCAAGCTTGACTACACTCCTGAGGAGTACGAAGAAAAGCAACTTCAAGAAATCAAGCACTGCCGTCTTGCCATGCTTGGAGCCCTTGGCCTTTGGTTGCAATCTGTTTACTCTGGAACCGACATTGCTTCTCAATTGGGAGCTGCCTTTGAAGCCCCCGCTTACGTTGCCAAGGCCGGATACTTCCTTCCCGAAGGTATCTAAGCAGTCTCCTTTCATTTTCTCACATAAGAAGAATACTTACTACTTGCGAGCCATCCTAATTATGTTGTGAACGCTTCCCTTCACACACTTACGGAGCCGGCACCAAGCACACACAAAAAGAGACTCTATTGGCGCATATTACTAATTTCCTATAGAAGTTTTCATGTAGAGTATGATGCATCTATATATATCTATATATATGAATATATATACATTGGTTGAACTGGGTTGGGTTGGATTATCTTGCATCAACAAACAATCGATCCACACGTCGTGTACAAGTACTTTATGCCGCCATCACCTTCACAGCAGCAGATTTCGAAAGAAGCAGAAAAACAATCCATTCCTTCGAAAAAGAAAAAAGAGTGACGAACATCTTTTTGGATATGGGGGAACAAAAAGTCAACGTGGTGGCTCTTTTGAGGGACATTAATGGTCCCCTCTAGCTAGTAAATACTTTGATTTCTCCCCCAATAATATACTCTTTGTTGTTGTTCATCTTCACGACGACCATAGTAATAAGATGCGATGGATCCGCGCAACGATTCATTCATTCATTCATTCAGTCAGTCAGTCAGTCAGTCATTCATAAAGGAGAACATGCGTGTCTAAACAAGAACAGCAGCACCTATTGACGAGAGTGAAGGATTGAAAAACTGAGTGAACGAATGTATGAATGAATGAATGAATGAATGAATCGCCATAGTATGAAACGAAAACGTTCTTCCTCCTCATTCCTTCTTCCGCGGCGAACCCTCTTTCTCACTACCGTGACAATCATAATTCTCATTCTATTACATGTGCACAGCAGTATTATTGTCTTTCAATTTGAAAAGGAGGAGGAACGCTTATTGACTACTGATAGGACGACGAACAAGGTCGTTATTCAAAAGCAACAACGGTACTCCACCATTATTTGGCCATTTCGAACGACGGCTTCCGAGTGGTGCTACTCCACCATTCACGGTAATCATAACAATGTGTTCCAATATCCTCCTCCTCCTCCTCCTCCTCCTGGATTGATCTTTGTCAAGGTTCCCAAAACAGCGTCCTCCACGCTTGTCGGGATCAACATTCGGATTGCCAAAAAGGTCGGTGAGCGAATACTACCAAATAGTAAGCCTCCACCAACTTTTCCTGTTAGTGCTGGCTCCTACTCCTGGTTATTGCGTTCCATCCTGTTGTCGTTTTGGAATGATCAACATCAACAACAACAACAACAACAACAACAACAACAACAACAACATACGAATAATAAGGCTTATTGGACAAGAAGAGAAGAATTAGAAGCATCACGGACATGTTCTCACACTCGAATCCATGGAGGAGACGCCTTGTTGTCGTTGTTGCTGCGTCGCAATCGATATTCACACACGCCGCAACTTTTATGGAGTTTTGTGAGAGATCCAGCCGCACGAGTCCAATCGGCCTTTTATCATTTTGAAGTCTCGCGCAAGGGAGTAACACCCACCCTGGGTCATTTGATATCCTACGCCAACGGCGAATCCAACTTTCAGTACAAATATCTATCCACTCATGAGGATCCTCAATCCTTTTTGGAACAACACCGTGACGGCCATAATGAGGATGCTACTATTACGAATAATAATAGTGCCATGATCGTGATTCAAGATCAGATTCTCCAACAATATGACTTTCTTGGAATTGTGGAACGTTGGCAAGAGTCCCTGGCAGTCATGATTTTGTTGTGGAATCTTGAAGATTCTGATGTGATTGCATTATCGTCCAAGGTGGCAGGTGGCTTTGACGATGGTCGGTATCAGACACCTGGGAACTGCAAACGTATCATTGCCGACGCTTCCTCCTCCTCGTTGACAATACAATCACAAGAGGATGAGGAATATCTGGAATCCTTTTGGAATACCACCTTCTATGCCAACAACGAATTGGATTATCAACTTTATCAAATGGCAAATGACAAATTGACCAAGACCATCCATGCGCTAGGACTAAAGCGTGTGGAACAGGTGGTGAAACAGGTGAAGCTACTGGAAGCCTTGGCCCAGGAAACATGTGCGCCATCAGCCATCTTTCCATGCTCGTCCAATGGAACCTGGCAATATGAGGAATCACAAAAGAATTGCTACTGGCACGACTCTGGATGTGGATATCCATGCATTGACGGACTTGGTCACAACCAATGATGACGACGACAATGAGAAAAAGAAGAAGAAGAAGACTGGAAGAGAGGACTTTTGACTGAGTACCACCACTCTTTCAGTCAGAAGGCTCTTGCTTGATCAATTTTCTCATGTTTTCGTTTGGTGCCCCCGTTGATGGACGAAAAGATTGAACAAGGCACTCGATAGGTGCTGGACGTTGGACCCTACTAGCTAGTACTGATTGGACGAGCACAAATAAGCCAACACCAGGAGCCAGCCGAAGTTGGATTTTGATAGCATCGCGAAAATATAGCAATCCTACCAACTCATGACATACATTCTCATGAAACCAATGCAACGCCACATCGTGAAGTACATTGATAGCATCAGTAAGGTTCGCGTGCATATAAAAGCCTATACATCTATATAGGAGGATTACTGAACTTTGGTATTTTCAATTTCGTTTGGAGAATTTGATTTTGGAAACTTATGGTCGGATGGGTCGATTTCATGGAACATTTTTGCAATCACGCAAGTCGCCAAAATTGCAACCAACAGGACCAACAGTCGTATTGGAATCGCAGGAAGATACTTTTCAGGTAGCCAATGCGAATGGCAAGTCGTGCTAGAACCACAAACATTCTGCTATCAACGAAGGAAGAGAGAGATCATATTTTCTGAAACAATCACAATACGAATCAATCAATCATTCTATAGTATACTTTACTGACAACAACAACAACAACAACAACAATAACAACAACAACAAGTAAAATGACAGAACAACAACAAGTATACCAATGTGCAAAAGTGGCAAGGCCTGCCCCTTCCCAAGAAAGCAAGCAGCAAGAAGATGCAATCGATGAGATTCACGCTCAACCTCCCGCCAAGACTACTAACACTACTCCTGAGACGGAGAACAATCCCAAATCCACCAAAGAGAACATCACTGCAGCCCTTCGTGGATTCATGAACATGGGAATCTATGTCTGTGGACCTTCAAGAGACGAATCTTTGGACGAAGACATTTCGGACGAAGATATTCTACAAGAAGAGCCAAAACCTACGACATCCAAGTCAATCGACATTACGTCCACTGAAAACGACTACATCTTCGAAGATACGAGTACTATTGAAGACGGTCACATTGGTGCTAGCGTGACCATTCATGTGATTACCGAAACAAGAAGCCCAGCACCGCTAAAGTCAATTGATGAAGAGACAAAGGAAGAACCCCCTACACGATTGAATGAAGACGTTTTTCAATTCTCAGACACTGAAACTGAAGCTACATCTCAAACTATGCACGCAAAAGAAGAATGCTACGATGCTGAATCTGAAGCGTCATCTCGTATGATCCAAACGCAAGAAGAATGCAAAGATGAAACTGACGTACCATCTCTCACTGAAGAAGAATGCAAAGAGGAGCAGCCACAAGTAGAATGCAAAGAGGAGCAATCAGAAAGTCACGAACTCTTGATGGGCAATTTCGACTTGGTCGAGACAAACTTCTACGGAAGCAAGAAACACTGGAGCACAGGACCACGTGTCATCTCTCCTACTCGTTTCGAGATATAATTCCAATTGTTGTGAACTCCAAACGCATTCACCACACCATCAAATAGGATAAAGTTTCTTCACAAAGACTACAATTTTACTTATAATGTTACATCATTTCATTATTATGTGCAAGGGAATTAATTCGTTTCCTTCTTTTTCTTCGACCATGATTTCGATTTCTTCTTCTTTTCCTTCTTCTTTTCTTTTTTCTTCTGCGTCTCCCGATCTTCATCCTCTTCTCTTGGGGAGGGCATCAGGCTCAGTCTAATTTTCGGCAGCGGCTTGACTTCAATCATCACTGGAGCATTAGCTGTAGTTTCCATTGGTTCGTCGACAACAGCAGGCTTGTCAGACTTGGATGCCCTCTTTGATCCTTTTTTCAGTTCTGTTGGTCTCTTTTCATTCACAGAAGATGACTTGTCGATTCGATCCAAGGCATCATTTGAAACAGTACTCTTTAGCATATCTTCCAGCGCAACGGCGCCGCTGTCGGTCTCCTTTTTCTCCTCTGCTTGGCTTTTTGGAGCTTCCTTCTTTGCTTGAGTCTTTATTGAATCCTTCGGCAGGGTCGCTACCACACTCAAGAATCGACCGAATAATCCACCAGCAGCTGTGCCATATCGACCTTCCAATTCGTCCAATACCAAAAGGAATGCTTTGTGCACCGCAGCAGGATTTGACATGTTCTTCCCAACAGGCCGCATTTCGGAAACTACTGTAGCGGTGCAGCATTCGTCATTGGACGCGCGGACGATCACCTTAACTTTCACCGAGAAACCACGTCGAGGCATCCGTTCGCTCACTGTGAATGATAGCTTTTCGGAATCGTCAGATTCCACAATATTTGTTTCGGTGAGCCGAACATTTTGGCCATTTCGTCGCCTCTCATAACTGATGGTTCGATGGGCATTGATCATACTCCCTGACGCGATTAGCTGGTGCTCTGACTGATACTGATCCATTTCTCGAGGTGTAGCTGGTGGAAATGTCCAAGGCGTCTTTTCAAAGTTTGCATCTCCGCCTTCCTGCTCCCATTGTGTAATGACCGGTGAACTGGAATCCAATAACAGCACACGGCACATGGGAAGGTCCAGCGGCAGATGAACACTTTTGCAGATATCGCGTACCAGCAATTGACCATGAACATATTTCGGACATTCATCACTGCTCAAAGTCGCCTGCTTCTTCAAATACGATCTGCCAGGAATCCGACTCCACGAGGTCCAACCAACGGGGAGCGAATTCAACTTGGCAAACTGTTCGTCGTCCTCTTCCTCGTCATGGTCGTACTCGTCTTCGGAAGACGAGTATCCATTTTCTATTATTTGATTGATACTCTTCGCACCACGCTTTGCTCGCCGGGGTGACCTAGCAGTTGACGAAGGAGTGGTGGGAAGCTTTCGTCCTTTTCCTCCTCTCGCGCCCAGCTGTGCCGTTTCGTATTCTAGCAACAAGTACAATGCATTAATCAATAGCGTAGCTTGGTCGGCGGAATGGGTTAGGAATACAAGCTTTTTGTTAGCATTGGTCGTCAAACTGACAATTTGATTCTGGTAGTCCTCGGTAATACCAAAGAACTCTTGATCGAGGGTAATGACATCAGTCAACGCAACGGAATGCTTTCGGGAAAGTTCAACACGAGTTGTTGGGCCATTCCCTGTACCATTGAGGTGTGCCCCGTTGACGATCGATTGGTTATCCTAATTTATGGGAGAAGAACAAGAGAAGTATATGTTGTAAGTCAAGTGAGCACAATTGATAATTGATTTTGATTGCTTCCAAATTTGGGAACCATACTTACCATCAATGCGGAATCTAGCGTCAAATCTTCCGATGTGGTCGAATATGTATCACCATTATGATGGTTCGCCTTCGAGTAGGACGTGCTGCCTGACGTATGCTTTCGTTCGGAATGTTTGGATATGAATCCAAGCTCCAATGACATGCCAGGGCCTGGAGAACACAGCCATAAGGTTCGTCCCCAGTCTCGTCTGCGAGAATCTGCCACAGAGGGCAATTGCGTGACGGCAATACCTCCAAAAAGGAACTGCTGAAGGCGTTCGACAATTTTCGTTTGTTCTTCCGACAGCGTCATGGGAGGTGCCTTGCTTTCCCATTGCTTGTTTGGGGCTGATGGTAGTTTCGGCAAGGCTTGCACGTCGTGTCGATATTCCGTCGCAATCAGAGCTGCAGTAAGCGTTTGTGCTTCTGGCGGGACCGGCACCTTGCCCTGCAGAATTTCTTGTGGCGTTATAGTTGCCGATGATGGACGGTTGCCCTTGTTCTGGCCCGACTGATAAAACTGATAAACTCTTTCATTGACTTCGTGCCGCGTGAATAGTTTGTTTCCATCCAGGCTGACGCCAAGGTATAATCCTTCCGACATGGCATATGCCGTCATTGGTGTGACTCCGTTGATGAGTTTGTTATTGTTGAATTCTATCGGAGCCGTCTCTCCAGCTGCAGCCACATTGTCGACTTCGTACTCGTCTTCTTTGCTAAAATCCAAAAGATGCGTTGATCCGCACAATGCTCCACTGACAGAGGCTGAACCGACAGCTTCGCGTCCATAATTGGCAATGGCTGCTCCAATGCCGACTCCCACCTGAAAACTAGCTCCTCTGAGAAAATGTTCCAAGGCTTCTTTGGTTCGCAGAACGATCAGAGTATGCGAAACCTCAACTCCCAGCTGGAGTCCAACACCCATACCCCAGTTTCCAATCGCAGATGGTGGGCTCCAAGAGCCATCGTCTAGTTTTGACAGCACAATTCCAGATCCGCCGTGAAAGCTAACACCAAGTGTAAGTTTGTTACTCCGTAAAAAGGCAACTCCCGTACAGGTTTGCATATTATCACGAATACTACGTGCTTCCACTGAATTGTCCAGGGCCAATGCATGAATAATCTTGGTCGCCACATCGCACTCATCGTCTAACCGGAATCGAGGCCATATGCTCAAGCTCCAACTGGTGGAGGGAGAAGGTTCACGTTGTCGTGTTCGTCGTAATACCAAGACCAAAGGCCGTGGAGTTGCTAAATCGTGTTTTTGTGGTTTGGAAGAAGAGCCGGTTCGATCCACCGAAATGGTCATGGGAACCGAGGGCGGTGATATAAAGGTACTGGACTGTGAGGTATCCATTCCTCGTTCTAATATTTTCTTGAGGTCGTTGTAGGATATTCTCTGACCTGTGGCTTCACGTTCCAAGGCTTGTTTTGATATTTCTTCATAGTCTTCCGTCAGTGGATTTTGCCATTCGTTCGCCAGGACTGCGGCATATTGAACACAGTCTCTGCGTCGGACTCCCTGCAAATCAGCGGGAGAACCTTCTTCAATTTGCTGAACATAGGCGCGGTTCTGAATATTCACAAACGTAAGGCCAAGCGTATTCCACATACGATTTCCAAAGCTCCGACGTCCAAACAAAAGAGGAGGCGGCTGCAGAATGACGACCAATCGATCCGCTTCTCCAGCATCATCTCCTAACATGACTGTCCCATAAATATCCTCGACTGAATTCGAGGCTTCTGTCCTCCATCTTGAGAACAGTTCTGCCATGTTTGTGGCGTTTTATTAGAGTAACGTCGTCAATGGCAAGTTATGTTCTTGTGTGAATACTGCTTGGACCTATATTCTATGGTATTGGCTTGAAACTGCTGATGCTAGCGAGTTCTGCTTGGTGGACACATGCAATGATGTATCACAGGTTACATTGGGGGAAAGTTGCATCTTGCGTCCAACACGCGTGATCGTGCAGACAGACCAAAGACAGCATGCCTTGCGTCGGGCGATGACTGACTGGCTTGCATGAAACCAATGATATTTGCTGACTCCGTCGACTGATTAGGACTCGCTCGACTTCCATGAGATGAACGCGGTGCGCTCCATTTTCAATTTTGTTTCTAAAATACGCATGGCGCTTGGACTGCTTGGAGACGATTCTGGTCGATACAATACAGTACAGTACTGGTACCGGTTGTACCAGAGTGTGGGGGGCGAAGGGTGCGGGGCGTTTATCCTAGGTACAGGGAAAATGAGCTCGAAGATCGAGCGAGGCTCTAGAAAAAACCGGTCCGATCACTTTCCCATATTTTATTTTATCGGATTGTGCCGCGAGATCAGCTTCTCCGAAATCGAAACGACGGTGAAGAATTGCGGGACGCCATTCTACCCTTTTTAAAAATGTGTCACTGTAGACATTCGCGGATAGACTTGATCAGAGAAATTCTAAATATCCGATTACTTATATTGAATTAGCCTATTATTGGATGTGGATGTGTGTACACGTACCTACCCTACGAAAAGATTGTCCGGTATTGTTTCGGTGCTCTTTGGCCACACTCTCCCATCACATCATTTCGCAACATTTTTTTGAAAGCTTCAGTAGTATGCATATGGAAGTGACAACAATGACAACAATGATGCATGAGCCAGATAACAACCTCCAAAAGCAAAGGATTCCCGCTTCGTATCGTTCACTCTTTGAGTGGTGCAGTCCTCGTACCACCAGCATGCCTTTGACCGAAAGCGATTTTGGTGCCTTGCTTGAACCTACCCCCATTGGAGCACCTCGTTCAACGCAGCAAGCTGCAGATTCGTCCGCAATTTTGAAAGAATCATTGAGGTTTCTGTTTCAAGACTGCAATCGTGAGGCATCGAACTGTTCAGCAGCAATTCCAACTCCAGTTGTCTCCTTGTTGGCGGCTCAGTACCATGATGGTGGCGATAGTACCTTCAAGAACAAGAAGAACGAAGGCAGCTCCATTCGTCCAAGGACTCCATGCTGCGGCATTTCATCGCAAGCACCAGAGGATAGTAGCATGATGTATACCAAGAGCCGCTTTCAAGTGCGCCACAAAGACCAGTGGGAAACACAGTTTCAGCTTTTGCAAGAGTTCAAACGCAAACATGGCCACTGCCGCATTCCTCATACCTATCCAGAGAATCAATCACTGGCACGGTGGGTCAAACGCCAACGCCACCAACACAAGCAGAAGCAAATGGGAGAGAAAACGACCATGACTACTCGTCGTATCCGAGCTCTGGAAGAGCTTGGCTTCATTTGGGACTCTCATTCCGCTTCGTGGGAGCAACGGATGAGCGATCTGTTAGAATTTCGGGACAAACATGGCCACTGCCATGTTCCGACTCATTACCAAGAAAACAAGCAGCTAGCGATATGGGTCAAGTGTCAGCGCCGGCAACACAAACTTCTGAAACAAGGTAGATCAAGTACTTTGACTTCAGATCGACTGGAAGTATTGGACAAAGTAGGCTTTGAGTGGCGAGCAAAGAGGACGACTGGAAAGACAACCACTCATAATGACAACTGAGGATGCTAAAGAGTAAAGAGGCTAAATATTACTAAAACGGTTTTGTTGTGTATGTACACAGCACTATTTGTAGCTGGTCCTAAGATATATTCATATGCGTTTCTGCTCCTGTTTCTTGCATCATGATCCATCATAATCTCGCATCATCAAACAATCGGAGGCGAAGCTTTAGTACCTATGGGCCTTTGGGAGCCCGCTTTTGGGGTAGCAAAGAGCCGCACCGATGGTATCACCAGCATCTGTTCCGAAACGCTACGCATCATGTTCCATTTCGAACACAAAGGAATTCTAGCCAGAATCGGGACTCCTATGATATAAAGGCCAGAATGAATGAATCGGTAAACAAGAGGAGGAAAAAAGAGCTCGCGCTCTATGTCATTTTTGACATAATTGTTAAATGTGTGGTAAGACAAGATAGATCGTTTTCTAGTTCTTAGAACAAGAATGACATATTTTGACATAACGGTGGAGGATGACCAGTACCCCAGCGATAAGTATGGCAACGAAGCACAATGAATCACATGAAAATAAACGCAACAATTCTACTACGATTGCTCAAAACTTCAGGCCAAAATTTATGTTGGTGCTCCATTCCATTTTTTGAGGTTCCATTTTTCAACATAATGCATTGCATTTCGCTCTCTCCTTTACCCATTGGATATTCACCCGCCATGAAAGGCCCTGAAATACCGTTGTCTTCGTCTCCTCGACAGTCGAGCAAAGCATTCGATGTATCCAACACCAACATCAGCTTAACTGACGCATGCATGAACAATAAGTCTTCTGTTCCCGTTCCCGCCGAGAAAACCACTGATGCAACAGCTGATTACTCAATCTTCCATCAACCCGCAGCCGACGCTTTCGAGCCCATACCCTTTGGGAAAAGGACACGCCAACAGGAAGCTGCCATCAATGAAATGATGCAGGAATCGCTCCGTTACCTGTTCGATACTCACAATGTATCATCATTGTGCAGGTCGCCATTGTCTGATCAGACGCCATGGGACTCTGACAGCAGTCATGATGACTCTGACAGCGATGCCAAAGAACAAGAGCGTCGTCCAAAGCGGCAACGCCTATCGATAGACGAGTACTCGACTCTGCGCTTCAGGGGTTACCAAACTGAAGCCTGGGAACAGCGTCTTGAGGATCTGTTGAGCTTCAGAGAAAAAGAAGGTCACTGCTCAGTACCGCACTCGTACCGTGAGAATCCAGCTCTTGCCAGATGGGTCAAACGGCAGCGCTACCAGTACAAGCTTCGGGCTGAAAGGAAAACCTCAACCATGACGTCAAGTCGAGTCAAAATCCTGGAGGACATTGGCTTCGTCTGGGACTCGCATCTCGCGGTATGGGAGGAACGCCTGAGCGACCTTCGAAAGTATCGTGCCCAGAATGGTAACTGCGAGGTTCCAACACACTATCAGGCAAACAAGAAGCTAGCTACATGGGTAAAGTGTCAGCGCCGCCAGTACAAACTTTACCTTGCAGGAAGACCAAGTACAATGAATGCAGAGCGCGTGGATATCTTGAACAAACTTGGATTCTCGTGGGATATGAGATCTTCCAAGAATAACAGTTCTACTGCGCTATGATGAATGGGTTGAAGCGCTTACACAATGCACCGGTGACCTGCAGTATGGTATGCCAACTATCTGTTCTGAGAAGGTTCTGACGAGTGTAGGGCCTCTTCTAAGGTTAATAGCATTTAGGATATATAAAACACTTTCTTTCTAGTTTTCTCACACCGAAGATTTAAAATGCGTGTGCCGCGTTACTCTTTCTTTTTTGTAGGGAATGGAAAAGATGGCGTTGTCTCAACTGGGCGCCAACATATTTGAGCAATGCATCTTCGCCTTCCATGGATCGTTACAGGCTCACCGCATCGTGACACTCGCCTGTGGACTGACCAATCGTCAAACAATCATGAACGAAGTCTAGCTACTCAGACTATACGGTGACGAAGAAAACCGAGTTCGGATTGATCTGCATTGGAAGTCCATATAAATAATGCTGCTTTCCGCAATTTCCCGCCAACTGCGTTCCATCTCTCGGTTCACTATTCGAAATCCACTGCAATGTCAAAGGAGACAACAGTCGACAATGAATGGCGAAAACGGAATATATACCGGTATGTGCCGAAACATAATGTCTCGATTGTGGAGTTGGGTACTCCAACCACAGCGCCGCATTGCTATCACTATGACCAGGCAGCACTGACAAACAATGTCTTCTGGAATTCATTAAATAAGATGACTAAGTATGACCTTTTACTATGACACGTTGCCGCTCCATTTGTAATTACAGAACTGTATTACTGTACATTTCGCTCCCAGCTTTACTCATTGCACATACCGATACATTCGGACCTACGTAAACAGTAGGTACCCCAGTACTGTATGTTTCGGCGCTATTCGTTCACCGTCCTATAGAGGTACAATGACGCACTGCGGTTCACCACCTGATGATTGCGGATAGACTTGGTCAGAGAAATTCTCTCCCTTACATAAATACCTCTGCGGTATGAAAATATCCGGTATTATGTTTCGGTGCTCTTTGGCCACACTCTCCCATCACATCATTTCGCAACATTTTTTTGAAAGCTTCAGTAGTGAAAGTGACAACAATGATGCATGAGCCAAATAACAACCTCCAAAAGCAAAGAATTCCCGCTTCTTATCGTTCACTCTTTGAGTGGTGCAGTCCTCGTACCACCAGCATGCCTTTGCCCGAAGGCGGCTCCATTCGTCCAAGGACTCCATGCTGCGACATTTCATCGCAAGCACCAGAGGGTAGTAGCATGATGTATACCAAGAGTCGCTTTCAAGTGCGCCACAAAGACCAGTGGGAAACACAGTTTCAGCTTTTGCACGAGTTCAAACGCAAACATGGTCACTGCCGCATTCCTCATACCTATCCAGAGAATCAATCACTGGCACGGTGGGTCAAACGCCAACACAGGCAAAAGCTAACCGGAAAGAATACGACCATGACTGCTCGTCGTATCCGAGCTCTGGAAGAGCTTGGCTTCATTTGGGACTCTCATTCCGCTTCGTGGGAGCAACGGATGAGCGATCTGATAGAATTTCGGGACAAACATATGGCCACGGCCATGTTCCGACTCATTACCAAGAAAACAAGCAGCTAGCGATATGGGTCAAGTGTCAGCGCCGGCAACACAAACTTCTGAAACAAGGTAGATCAAGTACTTTGACTTCAGATCGACTGGAAGCATTGGACAAAGTAGGCTTTGAAAGACAACGAGCACTCATAATGACAACTGAGGATGCTAGAGAGTGAAGAGGCTAAAGAGTACTAAAACGGTTTTGTTGTGTTTGTATACAGCGCTGTTTGTAGCTATAGTCCTAAGATGCGTTTCTGCTCCTACTGTTTCTTGCATCATCATGATCCATCATAATCCCGCATCATCAAACAATCATATATAGGCGAATAGCACCTCCGCCGCTATGGGAGCCCGCTTTTGGGGTAGCAAATAGCCGCACCGATGGTATCGCCTGCATCTGTTCTGAAACGCGATGCACAATGAACGCGGCAGAATTTGATCGGAAAAAGCCAGGTTTCTACCAGCGAGAAGCCTCGCGCTCTATTGTTAAATGTGTGGTCAGACCGGAGATCGTAAATTTCGATTGCGTCATATTATGACTTAAGGGCTGTGTATGACCAGTACCCCAGCGATAAGTCTTGCAACACAAAAAGGGATATTGTGTGCATTTCTGAACAACCCAAAAAAATTATGTCACAAAAATCCTATTCCACAAACTTATCATATCAAAATTTGTGTTAGCGCTCCATTCCATTTTTGCATTACATTTCGCCCTCTTCTACACTCATTGGATATTCACCCGCCATGAAAGGCCCTGAAATACCGTTGTCTTCGTCTCCTCGACAGTCGGGCACAGCATTCGATGTATCCAACACTAACATCAGCTTAACTGACGCATGCATGAACAATAAGTCTTCTGTTCCCGTTCCCGCCGAGAAAATTTCTGACACAACGGCTGATTACTCAATCTTCCATCAACCCGCAGCCGACGCTTTCGAGCCCATACCCTTTGGGAAAAGGACACGCCAACAGGAAGCTGCCATCAATGAAATGATGCAGGAATCGCTCCGTTACCTGTTCGATACTCACAATGTATCATCATTGTGCAGGTCGCCATTGTCTGATCAGACGCCATGGGACTCTGACAGCAGTCATGATGACTCTGACAGCGATGCCAAAGAACAAGAGCGTCGTCCAAAGCGGCAACGCCTATCGATAGACGAGTACTCGACTCTGCGCTTCAGGGGTTACCAAACTGAAGCCTGGGAACAGCGTCTTGAGGATCTGTTGAGCTTCAGAGAAAAAGAAGGTCACTGCTCAGTACCGCACTCGTACCGTGAGAATCCAGCTCTTGCCAGATGGGTCAAACGGCAGCGCTACCAGTACAAGCTTCGGGCTGAAAGGAAAACCTCAACCATGACGTCAAGTCGAGTCAAAATCCTGGAGGACATTGGCTTCGTCTGGGACTCGCATCTCGCGGTATGGGAGGAACGCCTGAGCGACCTTCGAAAGTATCGTGCCCAGAATGGTAACTGCGAGGTTCCAACACACTATCAGGCAAACAAGAAGCTAGCTACATGGGTAAAGTGTCAGCGCCGCCAGTACAAACTTTACCTTGCAGGAAGACCAAGTACAATGAATGTAGAGCGCGTGGATATCTTGAACAAACTTGGATTCTCATGGGATATGCTGAGATCTTCCAAGAATAACAGTTCTACTGCGCTATGATGAATGGGTTGAAACGCTTACACAATGCACCGGTGACCTGCAGAATGGTATGCCAACTATCTGCTCTGAGAAGGTTCTGACCCTGAAGAGTGTACGTTAAACGACAATATTATAGCATATATAACTTTTCTTTTCTACGGTTTCGTCGTGTCGTTGGGCAATGATTGTGGTTGATTGCTCAACCAAGTTTTGTTGCGAATGAAATATATGATTACATATCCAATCAATTGGACAAATACACCATTCCTTTCCATTCATGCAGATGATTGATCCATCATCGTACAATAATCATGAAGCAAGTGGTGCTGCGGTACTCAAATAGTGACATGAAAAAAAGAGTTCGGATTTATCTGCAATGGTAAATGCTGCTTTTCTCTCCACAAGAGGATTGATTGATTCATTGATTGACGAATTCGTTTTCTATCCAGTTCCTTGACACCACACCGAAATACCACTTGTATACGACCGCGCAATGACACAATGGCACCATTGAAAATGGTCTCATAGAGGACAAATCGGTCGACAGTAAATAACGAAAACGGGTCCACATACATATAAAAATATGCATAATATGTCTGCCTTGGAAGATGAAGTTCCGTTTCGCAGTTCTCCGGCTGGTACACGTATGTCCAGGCGAAATGGTACCACGACGGTATTTTCAATCACTTTTACGATCACAAGAAAATACCAGATTATAATTTGAGGTGCCTCTCCATTCGTCAAAAATGCACTACGTTTCGCTCTCTTCTACACTCGATGGACACCCACCAAGCACGCAAAACCCTGAGGTACCGTTGCCGTCTCCTCGACGATGGAGCAAAGCATTGGATGCGTGGAGGAAGAATCGCCTCGGTTTAGCGGACGCATGTCTCTATGATATACCTGTTATTGCAGGTCGCCATGCCAAGAAAACTACTGATGCAACAGCTGATTACTCAATCTTCCATCAACCCGCAACCGACGCTTTCGAGCCCATACCCTTTGGGAAAAGGACACGCCAACAGGAAGCTGCCATCAATGAAATGATGCAGGAATCGCTCCGTTACCTGTTCGATACTCACAATGTATCATCATTGTGCAGGTCGCCATTGTCTGATCAGACGCCATGGGACTCTGACAGCAGTCATGATGACTCTGACAGCGATGCCAAAGAACAAGAGCGTCGTCCAAAGCGGCAACGCCTATCGATAGACGAGTACTCGACTCTGCGCTTCAGGGGTTACCAAACTGAAGCCTGGGAACAGCGTCTTGAGGATCTGTTGAGCTTCAGAGAAAAAGAAGGTCACTGCTCAGTACCGCACTCGTACCGTGAGAATCCAGCTCTTGCCAGATGGGTCAAACGGCAGCGCTACCAGTACAAGCTTCGGGCTGAAAGGAAAACCTCAACCATGACGTCAAGTCGAGTCAAAATCCTGGAGGACATTGGCTTCGTCTGGGACTCGCATCTCGCGGTATGGGAGGAACGCCTGAGCGACCTTCGAAAGTATCGTGCCCAGAATGGTAACTGCGAGGTTCCAACACACTATCAGGCAAACAAGAAGCTAGCTACATGGGTAAAGTGTCAGCGCCGCCAGTACAAACTTTACCTTGCAGGAAGACCAAGTACAATGAATGCAGAGCGCGTGGATATCTTGAACAAACTTGGATTCTCATGGGACATGCAGTCTTCGACGAAGAGCAGGTCTTCTGCGCCATGACTGTGTTGATATGATAAACACCGCATGCACTTGCGACGACACCTGAAAAAGTGTATGCCAACACTGGTCTGAGAAGTATTATAGCATTTAGAACGTGTGTCTTCTTCACTACTTGTCTTATTTTCGCAAATTGGTGATGCTTATGGTGCACGAATTATGCTCTTGCTATTCGTCATCGGGAATGGAAACGACGGTGTAGGTTACAAGTCGCGTTGCTACTCAGGTAGGAACATTAGCATTTGGGGTAGCGAAGACTCAACAAGGCATCGCATGTTACTTGTTTTCTGCCCATTCCGGGTCTGCGTTCTATCTCGAATGACAATTCGAAATCGAGTGGACAGAGGTCAACTTTTTGAATATGATACAGTATAATTGTCGGTTGACTACCGGTATAATACTGACGAGGGAAAACTATAGTTCGGATTGAGAAACAAAAGCCCATAAATATGCTATATATATATATGACTAGTAGTATTAAAAAATTTTACATTAAATTTTGCGACTCGCGACTCTGATTATCCCAGATGGGACCTATTGCATCCATATTGATATCATGAACGAAGTGTTGCTACTCCTCTCGGGAGCGTTAGCATTTGGGGTAGAGAAGAAACGCCAAGGGATCGCCGTTTCTTGTTGCCTTCCAGTACATGTACCGGTACCAGGTCCGCGCATTCCATCTCGATTGACAGTTCGAAGTCTGAAGAGGATACATCGAAGGAAACCGAGCTAGTGTTTGTACCGTATCTGCCTGATTCATAATTTGTCCAAGAAGTCGAACGTCCGGACGAAAGGTATTCCATAAAATTCCACAAGAGCAAACCGTGTTATACTATCACATTCGTGAGCCCACTAACTTTAATAAAAAGAACCCATGACTTTTGGCGCTCCTCAAATAATCTACCCGGTACACTGCAGTACGGTACTACTGTGTTAGCCGCAACATAAGTTTTGTGAAGTGCTCGATTTTTCAACAATGCACTGCATTCCACGCACTCCTTTACTCATTGGACATTCACCCATGCAAAACCCTGAGGCACCGCTGTCATCGTCTCCTCGACAGTCGAGCAACGCATTGGATGCGTCGAGGAAGAATCGCCTCGGTTTAGCGGACGCATGTCTCTATGATATACCTGTTATTGTAGGTCGCCATGCCAGGAAAACTACTGATGCGAAAGCGGATTACTCAATCTTCCATCAACCCGCAACCGACGCTTTCGAGCCCATACCCTTTGGGAAAAGGACACGCCAACAGGAAGCTGCCATCAATGAAATGATGCAGGAATCGCTCCGTTACCTGTTCGATACTCACAATGTATCATCATTGTGCAGGTCGCCATTGTCTGATCAGACGCCATGGGACTCTGACAGCAGTCATGATGACTCTGACAGCGATGCCAAAGAACAAGAGCGTCGTCCAAAGCGGCAACGCCTATCGATAGACGAGTACTCGACTCTGCGCTTCAGGGGTTACCAAACTGAAGCCTGGGAACAGCGTCTTGAGGATCTGTTGAGCTTCAGAGAAAAAGAAGGTCACTGCTCAGTACCGCACTCGTACCGTGAGAATCCAGCTCTTGCCAGATGGGTCAAACGGCAGCGCTACCAGTACAAGCTTCGGGCTGAAAGGAAAACCTCAACCATGACGTCAAGTCGAGTCAAAATCCTGGAGGACATTGGCTTCGTCTGGGACTCGCATCTCGCGGTATGGGAGGAACGCCTGAGCGACCTTCGAAAGTATCGTGCCCAGAATGGTAACTGCGAGGTTCCAACACACTATCAGGCAAACAAGAAGCTAGCTACATGGGTAAAGTGTCAGCGCCGCCAATACAAACTTTACCTTGCAGGAAGACCAAGTACAATGAATGTAGAGCGCGTGGATATCTTGAACAAACTTGGATTCTCATGGGACATGCAATCTTACACGGTGAAGAACAGCAGGTCTTCTGCGCCATCACCACAACTGTGATGGACTGCTGATGACCACGACAATGGTGCACCGATTAGACTGCGGTGCTGTTTCAGAAAGATGGTGTAGATAGTTTAGATTTATATTCTCATTTACATAATGGATTTTCGATCACTATATTACGCATTATTTTAAAATACCACCTGTTGGGTAATGATTGTTGTGCATTTTGAGAATCGAAAACGGTGCGGAAGCTCTTTCTTTGGTAGTACCTGGTACACGCACGCGTACTTACCTCTGAACTGGACTGTATTTAATGTGTACGACACCATTCCGACAAATGCAGCGACTCGCCCAAGAATATTTGCATTATTGCAGATCACGACCGCACACACAAACATTTTGATGTCATCCTGCTTTGTTTTCCATGCTGTGAAAATACCACAAGAAGTCGGACCTTCAAAAATGGTTCCGTGGAAAAGTCGACAACGGCAAGAGACACAGCGAGATACGCAAGCGCAACGGATACGAAATGAAGATCACTCAGCTGGAGATCTGTCAGGAGATCATGCCGAACCCTTTCCTTTTGTCGCTTTGTCTCTTGATGAGGAGGCTTCGATTCCAATGGACAACGAACATCCACCAACGCAACCAACATCCAATTGGATGAGGCAATCTTTTCGACGTCAAGGACTGCAAGAAGATTTTGCTGGTGGAGAGGGTGAAACTAATTCTCTGCCTATTTCCATATCCCCACAATCACTGTTAGTAGATCTGCCACCATCTGATATTTCATCATCAGCCGCATCAAATCATGCCGCTTTCAATCCCACATGTAAAAATTCGGATTTCAAAAGAGCGAGTCTAAATCCTCAGTACCTCCGACATGGCATTTCACAAGATAATCAGTATATTCGACATGGACTTCAGCGAACATTAGCAACCAACTATCAGCCATCTCAGGCAATCGCGATCTTTTCAAAAGATGGACAAAGAAAGCTAGCCGCAGGGTACTCTGATGTTAAACTATTACCTGAATGGATTCGAAGACAGCGCGAAGAAGAATCAAGGCTTCGGCATGAGTCAGTGCCCTTCCTACTGGAAACTGAAGTTGATCAGCAAAAGGAATGGCTTGAGGTGGAATTTCATCCTAGATTGCAGAGCGCTTTACTGGACCGCCATCATCAACACCGGGACGAGGAATTATTGATTGAGTATACTCAGTACGTAAAGAGCGGCAAATGCCTATCGCCTCGAATTCAAGAGTTCTTGTTGGAGCAAGCCAAGGCGCTGGAAATACTGAAGACACGGCCATCTCCAATACATCGTGGAGAATATTCGTCGGAAGCATCATTGCAAGTGTCACAGGATCAATCTTCGGTTTCCACGGATAGGCGGCTTTCATCATCCTCGATATCCATGAGAATATGGATGGATGGCCATAATTTAACACCTGCAGAAAGCAATCGTCGACAGTTGCATGCTTCCAACGAAGGGAACCAAACAACTGTTTCCGACTTGCTTTTGTTGCCACCACACAAACAAGAGACTAGCGGCGGTGGTCAGTCAGAAAAAGATGGTGGAGATGATATGGATAGCCGCTTTTCAGACGTAGATTACATGACTGACTACCAGTGGTCGGCTTTGCGAAAAGCCATTGTCAGAAGTAATTCATCCTTAGTGGGAAAATGGAAAAAGGCCCTGAACGCATCTTCAGACCTTCCATCCCAGCCAGTCCCACCGAAACGAACGATGCATATACAAACAGCCCAACAACAATTGCGTACTGCTGGTGATGCAAGAACGTCAAATTATGACAGCGGTGATGATGAGTTGGATCCATTGGTTCGTACCCCATCACCACAACCACGACAAGGGTCGGCAGACAAGCAACCGGGGCCCCTTCCAAATGAGACTGTAGCGGTTTTGCCGAAAGGACCCCAAGAACAGATACAGTCAGCAATGAATGAAGCAATCGCCAACATCCAAACAAGAGTGTGTCCGAATTGTCAGCAAAACATACTGGAAAAAGAGGAGAATGGCAATAATAAAATTACTTGCTCCATGTGTGGTGCAATATCTTGCTACATTTGTCGGAAAATTGTCCCAGCTGCTGCCTTGAATCACTTTGGCACTGATTCCACACGCTCTGACTCCAGTGGGAAGTGCCCTCTTTGGACTGATACGCAAACTGACCTGGAACACGACAAGAAACTGGCAATAGACATGCTGATGGAGATTACGAATCAAGTGTTGCGAGATACATTTCATTCGAAGAGGTAGGCATTACTTGATTTGGAAAGACAAGAGTCGCATAGTACATGTCTACCGGTATAGTAAGTGAACGAACCCACGGTGAGACAACAAACTCGTCCAATTGGAGGCCACAAGAAATAGAATTATAATTTTGGTGATATGCAGAGCTACAATTACTTTCAAGAAATCCAATTATCTTCTACTGTTTCTTCAAACTTTTCCCGTCAAAGTGAGAAAAAAGTAGCAGTTTCTGATTGATTGGATGTCTTGACCCAAGCCCTCTCGTCGACGGTTGGCACACCAGATTCGCTATCAGGGTCAGAAAAGTCAAACGATGAATCCACAGCCAGTTCCTTATTAGATCCTTCGTCCACAACAACTACGTTCTCTTCGGCAGTACCAGTTGGCATCGGAGTGCTCTTAGTCGTCACTGCAACTTGTTCCCAATAGGAAAACAACTTCTTGGATTCAGATGATTCACCACTGAAAGTTTTCCCTGCTACATTCACTGGAGCAGCAACACTTGCCCGCTTTGGAAATGGTGCTGCGATAGGTGTCTTTGCTGGGATTGCATTGGAGGAAAAGGATCGTTTCACGAATGGTTTGTCGCCCCTTGTCTTGTTTGCAGGAATGGGCTTTGGCTTTTGAAATACTTTGGTCTCCTTCTGAAAGGCACCAGCAATCTTGTTCACATTATCTTTGGAAACCTTTCGTGGATCAAAGATGTTGGCCATTTGACCTACATTGCTGGAGCGACGAGTAGTTGTCTCCACATTGTCTAGTTCTTTCCGTGGAACTTCAATCGGGTTGACAGGCTGCGCTGCCTTCTTGGGCAGAGACGGAGAACTCTTGGGAGGAACTCTTTTCGTGAGGCTAGAACTTCGGACATGGCTTCGTTCCACTTCACCACCACTGGAAACTCGCTTGGTGAGGCTGGAGCTTCGAGCATTGTCGCCACCCCTGACCACATGAATGGCAACTCTAGGATTAGGATTCCGCCTGGTAGCTGGCTCTGGTTTCTCGGATGTACGCTCCCGTTCAAAGGCCTTGACTTTTCGGTTGACCATCTTGGGTGTTCGCTCCGTGTCAAAGGCATCGGTCAAATCTTGGACAGAAGTCCCTTTCTCCCAATCATTGTCGACGTGTTTTGGCACGGATAACTCCTTGTCGACATTGACATTGCTGTTTCGTCCCCTGCCGCTGGAAACTCGTTTTGGAAGGCTGGCACTTCGAGAAGTCCTTTCGCTCTTCTTGTCTCCACCAGAAACCACCCGAATGGATACCCGAGATTGACGAGGAGTGGCGGCTGGCTCGGTCTTGCCCGATGGATGCTCCCAGGCCCTTACCTTTCGGTTCACCATCTTAGGCGTTCGCTCGGTATCAAAGGCATCTGTCAAGTCTTGGACAGATCGTCCAGCATTCTTCTCCTTGGCAGCAGAAGCATCTTGTGGCAACTCCTCCTTGTCCGGTGATACAAGATTGGCGCTGGAAGTTCTCTTGACTTGCGATGGCCTCTTGAAAGAAGAAGATGATGCAGCAGTTTCAAAAATGGCCTTGGTGTTGGTCACTCCAGTAATCCGTCGCTTGGGAGCCATTTGACTGGGTCGTTGGACTGTTGATGTATCAATAGTGGGGGATGATGATGGTGATTCTTGAGTAGCCATCAATTCTTCCGTGTCCAATGGAATGACATGTGGTCCTTCTTGATCTGCCTGTTCCTGCTGCGGCGATGAGAATTCCACCTTGGAGGAAGAAAAGAAGTCGTCTCCGGAGAATTGAATGGGCAAAGCATCACTTGTTGGTGTAATTGTGACATTTTCAAAAGTATCCAAATCTTGAATCATCATCATCCATGGATCCTCGTTCCTAGAGGAAGCGTTTTCCGCACCATCACGGGATTTCTTCTTGGTTCCGCCGTCCAAATCTTGAATCATTGCCATCCATGGATCGTCCATCAATGGAGCCTCTTTTGTCGTATCAATGGGTTCCTTGGTGTTGGTTTCACCAACCAAGAGTTGTTGCCAAGAGTCATCTTCAGCAGCAGCAGCAGTCTCGACAGCATTGTTATGGCTCGGAGATGGCGGTGGTGAATGAATCGGTGGCGTATCGTGTTTGCAAAGCTTGATGGGACTTGCCGGAGCAGCCGCCTTCAACTTGGTAGGCTCTGTCTTGACCGCCGGAAAGGCAGCTTGGGTAGTTTCGGTGGACCATGGATCGTTGGTCGTAGTGACAAAGGAATCTTCCGATTTGGACATGGCCAATGGTGGAATCATCGACGACGATGAAGTAGTAGCAGTTCGAATGGTGGGTATGGCAATGGGATTCGCTTCAGCTGGCTTGGCAAGAACTGGAGCTGGGAGCGAGACTTCTTTTTTCTTGGTTGGAACAGCTGTCGCCGACCTTGATGATGACAGTGTCTGATTATCCTTCGGCGTTTGCTTTTGCTTTTGCTTTTCAAAACTATCCTCATTCTTCAAGGATCCGTAGTCATCCTTGTTCTTCTTTTGTAGTAGTAGTGAAGCAAACTTCATTTTCAAAGACTTGCCAACCCTATTCTTTTTCTTGCGACTGGTAGCAGTACTTTTGTCCGCATTAGTAGTCTTGGATTGCTTCTTGTTGCCGTTCTTATTGTTCTTGGTTTTGGTTTTGGAACTCAATAGTAAAGCTTTCTTCTTTTCCGCTTGCATTTCTTCTTCATAGGTTGGTGGTGGTGTGGACTCTTCTTGGTACTCCTCGTGATAGACTCCATATTGCTGTTGCTGTTGCTGCTCTTGTTGCTGTTGCAATCCAAAGTCTTCATCGTCAAAGATTTCTCCATCCGGCAAATCCCCAAACTCATCATGGAAAATAATGGGCAAACTAATATCCGCATTTTCATCCTCAAAACCGTCATCCCCAAAGTCACTGCCATCATCATCACCGTCAACAACATTGTCATTCACAATCTTCTCATCGATGATCTTCTCCACAACCTCCATGAGATCCGTTTCTTCATCCACTTGTGGTATGATAGGAGTGATATGGACAGTGGATGATGTTTCGATTGGTCTAATAAGAATCTTGGAGTCTTCTTTTGGAGTAGTTGTAAGAACAGTACCAGCAACAACAGCATCCTTGGTATCCGTATCAGTACCAATCTCGTCAGGTTTCACAATGGTTGGGGCATTTGCCTCATTTGGTTTGCAAAACATATTTTCATGATTCGGAAAGAGTTCAAAGGCATCCTGTTTGCGACCTTGTTGAAGATCGGAGAAGGATTCTTCGACTTGTTGCTGCTGATCTTGAGTTTCGCTTTGATCATCGTCCGTCATGTTGAGTAACGAATCCTCCCCTTGCGACCACTCATCATTGTCATCCTCACGACTATTCTCGTGTACAACAGTATTGTTGAAAAACATGGTCGTGGAGGCTGTGGTTCCCGTAAAGTGACTGGAAGAAGCAGCAGCAGCAGTTCCAGTAGCCGCATTCATTTTGGCCACCAATGCTGAAACTATGGAGGACCTCTTTTGATCTTGATGCTGCTGTTGTTGTTGTTGTTGTTGGTGTCCTGCTACATCCATGGTACTGATTTCTTCTTCTTGTTCTTCTTGTGGAAGAGTTGCTCCGACTGGTACCATGGGCATTCGGCGACGTGCTCCCGCCACGGCCGAAGGTGGTACCAATGGTTTGTTGGTATAGTCTTGCTGGAGGATGATGGGCGTTTGCATCGACAAGGCATCATCATCGCCATCATTGTCATTGTTGTCCATGGAAGAAGAAGGCGTTGGCAACTTGACTTTTTGTTCAATGTTGAAACTGTCCTCGGCTCCCAAAGTAGTCGTGACGGCAGCAGAAGCAGTAGTGGTCGTCGTGACGGCAGTGGCAGTATTATCTGTCTTGCTATTATTGTCAAAGGCAGCACTGCTGAAGGAAAGTACTCGATTCAAATGCATGCGCTGCTGTTGAAAAAAGTTGCGTTGGGGGGTACTGGCCTCGGCAAAGATGTCGTCCGTTTCACCTTCAACATTGAGTGGCAACGATGACTCGCCATCCAATATGGAATCGTCCAAAAAGGGACTGACGGCTGCCGTCATGGCCGTGGCGGGAGTGACAGACGCAGAAACAGAAGCAGTGGTGGCTGGTTTGGAGGAGGAAAGTGGTTTCTTGTGCAGCTTGTGTTGGTATTCTTGTTGTTCTCTTGTCTTGAGATTGCTATTATTACTATTGCCATGATTACGCTCACCATTACGATCATGACTGTCCCGATAACGAATGGGAGTACTGCTGGTAGACTTGCCCAACGTGCTCAAGATGTTGGGATTGCAATCGGGACTTCTGGCCATTAGCTCGGGAGACGATTGCTGTTGCTGTTGCTGTTGCTGTTGCTGCCGCTTGTTCAGTCGCTCGGGAGTGGCGTAAATCTCGGACGCTACCGTGGATTGCTCGGCTCGTTCGAGAGACAAGTCATGTTCATCCTCAGGGAAATCATCATCCTCCTCCGCATTCATGTAATCCTGATTGTATTCATCATCGGGATGGCAACACTCCAACAGGAAGGTTTGAAAGTCCATTCTGTTGTCTCTCTGTGTGTTATTGCTTGTGTAGGCTTGTGTTTGTGTTTCTTGTGTTATTGGTTGTGTGTGTTGATATACACTATTGTATTGTTATTATAAATACAGTACTGTACTGTAGTTCTTCTCCTTTTCAATCAATCCAAATGCAATGGATAATACTACAGTATATGATGCGTGCAATGATGATATGTTTCGATTTTTTTGGTCGTCCATTTTTTTCATCCTGCAGTATCGGTTTGCCTCCCAAAATTCGAAATCAAAAATTCAATTGGGTGAGATGCTGGCGTGCGCACCTCTGTTTAGCGGTGTGGTTTTGTACTCGTGCTAGGCTGGCGCATATCTTCCCGCCAACGCAAAAAAGATCGCCTGGATGCCGTCGTGCGCGGGACGTGCGTATAGAGGGAATAGGGAATTATAATGTACGGTAGTAATGTAGTATCGCAGTTTATTTGAATTGAATTTATGTTACTACTACAGGAGGTATTAATATACAGTACAGTAAAGTATTGCGGTACTGGTTGTAGCTATAGCTTATTCATTTTCGTATACAGTATTGGTGTTCTTGTTGCTCGTTTCTTTCAGCAAGTATGATGGTTTCATTCATTTCTGTTCATCCAAGACGACTCTTGATAGCTCGTCCACTGGAGGATTGATTCGTCGTCATCTTACTAGTACTATCATTACCTCCTCCTCCTCCTCCTGCTGCTGCTGCTGCTGCTGCGGACGGCGACGACGAATTGAACGATGATGCTGCTGCTGGCATCATGGCCATGAGGGACTTGCGAATGCTTTCCCTACTTTGCAAACTCATTTTTCGGGTCGGCCTTAGCTCTTTGTACTTGGAAGCCAATTGACCACATCCTTCAAAGGCCATTTCACCAATGCTGCTTATTTCCAATAATGATGAGGATACTGAGGATACTCCTGATGAAGTAGGAGTATTCGTAGTCGCATTGTCCACAAGCAGCAATTCCTTCAACGACATGCACTGCAAAAAGCACCCATGACCAATCGTCACTTTTTCACTGTCCTCCTCGTTGCTATGATTGTCGTTTTTCTTCTTCCTTTTCTTGACAACTTGCAAACTCACGCAATTGGAAAAGCATTCGTCTCCCAATTCTTCCACACTACTTGGCAATTCGATTTCGGTCAAAGAATGGCACATGCAAAAGGTGTGGGCGGGAATCCTTTTCAGTCGTTGTCGTTGACTTTGAGGACTATGACTGCTATTCGTAGAATCATCGTTACCATCGCCACGAAAGATCACGTGTTCCAAATCATAACATCCCTTAAAGGCGGCATTTCCCAATTCCACCATGGTCGATGGCAATTCAATCGTTTGCAATTTGGAACATTGCTGAAAGGCTTGCATTCCAATTTTGATCAAACCTTCTTGCAATGTTACCTGCGTCAATCGACCACATCCACTCATGGCGGCATAGGGCAAATAGGGCAAACTTGGGGGAATGGAAATCTCCAACAAGTTGCGACACAATAGGAATGCCTCTTCTCCTATTTCTTCCAATTGTACTATTGTATTCTTGCTGTTGGTAGTAGTAGTAGTAGTAAACTCGACTGTTCTCAAACCAAAACACCTGGCAAAACAACGGGCGGGTAATCGTTGCAAGGATGGATCGATTTGAACGTGTTGGATCCGACGACCCAAATCACGCAATTGGGGTGGATTGCCATTGTAAATGTAGGGGGGTTCCTCCTTCTTGGTGATGTTGTTGTTGTTGTTGTTGTTGTCCATGGTATCATCGTCATTGCTTTGCAACGAAGTTCCCGAGGATAGAGAATATAATGAAGAAGTGGATATTTCAAAATTGGAAGACGGAATTTTGTCGACAGCATCTTGTGCTGTTTGTTGGTCTTGAGAAGGAGGAGCATGATCATTTTGTGCTGATGGTGATGATGGTGATGGTGATGATGATAATGGTGGTTCTTGGGTATCTGTGGTTTCATCTGATGCCGGTACTGTTGTTTCTTTAGTAGAGGCCATGGTCCTGGTGGTTGGTAATGACGAGGGATGACCGTGTCGTGTGCGGATGCTGCTGTGGAGCTTTTTGATTGGTTTTTCCTCGTTCCTCTTGCTTGTTCTTGCTGGTGTTGGCAGAGCAGGACGAGCTTCTTCAAGATTGATTCAATCTATCAGGCTCTTATTGCTGAGCTAAACTAATGCAGCAGTAAATTTGTCGTTTGTCCAGTATGATGGATGCGTTAGTGACTGACTCTTGTAGTTTGATGATGTGGGTCATCGATGGAAGCAAAATTTCGTCCATGACATGCTCGCAGATTGATTCCAATGGGTCGACTCAGGCGATTCAAATGTTATATTTCCCACCGAGGCTGATATTGAATTGCGGTAATATCAATACCCTACTGGTAGCATGGTTGCATCTATCATGTGTATTTTCTTACATTATACTCTAAATTTATGTGTGTATTGGTTTGCGTTTGCTCTTACAGCATAGCCTATTTTGTAGTGAATTCCTTTAGATATTTGCCTTCTTTCAACGGTGGAAGAAAGGAGAGAACATTGGGAATCACAACATCAGCTCCGCAATGAATGCGACACTGCTGGCGGTCCTCTTGCTGATGATCTGTTTGTTCTATTCTTGCCAATGACGACGGTGATGAGGAATCAAGATGATCATTCCCTTGCAATTGTAGTTTCCAAAGCCAACATTCCAGCAGTGACAAGGATTCTTTTCGTTCGTGATATTCCAAGGCAAAGAAGACTCTTGCCACAAGCTCTAGCCGATCACAATAGTTGTGGTGATGTTCTTTGGTAACAGTATCACAATTGTCTTTATCATCATCATCATCATCCCAATGTTCTAAAGCATATGACATCTTTTTGCTAATGACTTGCTTCCATGCCTTCAATCTAATTTGTGGCAATCGTGTCTTCACAATCAGGCTGTCAAACACGGCTTGGCACAGTTTCTGGCTGTCATTTGCTTGATGATTCCAACACAAATAGGCCAATGGTGTCCCTCCAAAAATGTCCTTGTCATGCAACATGCTAGAATGGGCAGCTTCTTGTTGTTCATGATGATGATGATGGTGACGATTTTTAGCAATATCAGCAGAAGCAGTTGTAGCAGTAGCATACTCATCTAGTAACAGTTGCAAGGCTTTTGCATTGGGAGCCCCCGACAAACAGAGCAAGTGCAATGGATTCATTCCGAATCCATCCACTCCAGTAATCCAAGCCTGAAGGTTGTTCCACTTATTGTCCGTTTTGGTTTTGGAGTAGACCTCCTTGACTATGTCTTGCAAGTGCTTCAACGAACCAGTAGAATTAGAATCATCATCAAAATCAGCGGTATGTTGGTGTTGGGACAGGTGATAACAGGCATCGTGTATGGGTAGACTTTCAAATCGATTGTTCAAGAGTCGGACCAAGGTTTCATCTTCGTAGGAGTCACCTTGGACGTAGTCTTGGAAACCAATCTTCAATAGGCTTCGATCCAACAATGGATAGGATCCCGCAAATTCAAAGGCTCCCGGAATGATCATACTTCGCAAATTGGAACAATCCACAAAGCAATGGTCCCCAATGAAGGACAATCCCATGGGAAATTCGAGCGACAGCAACTGGGCACACTGTTGAAAACAATATCGTCCCAAATGGTCGACAGTCGCGGGCAAGGTAAGACTCGTCAAACAAAAGCAGCGTGCCATGGCCCAATCACCAATTCGTTGGAGACCATGTGGCAAACGCAAGGATCGCAAGGATTTGCAAGACGCAAAACAAGATTCCTTAATGGTAGTCAATGCCAACGGCAGGTGGACATCTTTCAAAGAGACGCAGTTTTCAAACAAGGATTGTTCCAAAACTTGAATGGCATCGGAAAGCCAGACGGTGGTCAAACTGGAACAATCCACAAAGGCCATGTCTTGCAAGACCTTGACAGACGATGGGATGTGTACCTCCAGCAAGGATTTGCAGTAGGCAAAGGCGGCTTGTTCAATGACTTGAAGTCCCTGTGGCAATCGGACTTGACGCAGATTGTCCCAATATATGAAACATTCGTGAGAAATGAGTTTGACCTGTTCCTGGACCTCCACTTGTTCACTGTCTGCAGCGTCCGCCAAGAGTTCCGCCGCTTCTCCTAGATACAAATGAAACTTCATCGTCACTTATAGGTTTTGGTGATGGCTTGTGGTTGGTTCTTCATTGAATTGATATTTGTGTGTGGAAGGAAGGTTGATTCGATAATGGAGGAAGATCTTTCAGTAAGATACAGTACCAGGTACAAGCATCATCCATTTGAAGGATGGTGGAGGATGACGGCATCATACTGCATGCTATGTATAATCAGAACAATATTCTGCGTCAGATCAGATTTTTTTGTTCGATTCTCTGACTCCTTAGACTTACTGACGTTTGTAATGATAACGTGCATGGTAGTATCTTACACAAGAGAACTTTGTAGCATGAGGAATAGCGGAGAAGGAGAAATAATACAATGGTCTACAAAGGCCCGAGGTGAATGAATGAAGGAATGGGGGTATGCAATGTTTCAATTCAGAAATGTTTCAATTCTCGTCCTGAAACTTCCTACCACGAGCATGATCATCCAAGAATGAAATCCAATGGAGGAACGAGACGACAGCGTCTTCTCATAGGATGAGGCAAGGCATAGCAATATCAATGAAGGGACCAAGGTCGTTGGCATCAACAGAAAATGACAAAATCAGGGATTGTTTGTTTCATCATCTGAATCACTTGCAATTCGCCTGAAATCATGTCTGCTGTCAACTTTGGGTTTCGGTCAGTGTCAACGAACATGAAGGATACACAACTTGCATGGGTGTTCTTAGTTCTTGATTGTTGTTTCAATGGGTGACTTGTGTTGAAAGTGGTATACTTGAGGCGGTCGGAGAGGACGAAAATTCAATTTTCGTCGAGAAGCTCAGAATTCGGAAGCAAAATTTTGTGATGGGTGATCAATGACATGTGTGTCGGTTTCAAAACTGAAAATGGACTATATATTTATTCCTTCTTTTCTTCTTCGTCTTTCTTTTCGGTGTACTTTTGGTATCCGACGTAAGCGGCAGCAGCAGCAACAACGGTGGTAGCAATAACGACGACGGCCTTGTTCATTTTGAATGTGTGCGAACAAATGAAATTCTGTTGTCAAAAAGAAGGGTCAATCACGAAGGAGTCGGAAAACAAGACATCAAGACAGCTGTTAGATCAATGAAGGGGGGGAAAGACAAGAATACGCTCCAGTGGAACTTGGTCATCGTTACATACCTTTTGAAGAAAAGATGTGAGACAAAGGAGAAGAAGGACTGGTGAAAATCGTTCATTCGCAACCTTCGCATGTTGTGACGTCAGTCAGCCGAATAGTTTTTGATTGGTCAATAGCATCTTGTCTGAGGTTGCCAGAAGTTATGACGTAAGCATTTTTGGCCGTCATAAACGAAAAGAGAGGTCTAACTCATTCATTGTTCTTTTGACTTTAGCCATCTCATCTTGTCTCATCCGATGAGATACGTGCATACTTACTGTACAAAACAAAGCGCAGTTATATCAGTGTGGACCACAAACACGGTGCAGTGTCAGCGTTCAAGCAAACTATGTAAATGTAGAAGTGTGCAATGAGTCAATCAGTGTCTAGTTCTAGATTAAAATATTGTACAGTCTGATGAATTCATAATCACACTTTGCGACAGGATTCACATAAAAAGAGGATTGATTCCACCTGTTTCATTTAGGCAGCCTCAATATCCTTGACCGGAGCAGGAGAAGCTTCAGATTCTTCTTCTTCGTTCAACTGTTCCAAGTACTTGACCTCAGCTTGAATACCAGCGGCATAAGCTCCCTTCTCTTCCTCAGAAGCGTCAGCCATCATATCCTTCATCTTCTTGATGTTGGACAAGATGCGCTCACGTCGCTGAGAGAATGTCTCGGGAACGGACTCGAGGTTCTTGATGGCCTCTTCCCAGTTCTTGGGGGCGACAAGGACGGTTCCGATGCTAAAGTCACGGCCAGGGTGCATGGAAGTATCGGGCTTTCCTCCGGCTTCACGCTCTTCGGCAGTTCCGACATAAACCTCATCCAATTGGAATCCAGCAATCTTCTTGTGGATGGTTCCAAAGAACCAAGAGGCAGCGCAGATACCGGTAGCTTCAATCGCCAACACAACGTTCAACATGATGTAAACGAAGGGGTTGGAAAGGAAGGCGATGGGGAAGGCAGATGCAACCAATTGCCAAGAGATGGACGCAAGGATGGTGGTGATGATAGCTCCAAGGAAACCCAAGTTGAAAAACTCTTGAAGGCCGTCAGACACACCAAAGATGTTCTCGTCCTCTCCGATCTTGATGTTCAAAGTGGTGACACGGGCGGCGACAAAGAAGATAAGCGTCACGGTAACTTGACGTCCGACCATGAAGCCTGGAAGGTTGCGTCCCTCTCCCTTGAACAACAAGTTGCAGGTACGGCGGGCCATTGGGTGGTCTCCACGGTCTTCCTTCTTGAACTTGGAAACGGCGAAGAAGGCAATTTGCATGGCCTCAAGAAGACCAACAAGGGAAAGCAACACAAAAAAGATGATCACGGCGGCCCAGTTGGGGATGAAGTCCCACATGGTAGTCTGTCCCTTGAAAAGAGCTTCGAGGGTGACAGCCAAAGAAAAGCAAAGGACGACGGTCGAAAAGAGAACACGTCCCCAGTGGAAGAAGGCCTTGGCAGCACTGCGTGGTGGCTCGTTGGTCACAATGGGCTTTCCGGCGGCAAAGTAAAAGCAGTCGCGGATCAAGTAGCACACGTGCATGAATCCGGTCATCTCAATCAACAAGGTGCAGTACAAGGTAAAGGTCATGAAGTGCGTGTTGATGTAATCAAGCATGCAGTGAGAAGCGTTCACTTGGGCAGTCAATTGTCCAATGTTCACGTTTGTCAACACCATGGCAATACCAGATCCCAAAAAGATGTCAGACACCCATTGTGGAAGACCAAGAACGGAAGCTCCTTCAAGAGGAGATCCGCAAAGAGAGATGGTAAAGTTGATGAAGATGACCATGAATTGACGTCCCATAAGGTAACGGTCGAGGTTGTCTCCCTTGTGTCCAAGAGAGCAGATTTGGTAGGTGATCTTGTGAGAGTCCTTGTAGAGCTCACGGTCGATGGGGGGAAGACCGACCATGGAGCATTGGCCACCTTCGACCATACTCATCCAAAGAATACCGAGCCACATGACAACAAGGGCGACGACGGGGTGAGCATCGTTGGCAACCTTGGTGTTCTCAGTGAACATCAATGCGGTGACGATGACCACAGAGAAGATGACAAGACATGTCGAGTAGAACTGCTTGAAAAGATCAAGTGGGGAGTTAGACAACATAGTGATTGATTGTGTTGTCAAAGATACAAAATTGTGAGTTAGGAATTGCACTGATATCAAAAGATACAAAAATCAAACGGCCAACACACAGCTTGTCCGTGAGGTCGATCGCCAATGCCCACCAATTTCCGGGAATGAATGCCGGTATGTTTGTGTATGTAGAGATCCGATTGATATTTTCCAAGCGTTGGACGGACGTTATTTGCTGGGATTGGCCGTGTGGCTGGCTTGTCACCTTGAACTTGAAACAACTTACAAGGAAAGGGCTAACAAAGCTCCAACAATATCAAACACAACATTATGATACCGGTACGCATCATTATGCAGTTCAACTGAATGAATCAAGGATTGAACATTCGCTTATATGCATGTATATCATTTGCAAACACGGAAGATGTCCTGAATATTTTCTTTAAGATACTCCATGTTCTTTCTTGTTTTTCCTTGGTAGCAAGGGAAATGATGCTGCTGAACCAGCACTATATAGATAACGTCTGCATCCTCCCAATCGTATCAATAACACAAAGCTTCTTAGGAGAAGGATACTCGGTTATTGCCTTACTGACAAGTACTGCCTGGTGAATCGCGTATACATCATGACCAATTCAAATGAAGAGAGATAGGACACGTCTGATTTGCAACTTGAAAAAGATTTTGGTGGAGACGATACGTTGTCGGTGTGATGACGACCATCATATATATGCGAGCTGCCAACTGAAAGATTCTCGAACGATGAATATTGACGACCCTGCCGCTACTTTGATCAGATAAATTCGATAATGCTCTCTTGCCCCTGATGATCTCGGCAGTAATTTCGCATTCTCCAAACTGAAAGGAGATATATATCACGCTTTGAGTAAAACTGCCGAGTATGTATCGGATCGTATTCTTTTTTCAGGTAAACACCAAAACTGATGCCATACAGTATAAAGTGGTATTCGATGAAGGTGTCGCTGTTACTTGAACTCATTCCGTGCCAATAAGCACTGCGACTGCTGTGCCAACATTCGATGCTGGGTTATTTCTGATGATTCCAAAGCTAAACGTTGCTCCAGTGAAAAGACATCTGCTCACCATGAGGGTTCACAATAAGGTTCACAATGTCTCTACATATTGAAGCCGCCCCAACATGAGCCAATGAATGGCGTTCGTTGTATCACGTTGGATAATCTTTTGATAAATAGGTGACTACCGAAAAGATGTTACCACCGATAGAAATCGCATAGTGTGTGTCAAAACCCTGTCTATTGAACCAATAGAACAACAAATCAAGTTGTCCGAAATATCTCTATATTATAAAACTAAATGCCACACATTTTGATCGGATGGAAACATGGCCAGGACTAAGAGGCTGCAAGTAGAAATAGAGGAAGATGAATCAATTTCTATATCAAAATTTAAAAGATAGCTTTCACTTGATGGATTCACTTAAATACCACGACACTCATCAGTGTGCAGGAGTCCCGAAATAACTCCGGAGCGCATCAGTCCCAAAACAATTTAGACGGCTTCAACGTCTTTCATCGGAGCAGGAGAAGCTTCAGATTCTTCTTCTTCGTTCAACTGTTCCAAGTACTTGACCTCGGCTTGAATACCAGCGGCATAAGCTCCCTTCTCTTCCTCAGAAGCGTCAGCCATCATATCCTTCATCTTCTTGATGTTGGACAAGATGCGCTCACGTCGCTGAGAGAATGTCTCGGGAACGGACTCGAGGTTCTTGATGGCCTCTTCCCAGTTCTTGGGGGCGACAAGGACGGTTCCGATGCTAAAGTCACGGCCAGGGTGCATGGAAGTATCGGGCTTTCCTCCGGCTTCACGCTCTTCGGCAGTTCCGACATAAACCTCATCCAATTGGAATCCAGCAATCTTCTTGTGGATGGTTCCAAAGAACCAAGAGGCAGCGCAGATACCGGTAGCTTCAATCGCCAACACAACGTTCAACATGATGTAAACGAAGGGGTTGGAAAGGAAGGCGATGGGGAAGGCAGATGCAACCAATTGCCAAGAGATGGACGCAAGGATGGTGGTGATGATAGCTCCAAGGAAACCCAAGTTGAAAAACTCTTGAAGGCCGTCAGACACACCAAAGATGTTCTCGTCCTCTCCGATCTTGATGTTCAAAGTGGTGACACGGGCGGCGACAAAGAAGATAAGCGTCACGGTAACTTGACGTCCGACCATGAAGCCTGGAAGGTTGCGTCCCTCTCCCTTGAACAACAAGTTGCAGGTACGGCGGGCCATTGGGTGGTCTCCACGGTCTTCCTTCTTGAACTTGGAAACGGCGAAGAAGGCAATTTGCATGGCCTCAAGAAGACCAACAAGGGAAAGCAACACAAAAAAGATGATCACGGCGGCCCAGTTGGGGATGAAGTCCCACATGGTAGTCTGTCCCTTGAAAAGAGCTTCGAGGGTGACAGCCAAAGAAAAGCAAAGGACGACGGTCGAAAAGAGAACACGTCCCCAGTGGAAGAAGGCCTTGGCAGCACTGCGTGGTGGCTCGTTGGTCACAATGGGCTTTCCGGCGGCAAAGTAAAAGCAGTCGCGGATCAAGTAGCACACGTGCATGAATCCGGTCATCTCAATCAACAAGGTGCAGTACAAGGTAAAGGTCATGAAGTGCGTGTTGATGTAATCAAGCATGCAGTGAGAAGCGTTCACTTGGGCAGTCAATTGTCCAATGTTCACGTTTGTCAACACCATGGCAATACCAGATCCCAAAAAGATGTCAGACACCCATTGTGGAAGACCAAGAACGGAAGCTCCTTCAAGGGGAGATCCGCAAAGAGAGATGGTAAAGTTGATGAAGATGACCATGAATTGACGTCCCATAAGGTAACGGTCGAGGTTGTCTCCCTTGTGTCCAAGAGAGCAGATTTGGTAGGTGATCTTGTGAGATTCCTTGTAGAGCTCACGGTCGATGGGGGGAAGACCGACCATGGAGCATTGTCCACCTTCGACCATACTCATCCAAAGAATACCGAGCCACATGACAACAAGGGCGACGACGGGGTGAGCATCGTTGGCAACCTTGGTGTTCTCAGTGAACATCAATGCGGTGACGATGACCACAGAGAAGATGACAAGGCATGTCGAGTAGAACTGCTTGAAAATATCAAGTGGGGAATTAGACAACATCGTGATGGATGGATCTTATTGAAATTGTGAATGCAATGCTGGGTTCGAAAGTGCCTTCCACTCACGGCCAACAGACATTTTACACGATAAATACTGGTATTTTGAAAATCATCCCTCTTCAAATCGCCAAAGCAAACGGCTTTTTCACGATTTGATCGCGTTTAAATATCTAATGAAATTGGACCAATAAGAAGTTGTCTACGAATGAATGAATGAATCGTTTAACCAAGAATAGGTCGACATCTGGTGTTGAACATATGATGTCTGGCTCGCGATCGGAGATTTCACAAAGTCAAAAGATATATGGGTTACGATTGGGAGTAGTACCTACCCCACCAGCAGTACGTGTACATACTCTGGTCTTGATTTCAACGGCACTTATCACCATTGGCTGGTATCTTGAGGAAGATTTAAGAAGAGTTCAGTCCGTATCTTGTTTGTAAAGGCTGAAATCCTTTGACTCCCCCTCCCATTGGGATGATTGAATGAATCGACTGTCAGCAGATGCTATTAGTAGTACCCACCATAATAGTACACTAGTCTCGCTGGATAGGAAACAAATCACATTTGTTTCGTATAGTACTAGCTAGTTTGTACTCCAATGTTCTGAGGCGGTGAGATTCGAAGTAATATAAGACGGGGATCTCGAAGACAAAGCAGTAAATTTGCATCCTGATAACAACGAAGGAACAAAGGCGGAACACCGAGAACAAAATGATCTTTTTAATCCTATTTATAACACAAAAATCGCTACTATTCTTGGTGAACATCCAATATCGAGCTAGTATCTTACTTTCGATGAACTAACCACACTCCACAAGACGTGATGAGAAGACATATTTATCACATACCGGAACCATAAATGGCTACAATATTGTCTTCAAAGTCGTCACCCAGTGTTGGTTGCACTTGGCTAGAGTTTCCATGGGTGGTCGTTTGGCTCGTAGCAACTGACTTACAAATTTTCTTATGCTGTTTCCAGTCTGCCGCTTGACAGTCTCTCGAGCAATAGTTCATCATAGAACATTGAGAACATACCTTGAGCGACTTGTGAGAAGTTTCCGAGGACCCCGACTTGCCACAGTGGCCGCATTTCCCAACCTCCAAGGAATCCAACAAAGATGCAATTAAAAGAAATCGGACGAGGGTTTGTGGTAAAATGTCTTTACTTCCGTCTTTTCTGTTGCATATCGCTCGAAGTGTGTCACCGCAAGGTTCACCTGGCTTGAACGCTTTGCTCAGAATCACCGTAGCACAGGACTGCAGTGCGCGAAGCATTGTGTCTGCGATGAGCCTTTGGGATTCGAAGAGTTGGGGAATCGTTAGGCACCGAAGACTTTGTTCCAGCATACCGTTGGCCTCAAGCCTCTTGAAGAACTTCTCTCCCGACCATCGCTTATCCAAGCGTTTAGTAGCAGTGAAGTATGCCCGGTGTAGAATTCCGACCACATGTAGTGCAACCTTACGACCAGGAAGAGCTCGATCAGTCCCTTGACTGGCCTTTATGAATGATGCCAGCGCTTCAAAAAAGCCGCTCTGAAAAGCTACAACGACCGGAACAACATGGTGAAAGAGTGGAAGACACTGAACCAAAATTGCGCCGTCAATGTCATTCAATTCCCCCTTTGCTATCCAATTGCGATCGGTGGATAGCCTTCTCAGTTCTTCAATGGTAAAATCCAACCAGATTCGGATTATTGATTTTGGAATCTTTTCACGAAAGAGTTTTTCGTCTGCATTCAAAGCCAGCCAATACGTGCATTGCTGATGCCTGTTTATGTCGACCCTGTCATCAACGCTCATTCTTGGTTTGCTTCGAACCTTTCGGATTTCCTGCAGAATGGAGGGAATATAGTTCGCATTGGGCACTCGAAGTAAAAGAGCATTTGCTCCTTGTTTTGTTCTGATGTTAAACTCGCTACCATCAGGCAAGTCTACAAAATATGGATTCAAAGACTTCTTATTATTCATTGTCCGCTTCGGTGGATGATTCGATTCCTTCAGGATAAGATGATTGGCACTCTAATCGTCCACCAAATTCACAGACACATGAAAAGTGAGGACAATCAAACATTTTCCAAATCCAATCCAAACCCCGCGGGAATTCACAGTCAAGGTATCGTTGACTGCTTTATTGATGCGCTGACGTTTATTTTATTGTTTGAGTTTTATTGAAGTGAGAAGGAAATGCACATTCGGTAATGGGGAAGCAGAGAAGAGGAGGTAGTATGTGGAGAATACCCGGAATTTCAAATTATGATGGAAGCAGATATCAACTGTCAATCATAAAGCATCCTACTATTGTTAATGTGTACGGAAAAAAATGCATATAGACTATAGAAAGGACTAAACTTCGACGAAGTTCGGTGGACGTCATCCATTTTGAACTTGACATCCCTCAATAGTCCACCAGTCTTCATCAGTTTTAAAAAGTCAATCAGTCAAGATTCGACCGAATTGACGGTGAGATCAGTTCGAAGGTGTATAAAGACTGCAAACTACAAAAACAGAATTGTGACTGGGGAAGGTATCCTATAAAAAGTACTATACCGGTATAGAAGTCTCAAAAGAATTAAAAAAGGAGACACGGCATTGGATTGGATTGGTAATAGAAAATCTAATGTTTAATGTACATGATTGATGGATATGTCATCAATAATAAGCAACAAAATTCCTAGGCAGCCTCAATATCCTTGACCGGAGCAGGAGAAGCTTCAGATTCTTCTTCTTCGTTCAACTTTTCCAAGTACTTGACCTCAGCTTGAATACCAGCGGCATAAGCTCCCTTCTCTTCCTCAGAAGCGTCAGCCATCATATCCTTCATCTTCTTGATGTTGGACAAGATGCGCTCACGTCGCTGAGAGAATGTCTCGGGAACGGACTCGAGGTTCTTGATGGCCTCTTCCCAGTTCTTGGGGGCGACAAGGACGGTTCCGATGCTAAAGTCACGGCCAGGGTGCATGGAAGTATCGGGCTTTCCTCCGGCTTCACGCTCTTCGGCAGTTCCGACGTACACCTCATCCAATTGGAATCCAGCAATCTTCTTGTGGATGGTTCCAAAGAACCAAGAGGCAGCGCAGATACCGGTAGCTTCAATCGCCAACACAACGTTCAACATGATGTAAACGAAGGGGTTGGAAAGGAAGGCGATGGGGAAGGCAGATGCAACCAATTGCCAAGAGATGGACGCAAGGATGGTGGTGATGATAGCTCCAAGGAAACCCAAGTTGAAAAACTCTTGAAGGCCGTCAGACACACCAAAGATGTTCTCGTCCTCTCCGATCTTGATGTTCAAAGTGGTGACACGGGCGGCGACAAAGAAGATAAGCGTCACGGTAACTTGACGTCCGACCATGAAGCCTGGAAGGTTGCGTCCCTCTCCCTTGAACAACAAGTTGCAGGTACGGCGGGCCATTGGGTGGTCTCCACGGTCTTCCTTCTTGAACTTGGAAACGGCGAAGAAGGCAATTTGCATGGCCTCAAGAAGACCAACAAGGGAAAGCAACACAAAAAAGATGATCACGGCGGCCCAGTTGGGGATGAAGTCCCACATGGTAGTCTGTCCCTTGAAAAGAGCTTCGAGGGTGACAGCCAAAGAAAAGCAAAGGACGACGGTCGAAAAGAGAACACGTCCCCAGTGGAAGAAGGCCTTGGCAGCACTGCGTGGTGGCTCGTTGGTCACAATGGGCTTTCCGGCGGCAAAGTAAAAGCAGTCGCGGATCAAGTAGCACACGTGCATGAATCCGGTCATCTCAATCAACAAGGTGCAGTACAAGGTAAAGGTCATGAAATGCGTGTTGATGTAATCAAGCATGCAGTGAGAAGCGTTCACTTGGGCAGTCAATTGTCCAATGTTCACGTTTGTCAACACCATGGCAATACCAGATCCCAAAAAGATGTCAGACACCCATTGTGGAAGACCAAGAACGGAAGCTCCTTCAAGAGGAGATCCGCAAAGAGAGATGGTAAAGTTGATGAAGATGACCATGAATTGACGTCCCATAAGGTAACGGTCAAGGTTGTCTCCCTTGTGTCCAAGAGAACAGATTTGGTAGGTGATCTTGTGAGATTCCTTGTAGAGCTCACGGTCGATGGGAGGAAGACCGACCATGGAGCATTGTCCACCTTCGACCATACTCATCCAAAGAATACCGAGCCACATGACAACAAGGGCGACGACAGGGTGAGCATCGTTGGCAACCTTGGTGTTCTCAGTGAACATCAATGCGGTGACGATGACCACAGAGAAGATGACAAGACATGTCGAGTAGAACTGCTTGAAAATATCAAGTGGGGAGTTAGACAACATAGTGATTGATTGTTTTGGTTTGTCAAAATTGTGAGCGTGGTATGAGTTTTTCTTTTGAAAATTTTCTCAAATTGTGGGAGTGGGTCGTTCGAAGGGGCACGTGCCACCCATTTCATTGGCAATTTGGTGATTTCCGTAGGTTTTGGTACCGAATCATTGCTTGCATTCTTCGATCGTCTTAACCGTAAAATAACATTACTTGCTCAAGATCAGCCTTGTCTGCCTCGAGGCCAACGGCGAAGTACCATTCTTCTACGTAGATGGCTATGCTTTTACGGGATCAACGAATTTTTTTCCGCGCCGTCTGTCAACACGGCCAACAGAATATCGGATCTTTCTGGCCCCCCATCGGATCGACATTATGGATCTTCATCAGCTGTTGGAAATATCATGCCGTCGTCTTCCTTCAGGATACTAGGCCGGAGTTGAAGCTCAATTCCGAACTAATTACAGTGGTCAGAAAAGGACATGCCCACCGATGAGGCAACAAGGATGTCGTTTCTACAAATCTGTTGTTTCTGTTTCCACCTGAATATCATCTGAATCAATCAATCTTTAGGTCGCTTTGTAAGAAATACCTTTTGTGGTCGACTCCAAGTCGGTTTTCGAGAACGCCTCACAATTGGTAATTTTTCCTCTTCTGTAAGATCGAGAAGCGGTCGCAAACCGGGATATCGCCATTAGGGAGAACGGATGCACCACCAACAAGATTCAGCCACTACCACGAAATGAAGTAGCGAGTCCAACATTACGTTGGTTTGGTGCCATCATCGACGGATGTAGCATCTCTCTTGTTATCAGATTGGAGAATCTAGGCAACCATTAGTCTTTGATGCGGAATTATCTGGACCTCATACAGTTGCTGTTTGGATTCAATAATCTCCTGTATTCGGAATAGTAGGAAATCCTACAGAATGATTGGAAAGTGTCTAGTCTTTAGTTTGTAGATTCCCTTTAGATTTTATTTACAAATACTGTTGCCCCTTTCTGTTGTGATGTTTCGTGATTATCATGTTGGGTGTACTTTTTTCTCATGTTGTACAGAATGTTATCTACTGCTGCGCACCCCGATGCCCAAAGAGCGCCACACAACTCAGTGAAACTTTCTGACGCTAATCTGAAATGAACTTCTGAACGGCAATATAGTCTCTTCGACAGCGGCACCTTTTCGACAAAAGTCCCTTGGGTTTTGGCAAGTTCTTCCATGTACTCGTGGTCGGATGACTTGGTGGTCGAATCGAGAGAACCTGGTGTTGGTTCCATATCCTTTTCGATTCCGCCTTGTTGACAATCATCCAGATATCTGCTTCTCGGGGGCGTCTCCTTGGAAAGATCCGCCGACTCCGATTTCGGGGGCGTCTCTCCATTGTCGAGATTCACCATCTCCGAGGAAGGAAATGAAAAGTGGGTGCGGATGCATCCCGATACGAGTTCATGGTTGATGGAACCACATGTATCAGTCAATTGCTCGACCACTGAATCGTAATTCTAGTAGCAACTATTGAAAGATTTGAATGTTCCCAGTTGTGCGAATGCAATGCAAGAGGCTTGGTCAAAAGGCTTGGCAGTGCTGCTGGAAGAGTCGTCGTACAAATCTTTCATGAATGATTGGCAGGCATCAATGATTCTTTCGAACAGATCAATGGCAAGTGGCTTCACTGTTTTGTAGAATTCTTGGAGTTTAGTAGCAGCCATTTTGACTAGATGCACACCGCGTGGTTGATACTTTTCATAGAGTCGTTGGCACTGCGCAGTAGCAGTATCGAAAAAATCCAATGCGAGTGGTTGGTAAGTCTTGTAAAGTTCTCGGCACTCCATAGACACAGCATCCAATAGATCCATTGCGAGTGGTTGGTACTTCGCGTAGAGTTCTTGGCATTCCATAAAGATAATATCGATGAGGTCCATGGCTAGAGAGAGAAACCCAAAATCCAAGTCCAAGGAAACCGTTCTTGTTGGCGGGGTAGTCTTGTTCTTCTTGTTGGAATCCAAGGTGCAAGTATTGTTCTTTTGCAACAACAAAGTGAAAGCGGTCATGTTCCTCTTGGTATCCATGGTCGACGAAATGTTCTTTTGATCCAGAGCGAAACTAGTCATGTTCTTCTTGGATTCCATAGTAGCCAGAGTCAGGTTTTTTTTTGGAAACCATGGTAGTGAAAGATAAAGCGACGGCCGTTCCCATCTCCACGACGATTCCAAGATTGTTGGTGAGATTGGTAGTAGTGTTCAATGACACACGACCAGTTTAGTTCTGACCAATAATTCCTTCTAGCATTGTCAGATTGGTGACACTGCTGGTGACATTGGTCGAAATCATCATTGCCTGAGCAGGATGAATGGCCCCAGACAACGAAGACTGGTTCGTGCTACTCGCATCGTAGCTCACAGCCGTAACCTCGATGCGTCCATAGCCGAAAAGAGAATAGGGAGCCGACATTTCTTCCGTGAAAGTTCCAAAAAGTTGCTGGAATTCCGTAGATACAATGTCGAGAATGTCCATTGCGAGTGGGCGAACGGTTTGGTCCAACAGTTCCCATGCGATTGGTTGATAAATCTCGTAGGCTCGTGCAAACTCATCAGAAGCAGTGTTGAATAGATCGATTGCAATTGGCCCGTAAACATTGTAGAGTTCTTGGCATTCAGCAGTGACTGTTTCATAGAGATCGACGGCTTGAGGATGAATCTCAAAGCTCAAGTTCAACGAAACCGTGCTCCTTGAAGATGGAATGTCCTCATGATCGAGACTAACAACAGCAGGAGCCATGGTTGCTTGGAAAGCAAGGTTCTCTGGCTGAAGTACAAACCCCAACAGAAAGGTAGCGATGGCAGTAAAGAGAAAGGTGATCCTTTTGGCCAACATGGTTGAAAGGATGTGTTTGGTATTGATTGATTCGGAATAAGTTGAAAGTTGATAATGATATGAACTGATGTAAATTATGCAGTGATTGCAAAATTGTGAGAACATTTGATGTTGTCCCAAAGAAAGAGAAGCGAAGGAAGTTGTTGTAGACTGTGTAGAAAGTCAGTAGGAAAAGAAAACTGGTCTTTGGCGGTATTCGTTCCTCGTCGTGGTTGTCGTTTTTCGGACGAGTTTGAAAAACACGCTCGTTTCATCTTATTGGCCATTGGCTCACGACTTGGAAAATTTGTTCCTTCATGAAGGATACTGATGATGCGGTATTGGTGCCTTGAATAGGATGCTTTCGCGCTTCATCATCGTTGTAATCCTTGCTGTGCATTCGATCATCATCGTCAACATACACCGCAAACGGTTGGCACCTGAAAGGTACAGCTTTAGCGTTTATCTGTACAATCACTAAGTTCATTTTTGCTTGCATCTGTTTCATCTGTTGTATGAAGCTACTCTGAGGACTACACCGTACATGATTGCATTTCTAGATGAAAAACACGCGAGTGACGAGGACGATCATCATGACGAGGACCACATCATTGAATGCTTGGTCCATTCTTCATGGGCCCGTTCGAATCACATTGCTATTATACAAGCTAGCTCACGTTTGGCTTGTCTACAAATCCATTCTACTTAGAGGAATCAAAGATGTTCTTGACTTTCCATTACCGTTTTGTCTTACTTGCATGGTTGTGATGAACCATTGGTTCATCGTCCTTCCCACAACCAGGATGAGATGATCCATCTAAAAAAGGTGCTTACTGCAGTAGAAAACATTCCATCACCATTGAATGCAATATGAGTCCAATCTCTGGAGACTGACGTATACTGTAACGCTGCCATGGCAAAGTTGAGCATTCAACGAGGACATGCAGGAACATCCAGTCCGAACTTCTTCCTCTGGCAAGCATACAAACAACTATCAAGCAAATCCAGCAAGAGGCAGATCACCACCTGCATACAGACGGACAAGTACAGTAGTACATCATTTTCCTACCACTTATCGCTATATGTTTGCTGCCATCCACCTCCGTTCCCAGTTTCCAGCTGTCCTCGTATTTGTGAGGCACTCGCTCCATTCGCAGCATCCGTCGAGATCAAACTATCAGCGTGCAGCTTCCCTTGATCCCTGCTTGCCTCCAAAATGTTACTGATGTTCGTTTCCAACACCATCCCTCCCATGACAATTTCATCCAACAAGTAGTGCACACGATCCGAGTGAAAAATGAGATCCAATTCGCACACATTCTCAAACGTTTTGTCCAAGGCCTCCACAAACACTTGAATTAGATCCAGAATCCCCAAATCAGATTCCTGCGAATCCACAGCAAAGACAAAATACAGAGTCGCGTAGTGTCTATATATCAGCTTGATGTGTTCCCCCCATTCCGGAATGATTCCCTCCAAATAGTTGCAAAAACTGTCAGGACGTTGGGCCACCTGTGTAAAGACTCGCCGTACCACAGACTGCTGCAGGGCTTCACTTTCCACAGACTGATAGAATTTGGCCAGTCTTGGTTTGCCGTGATTGTTTACAATGATGACACCTTTGATCATATTGCTTCTCTATGATATGGTATTGTGTATAGCTGTGAGGATGATGATGAAACAATTCAGTATATCGATGGAGATGCTATAATGGTGGCATTCAATTTTCCACCACGATGAACTGGAGCTCATTTGAACACCACTTTGGTTCCGAGATTTCGGGGGAAGTAATGCAAGCCTTCCTCCACGAGTAAGAACATACCCATAATCGCTCAAGGGACATCGAATGGACGCTTCAGATTTATCATATTCACACGAGCACGACACAAGAGCACGTGCCAGTGACGGGCATCACAAACTGGCGATTGAACTTTTTCGCCACAAAAAAAAGGCAACAATAGCTACAGTAGGTATCCATCCTTCTTCATCCGAGAGCAACGAAGCCTTTTTTTACAGACAACAAGAAGACATCATGCCAGTGGGTCAACGAGCCACTGCAATCGAAACGGGACAGTTAAATCTGGACGGAGGAAATGTGTTCATGAAGGGCGGTGGTGGTGGTGGTCTCCTCAAGAATGCCAAAGATTCCTTTGATTACGATACCGAACCAGTGACATCCTCATCATCCGACGAAGAAGACGTCTTTGCCGATATCTCCTTGCACGACAACGTTGATGATGAAGAAGAAGACGAGTATACAAAACCAGTCAAATCTGGGAGTGCGGATGCCTCGGAACAGGGAACAGTATTTTCCGCTTCCACCAAGGGTTCTTCCAAGAAGGGTCGTGCCACCATCATTGCGGCCAAACGAAGCAATTCCATGACCCGCGTCGATAGTATTCGAGAAATCAATTCCATGGCTGAGCAGCAACAACCACAAAAGAAAGGACTCGATTCTGATATGATACATGTCTCCGGCTACTTGCGACTAGACATTCACACCCAATTTCTTCTGTCGGAACATGGAATCCGCTCGCTGGACGATTTGGGAAGCTTGAGACCCAAAAAGTGGAAACACATACACAATCTGGTCAAGTCTGTTACTGGGGACGATGAACAAGCTCGAAAGTTAGCCGTACTCCGTCAGTGGATTCGTTCCATTCAAATTCCAGTGGACGAAGGCGACCGTATTCCAAGCGACTGGAGGCCACTCTTTCTAAAAGCACTACCCCAGCTGAAAGCGGATGCCCGAAGAACCGACTGGACTAATTCAGAGGATGTGCAAATGCGGTTCATTGATGCTATGCCATATTCCATCACCAACTTTATCACCTCCCTTTCTCAATGCGGAATTGCCTTGCCTTGGGAATCAGAATTTGAATGAGCAGGATTGTAGGGGTGGCTGGTCCAAGCGACAAATCCAAACGCCAAATCCCAATCGATAACATACCAAACCGAAACCGACCATCAACTAGCCTAACCAAGACCCAAGCCAAAACGAGCCCAACACCAATGGAGCATTTAGTCTAGATTTCATAATTTCATTAATAAACCAACGACAAAACATTAACCAACAGCAGCAGCCATTTTACTTGCTAGTAAGGCATTTTCAATTTTCAATCAAGAACTACCACTTGAAGGACACTACTGTACCGGCATACAATTTTTTTTCAATTGGAGCAGGAAGAATAATGAGTGAGTGAGTGAGTATGGTCATGAATTCTCCTATTGGATGAAAGAATACATAGTAGGAGCACAATGGTGGTGGTCGTACTCCAAAAGAAGATTGTATTGTAGAGTGAATCTTGATACAGCAATGATCGATTATTGGGGTTTATCTTATCTTCTATTGATACACAAAAATGCAAGAGTCAGTCGATGCTAAGGTATTGGTTCAGATTTGTCGCTCTAGCACATTTCTTCGCCCTTGGCTCCAGACTGTGCAGCGTCAAGTTGTTCTGCTTCTTCTGCGTTCAGCTTCTCAAGAGTTGCAAGTTCCATTCTGAGACCGGCTTCGAAGACGGTTGCTTCCCCTTCAGAAGCATCAGCCATCATCTCCTTCATGTTCTTGATGTTGGACAAGATGCGCTCACGTTTCTGAGAAGATGTCTCGGGAGTGGGTTCAAGATTCTTGATGGCTTGTTCCCAGTTGACAGGGGCACCAAGGACATGGGTTCCCATGCTAAAGTCACGGCCAGGGTGCATGGAAGTATCGGGCTTTCCTCCGGCTTCACGCTCTTCGGCAGTTCCGACGTACACCTCATCCAATTGGAATCCAGCAATCTTCTTGTGGATGGTTCCAAAGAACCAAGAGGCAGCGCAGATACCGGTAGCTTCAATCGCCAACACAACGTTCAACATGATGTAAACGAAGGGGTTGGAAAGGAAGGCGATGGGGAAGGCAGATGCAACCAATTGCCAAGAGATGGACGCAAGGATGGTGGTGATGATAGCTCCAAGGAAACCCAAGTTGAAAAACTCTTGAAGGCCGTCAGACACACCAAAGATGTTCTCGTCCTCTCCGATCTTGATGTTCAAAGTGGTGACACGGGCGGCGACAAAGAAGATAAGCGTCACGGTAACTTGACGTCCGACCATGAAGCCTGGAAGGTTGCGTCCCTCTCCCTTGAACAACAAGTTGCAGGTACGGCGGGCCATTGGGTGGTCTCCACGGTCTTCCTTCTTGAACTTGGAAACGGCGAAGAAGGCAATTTGCATGGCCTCAAGAAGACCAACAAGGGAAAGCAACACAAAAAAGATGATCACGGCGGCCCAGTTGGGGATGAAGTCCCACATGGTAGTCTGTCCCTTGAAAAGAGCTTCGAGGGTGACAGCCAAAGAAAAGCAAAGGACGACGGTCGAAAAGAGAACACGTCCCCAGTGGAAGAAGGCCTTGGCAGCACTGCGTGGTGGCTCGTTGGTCACAATGGGCTTTCCGGCGGCAAAGTAAAAGCAGTCGCGGATCAAGTAGCACACGTGCATGAATCCGGTCATCTCAATCAACAAGGTGCAGTACAAGGTAAAGGTCATGAAATGCGTGTTGATGTAATCAAGCATGCAGTGAGAAGCGTTCACTTGGGCAGTCAATTGTCCAATGTTCACGTTCGTCAACACCATGGCAATACCAGATCCCAAAAAGATGTCAGACACCCATTGTGGAAGACCAAGAACAGAGGCTCCTTCAAGAGGAGATCCGCAAAGAGAAATGGTAAAGTTGATGAAGATGACCATGAATTGACGTCCCATAAGGTAACGGTCGAGGTTGTCTCCCTTGTGTCCAAGAGAGCAGATTTGGTAGGTGATCTTGTGAGAGTCCTTGTAGAGCTCACGGTCGATGGGGGGAAGACCGACCATGGAGCATTGTCCACCTTCGACCATACTCATCCAAAGAATACCGAGCCACATGACAACAAGGGCGACGACGGGGTGAGCATCGTTGGCAACCTTGGTGTTCTCAGTGAACATCAATGCGGTGACGATGACCACAGAGAAGATGACAAGGCATGTCGAGTAGAACTGCTTGAAAATATCAAGTGGGGAGTTAGACAACATAGTGATTGATTGTTTTGGCTTGTCAAAAATTGTGAGCATTGGTATCCTTTTTTCCAAAAGATCCCTGTTTTGGCATCAATCTTGGATTTGGCAGCCAACCTTCGCGAATAAGACGGTCGGCTGGCTCTGCATCATTTGAATTACTTCAGGATGAAGCAAATCTATGTTTCGTTTTTGGCGTTGACTTGACGTTACTGTCTGGGGATGGTAGTCCAAAGGCCTGCCTATCGTGGACAATGCGTACCTCTGGTACAAAACAGGTGCAATGGCACGTGTCGAATTTCCAACGGAATGGACTTATCCGACTAAACATTCCCCAAAACTGTCCCAGTACAAGTACTGGTGGTAGCTCCAACCTTGGTGTCTTGTGATTTTACCGTATGCCAAGTTTTACTAATTTTCCATATCAGCGCTGTGTACACTTTAAACTGCGATTTTTTATCTAGAATAGATCAGCCAGCTCCAAGGAATGAATGAATCAATCATCCCACCCTATAGCTTCCTGGCTGCCTGAAACGATTGGAACAGGCGGGACAACGGGAAAAAGCGTATCCCAACACCTCAGTTCCAACTTACCATTACAAAATATCTCCCAGAAGCAAGCCGATAGTTCTAAGTGTTTTGGAAACTTTGTTAATGGTGTCACCGAGTCTGGGTAACGATAGGGCGCCCATGACAGATTCTTGGCCCATTCTAGGTAGAAGAATGTAAGCTCAATTGGCTGACCACCCAAGTCATGTGAGCGCCATTGACACAGTTGTTGTAGCTTGAAAAATTCCCAATCCACCCCAGCCAGTCTTGTTATATGTACCCTTCGACGAGAAAGATGTATTCGAGTAAAGAAATTCAATGAAGTGAGGCCAACCATTCGAGAAACAATAGTGTAGTTTTAGTGCAAATCTTACTTTCCTTCCGAGCTGATTGAGGACATTGTATGCTTGATCTAGACCGCTTCTATCGGTGAGTCGCATAATACAATTATCGTAGGGATCCAAAGATGGAGTAGGTGTATTGTTGAGTGGCTTATTTCCCCCGCCATTATGGCAGCCATATATGGGACCCGCCGGATGATAACACTAAACCGACGCTTGTACCCAACCAACCAGCCGTTTTGTTCGGCACGTCTCTTCTAAAAAGGCAATTCCTTTTAAGCAATGAATCAATGACTTTCACCAGATCAAAAATATCAGATCTGTGTATTGTGGTTGTGGTCTGGGGCCTCTTGCCGGGTCCAACAACGCCAGCTTCTTGACAGCACCAGATTTTGGAACGAGAGCTCGGATTCGAACTGGGCGGATTGTAGCACCATTAGACAGCACCCTCTTGGACCCAAGGCTTTCCTATCATTCAAATAATATCTATCGCGCTCTTTGATACGACTCTTCTAAATCCATGAGGGCTTCGTGGGACGCCGATAATAATAAGTGAAACGAGGAGACTGCTTTGATTTGAAAAGTGGTCCATTTTGGAGCCCAGAAAAAAGAAAACATTCCAATTTCTTTCATACCGAGCCATTCTTAAACAAACGTTATTGAGAGTCACTGGAAGCGTCGATCCAGCTTTCACCCAGTGTACACAGAGAATCTGGGCTCCAACTCACCATTTCTGTTGTGGAAAGATGATACCGGTACGTGAAAATTATGCGGCTGGAGACGGACAGACGATATTGTGTCCAAAATCGCAAAACTCGGAGGACTGCGTATATGTATGTACCAGGGTACCTATTATGTACAATCTCTGATTACAAGTTTTGTTATTGCGACATATAGTATGTGGTATTACAATGCATTTTAGAGCTGGGTGCACTTCGAACTGTGAACTTTGGTCTAAAATGGATCAATTCCAGTAAAAACTGCCTATGTTGCCATGATCATGCATTGAAAACTTGGGTCAAACGTACCGGTACCGGTGTACCCCAAAGGCTTGTTTCTGTCGTAGCGTTCCAAAGCAAAAGCAACACCCAACATCGATTAGTTTTAGTATATTTGGACACTTTGGGATGGGCCTCATCGTGTATGGGTGCCTATTACACAGCGACTGCCTGGGGGAAAGATTCTTGGCCTCCTCTCCTATTTTATTCTTGAGGGAATATAAAGCGCAATAATGGATGACCCAGGTCAAATGAACGCAGTTTGGTGACTTCTATGTAGAAAACTCCCATTCCAACCTTCCTAACTTTGTAACATGTACCCATAGAGAACAAATGTATGTTAGAAAAAAGAAATGCAAAGAAATTAGGCCCACCATTCAACCAATACTGGCTTTGGGGCAAAACTTGCATGCGTTCTGATCCCATTGAGGCCATGCCCTGTATGCTTGATCTAATAGGCCGAATCTTTCAGTGAACCACCTATTACTTTGACCTTAGTGCTCTATTAAAAGGCATTGGTGTATTGTCGAGTGGTGTTCTCTCTCCTCATGGCGGCCATGGAGACCTTGCGCCCAACGATAGCAAAATCGACAAACGTATGGAACACCAATCAGCCGTTTTGGTCCGCATTTCTCTTTTGAAAGAGTCGATTCCTTCTATGAAACAACCCAGTCACTTTTTATTGGATCCAAATATAAAAGAGATTTGTGCATTTGCTGTTGTGTTTAATTTCGAGCCTTAATTGTCGGGTCCACCGCCGCTGATATCACAAGGACGAAAGATTTTGAAGAAATGTATAGGGCTTCCGGTTCGATTTGGGCGCATTTTGAGACCAATAATAGACGTCATCCGTTTCAACCCCAAGTCTTGAATATCACGCACACACATTTATATGTATATATGACTTCTACTTCAATCAATCAGGGCTCCGTGCGACGCCAAGATGTGAAAAGGGACGAGGATGTTGAGCTTGGAAAAGTAGTCTTATTGTTTGTGGCCAAAGAAAGCAAACCAATAATATTCCAATTGCTTTCATACCGAGGCATTCCTAGAAGGTCAAGAGAGTTATTGTGATTGTCAAATCCCACCTTCATGCAATGCACACAGAATTCTGGGCACCAACGCACCACTTTGGATGTGAAATGAGAGTGAGATGACGTTGTAGGGTTTGGCTGGCGGAGACGCGGACGGACGATGATGGGTTGCGATCCAAAATGAAAACTCAAAAGAGGCATTAATATTCATTCCGGTCCAATCGTTTGATCCAGTCGTATACCACTCTGCGATGGTAAAGATCAATAGATGAGACTGCGGTGTAGTGTTGCGAGGATTTCGGCCACTTTCGCTTGAATTTGGCAGTATACCAGGGCACGAGAGGACCGCGATGAATGACATCGAACCGACCAAAAAGTCAGCAAACCAAAAGCACCCGTGATGAAATTAGCAGAATCTTTGCGCCAAATTCATCTTATTCGGCCAAACAAAATGTGATTCCACAAAGCTCCGCAACATTGTATTTCTTGGTACCAAACGAGCTTACAGATAGCTTGGAACTCGACCGTCTCTTCCATATGCAGGCCTCCATAATTGTAGACACCAAAACAATATAAGGGCCGCACCGCCACAACATCATCGCGCATTGTATATACATATATGCAGTTGGACCAATAACACTTGCAGTGGATTCATTCATTCGGGGATGCCCGACCAACATCAAAATTGCACAGCTCAGGGCGTAACCAGTCTATATTTTAAAATATATCCATCAAGGTTATCGGCGCATCTGATTCCATCTTATCTTCTTATTGTGGGGCCCATGCCCTGTAACTAGTCATTGTGTTGTTGTGGACAAATACTATCATATAAGAATAAGTTATTTGCCACTACTGGACGGACTCTTGGAACCCTGACTGACAGGGACCCAAATATGGTACCATAATTGGATATCATCATAGCTACTATATACTCGTATAGACGCAACTTTCAACTTGAGGCAATAGTTACAAGTTCTGTTTGTTTTTGGTATCGGTAAAGAGTCCCAAAACCACCTTGCCAAAACTACTGTCGTTATAGGCTTGAAAGGCGAAATTATTCGGAAACTGACTCGCAAGAATGAATGATGAATGAATGCCCACCTGTACGTGTACCTAGAGCACTACTCGTCCTCTGCAGAGCAATTTGTCTTTGTTTGAGTTATATGAACCGTCGTTACGGCGCGGTATTGCAGTTGTTTTTCCATGTTATACTCTGTGGTGCAGTTTGCAATTATAGACTTGTTCGTTGATGACCACTACTACTAGTATCTGACAGCTATCTGGCTGGCTGTTCTTGCTGCACCACGGCTGCTATTATATACCCTTGTTCTTATCATCCAACGAGGAGCGAGGTCGTCATGAAAGCTCTCATGGTGTACCTTTCAACTACCAGCATTCTCTTTCTAAAAAGAATGAATGGTGGTCTCTCGAATCCTCTGCTGCACAATCCTCGTCGTTTGTTGTTCTTGTCTTCTTCTAACAAGAACAGCCACCACCAAAATGATTGACAGAGATTTCATCTTTTATTGTCCAATCATCGAATGACATTTAGAGGCTGTGATATCACTCTCACCGGTTCCACAATGATGGAGTAGCTAGCGGATTCATTCACTGACACTAGCACTGGCACTGGCACTGGCACTGGCACTGACACTCATTGTCGAGTTGGATGCCAACGGAGGACGAAGCTGGCACGGACTGCACGCATCATCTGAAAAACGATGATAGGAGGGAACTTTTTGGAAAGAGAGTCGTCGGATGGAAGTCAAGTTGAAAATATTCATATTCTCATGATCATTGTTGTCATCACAATCATCATCACGGTCATACTCACACACCATTCCACCTTTTTACATTCGTTCCTCATCCGCGCCCATGCAAATGCACCCAGACTCGGGCATGCAAGCCGTCATCGAACATGCCATTCGCAAGGCAAATACTGTGAGTTGCATGCCCCACATGCACATTTCGGCTTGTTCTTCCATGGATAGATCTGATGTTGCCATTGCCATTATTGTTTGTTGTGCGATTTTCTTTTTTTAAAACAAGAGGAAAAGCTTGGTGGTGTCAAGTCTTTCTACAATATATATTACGGTTTTAATAAGTGCTCCTCGTCGTCGTCTGTTGGCGGTGTATAGTGTATATGGTGTGTGTGTGTGGGTGTGTGCGTGTGTGGGTGTGTGATGGATATTTTATCCCGCGATTTTCTGCTATCGTCCGTTGTAACGGAAGAAGGTTTTATGTGAGGTGCCTAAACGATCTTTCATGGTGCTCGTGCACTTTGACTTCCCAGTGCCAATCCATATCGCAAACCGTTATATCCGACAGAACTCACACTTTTCCAGCCTTGATCAGACTCGTCGGAGTCGATGGTCGATAGGTCGAGTGAGTCAGTCGACTGTGACGACCAACAGACACGACGCATCGAGCAATCATCGCAACGGCTATAAAATATACGACTGATATACCGTATACATACGACTGAAGATTATTGTTCCATTGCTTCCATTGCTTCCATTGCTTCCATTGCTTCCATTTGTACCGTACAATTCAACGACTGCAGGTTCTGCCAATCAATCAATCAATCAACCAATCAATCAATCAATCACCATCCTCTAACCTTGCGTCAGAGGAAGATACGAGTACATACAGTAAAGCAACAAGGAGAGAACCATACCAAAGACGACTACCGGTAGAGCATCACCATTCGGAATATTACGTCAGCTACTACAGTACTGTATATACGTCAACGATGCCTCCTTCTACCGAAACGAACAAGAATGCGCAGCTCGAAATATTGAGCAGAGTGGATGAAATTGTCAAGGGACGAGCCAAAACGACCGAACTGATTTCGTTGCAGAAACCAATACCGGTCTTGGACTATTCGGATGTCGTGGTGGGCCGCGAACTCGGAGCGGGAAGTTTCAGTTGTGCCTATGAAATCAAAAGCATTGGCAAGAAAGTCATGACGCAACAGTACATCATGAAGAAATTGTCGGCCAAAGTGGTAGCCAACCCGTTGCTGTTTGTGGCTTGCGCTGCGGACTTGATCAATGAAGGAAGAATACTGGCGGCGATTCAGCATCCGAATGTGGTTCAATTGCGGGGATGGAGCGGGCCGAATATGATCGAGGATTACTTTCAGCACTCGCAACGCGAAAAATGTTATTTGATTATGGATCGACTCGATCAAAATATGGAAACCAAATTAGTCCAATGGAAAGAAAGCAAACCCAGCATGTGGAATTTGCCGTCCAAGAGAAAACAGCTGGAAGATGATCTGAAACGAGAGAGGTATACTGGTATAATACATCTGGCGAGAGGGTTGGAACATTTGCATCAGCACAATGTATTGCATCGAGATTTGAAGCCTGGTAAGTTGGACAGTCCACTCGTCATGTGCAACAACAGTCCTCGTCTGATTCATTCATTCATTCAATCTGCTTTTGCAATGTCTGCCCACAGGAAACATTGGATTCGATGCTTCGGGCACCTTGAAGATATTTGATTTTGATTTGGCGCGAGTATTGCCAAAGTCAGATGACAAGGATGCAACCTTTCAGCTGACGGCCAAGGTTGGATCGCCCCGATACATGGCTCCCGAGGTGGTTGGTGGAGAATCCTACAACTTGAAGGCAGATGTCTACAGTTTTGGTTTATTAGCCTATCAAATATTGACTGGAAAGACACCGTTCAAGGGAATACAATTTGACTGGTCCAAAAGCAATAGCAAAATTCCAAAAACATGGACTTCGGATACAAGATTAGTAATGGAACAATGTCAATCGAAAAACCACAAGGAGCGACCAACCATGGTCATCTGTGTCCAGGAACTGGAATTGGCCAACAAATTTGCCGCCAGTAAGAACGATGAGACCACACAAGAATCGTCCTCGGATCCATTTGGATTGGGCAATATGTGTGGAGTCAATGTGTGTGGAGTTGGCATGGACGACTTTAATGAAATGCTAGGATTGGCGCCGACTACCGCTTCGGACGACGAATCTCCTCAATGATACTGTACTGTAGCTACTAGAAATATTCGAATGTATATATAGAATATATCATACATATATCATATATATCATAGAATGAGTGTGTAACGATGATGGATGGATTGATTGATTCATTCATTCATACATTGATTCTACTATAGGTACAGATAAAGTTACATTTTTGCCGAGAACAAAATAGAAATCTTCAAATCTGGCGGGAATTCCCAACGCTATATGTGAGGAACACCATATTGAATATCCCATATTCTCGAGAATTTACGGAGGATCGCCCATAATATGCTGGCCGTAACATTTGATGGGATTGATTCATTCAGGAGTCAGTCTCGTGGAAAATGTACTGTACAGGTTGCAAGTTCGTACCGTATCTTGTTCGACCTCAGATCTCATGCAGCGTCCTACGTGTATCGTGCAAAAATACAGCAGGAAATTATTCTGTTTCTTCATTCAACGTTTGGTGGAATTGACTTCTTCAAGCTGGGGCTCCCCAATCGCCAAGAGTGGCAACACTTCCAACACTACAGTATCAGCATCATCGAACACGGGGGGATCACGAAGATCTAGGTCCTGATTTACTGGTCTCGTGGATTGTTTCGTCCTGTGCACAAATAATCATCACGACGGAGCGGCGATTTCTTCCGAATATACATCAACGTATGACAGCTCCTAGCTCGTCCGCAACTCCGGCGTCTCCGGATTCCACAACAACCGTTCGAACGGCCAAGAAGGTTGCTTCGGGACTTCAATCAAAAGTAATTCAGATGGCAGAAGATCGATCGCGAACCACAAGACCAATAGCACCTCCAGTACCGATCAAAGTCATCCCGTACGAGTTTATTGGAACGGGCGCACTTCTAGGGACGGGAAGTTTCAGCTCAGGTTTTGCCATTAAGGAACTGTTTGAAGAACCATCGGAAGGCTTGGTCATGAAGAAACTACGACCAGAAGTCTTGAGAAGCCCAGTGGTATTTGCAGCCTGTGCAGCGGATCTAAAGATGGAAGGGAATATTTTGGCTACCATGAGTCATCCGAATGTCGTGCGGTTAGAAGCATGGAGTTGTGAAAATATGATTGAAGAATACTTGCGGGGAAGTTATGTTTCATCGTATCTGATACTGGAGCGGTTAGACGAAACTCTGGAAGATCGTATGAACAAGTGGACCAGGAAGAGCCCCGCCTTTTGGCACAAGTTTTCAAGGCGAAAAGTTCTAATGCACACGATGCGTCAACACGAAAAGTGCATCCACATATGGAGACTGGCCCAAGCACTCGAGCATATTCATTCGTATCGGGTGCTACACCGTGATCTGAAGCCAGCCAACATTGGATTCGATTCCAAGGGGACGCTGAAGCTGTTTGACTTTGATTTAGCTCGAGTATTGCCAGATTTGGACGAAGGGGATCCGGACAAAGCATACCAACTTACTGCACTCGTCGGTTCTCGTCGATACATGGCGGCCGAAGTGAACCATGGTCAACCGTACAATCTAAAGGCTGACATCTGGAGTTTTGGAGTCCTTGCCTATCAAATGCTAACGAACATAAAGCCAAACGGGGGAATCGACAGAGATTATTCCAAGACCAACAAAATGATTCCAAGCGATTGGAGCGAGGAACTAAGATCTGTCATTTCTAGGTGTTGTCGACAGAATCCATTGGAACGACCATCCAGTGAACGGATACAAAAACAGCTGGAACAACAGTATGGTAGTCAATTATTGGTAAAAAATCTATCTGATCAAGAGGAAGGGCCAACACAGTAATTCGGTTGCTGCTTGCACATGATCGTGAAGAATCAAAAAGGAGCAAGCCTAAGCAGGCGAAATTTGGCATTGAGTTTTCGAATGGCTGCCAGCCAGTTTTGGCTGGATATGAGGACTGATCAGCAGTGGAGGATCTAGATGTTGGAATGGTTTTCAGCCGGGCTTCTTTTCGTGGACTCACGATTTCAATAGTATAGAATTTATAGTATTTTTGTTACTACGAGTACAGAAATGCTCTCCCGTCCCGCCGTTACATTCGTTAGCACTCTTCACATCAATCTAATAAGGCACGCGATCGACATCGATCAAATTGATTAAAACGTGACTGTAAAGTCATGAGTAGCAAAGTCAAAATGTCGTTAAAGGGTGGTTGAGGGACTGCCAATCGCGGATGCGATTTTCCGCATTCAGAACAAAAGTTTGAAATTGAAAGCCAGCCATCACGGCCAATCCCAGAAAATAACGTCCGTCCAACGCTTGCAAAATGTCAATAAATCTGTACATACACAAACATACCGGCATTCATTCCCGCAATTTGGTGGGCATTGGCGATCTACCTCACGGACAAGCAGTGTGTTGGCCGTTTGGTTTTGTATCTTTTAATGTCCAAACTCACAATTTTGTATCTTTGACAACAAAATCATTCAATTATGTTGTCCAATTCGCCCCTCGATATTTTCAAGCAGTTCTACTCGACATGCCTTGTCATCTTCTCTGTGGTCATCGTCACCGCATTGATGTTCACTGAGAACACCAAGGTTGCCAACGATGCTCACCCCGTCGTCGCCCTTGTTGTCATGTGGCTCGGTATTCTTTGGATGAGTATGGTCGAAGGTGGACAATGCTCCATGGTCGGTCTTCCCCCCATCGACCGTGAGCTCTACAAGGAATCTCACAAGATCACCTACCAAATCTGCTCTCTTGGACACAAGGGAGACAACCTCGACCGTTACCTTATGGGACGTCAATTCATGGTCATCTTCATCAACTTTACCATTTCTCTTTGCGGATCTCCCCTTGAAGGAGCTTCCGTTCTTGGTCTTCCACAATGGGTGTCTGACATCTTTTTGGGATCTGGTATTGCCATGGTGTTGACGAACGTGAACATTGGACAATTGACTGCCCAAGTGAACGCTTCTCACTGCATGCTTGATTACATCAACACGCACTTCATGACCTTTACCTTGTACTGCACCTTGTTGATTGAGATGACCGGATTCATGCACGTGTGCTACTTGATCCGCGACTGCTTTTACTTTGCCGCCGGAAAGCCCATTGTGACCAACGAGCCACCACGCAGTGCTGCCAAGGCCTTCTTCCACTGGGGACGTGTTCTCTTTTCGACCGTCGTCCTTTGCTTTTCTTTGGCTGTCACCCTCGAAGCTCTTTTCAAGGGACAGACTACCATGTGGGACTTCATCCCCAACTGGGCCGCCGTGATCATCTTTTTTGTGTTGCTTTCCCTTGTTGGTCTTCTTGAGGCCATGCAAATTGCCTTCTTCGCCGTTTCCAAGTTCAAGAAGGAAGACCGTGGAGACCACCCAATGGCCCGCCGTACCTGCAACTTGTTGTTCAAGGGAGAGGGACGCAACCTTCCAGGCTTCATGGTCGGACGTCAAGTTACCGTGACGCTTATCTTCTTTGTCGCCGCCCGTGTCACCACTTTGAACATCAAGATCGGAGAGGACGAGAACATCTTTGGTGTGTCTGACGGCCTTCAAGAGTTTTTCAACTTGGGTTTCCTTGGAGCTATCATCACCACCATCCTTGCGTCCATCTCTTGGCAATTGGTTGCATCTGCCTTCCCCATCGCCTTCCTTTCCAACCCCTTCGTTTACATCATGTTGAACGTTGTGTTGGCAATTGAATCCACTGGTATCTGCGCTGCTTCTTGGTTCTTTGGAACCATCCACAAGAAGATTGCTGGATTCCAATTGGATGAGGTGTACGTCGGAACTGCCGAAGAGCGTGAAGCCGGAGGAAAGCCCGATGCTTCCATCCACGCTGGACGTATGGGAACCACTGTCAACCTCACCACCGCTGAGTTGGCTGCTGCCGTCGAAAACACTTCTCCAGGAGAGAAGACCTTCTCTGAACGTCGTGAGATCATCTTGGCCAAGATCGCTGCTGCCAAGGAAATGTCCAAGACTGCCTCTCCCGCTGAACAATCCAAGTACGAGTCTGTCATCAAGACTGGACTTTCGCAATTGAGCAAGCTCAACGCCGAGGAAGGTGTCTAGAATTTTGAACCATGCATCTGGAACAGTTGCCCAGGAGGGTAACTGATATATATGTGAACACTCCATCTGCGAACAGTTGCCCAGGGTAACTGATATATATGTGAACACTCCTGTAGAAAACGTGGAAATATATCAATACATTTACAATAAATGAATAGAACGAATTACTTCTACACGCCTATTATTTTATACATCCCATGATTGTATTGTCTATCCAAAATTGCAATGTATGGTAAGATTAGTCGGCATGCTCTTTTATCGTTCGCTAAAGATCCACGTTGGCTGTAAAAAGTACAAAAGAAGATATACTGCATGTAATCTCCACGCGAACTATGCTTAATACGAGGCTTTTTCAAATAACAAGATTTGAGCCTATTTTTTGTTTCATAGTTGATATTGAAATCGCACCAAGATCAATCGCAAAGACTAGCTATCTTTTTTTCAGCTAAGCCATTAGAACGTCCACTAGATGATTCCCAGCTCATTTCAGAAGTCCAACCCCAATGGAAACAAGTGTGGCAATTTCGACGACTCTCCTGTTAAAAAACTCCCTCCACATGACATTGAATCACAACCGCAAGAACCAATTTAACATATCTACCGGTATGCCTTTAACTTCGAGAAGACGGGGCTTAATTGTTCAAACTGGCTCGCATCATCAATGATTGACACACTCAAGCACCGCCCCTCGACATCATTCCCTATGCAAGATATTCTGAACAGGACAGCAAGAACGGACAAAGTTGTCGATTCATTCCAACGAAGGCTCGAGGAAACTACAAACTACCAAGAAAAGGAAAACTTGTCATTATGCCACTCATTGCTCAATAGGAAAATAATGATGTGCCAAAATTTCTACTGTGCCAAGGATGAAAGTGGGTCCAACAATATGACCCGCAGCTTGTCAATAAGTTTAAAAAGAAGCAATCTGGATATTTCAATGTTCCGAATTCTTACAACCTGGCGCAGTCAAGGTGGATCATGCGCCAACGGTACCAGCCAGTACAAACTGCGCTTACAAGGGAAACTTCCAGCATGGCAAACGCAAGAATCAAAGACTTGGAAAGCATAGGATTTGAGTGGGATGCACACTCTGCTATGAGGCTCTACAGCATTTTGAAGAGCTGAAACAGTTTTGTTCAAGTTATGGCCGCTGGGATGTCTCATCCACTTTATCCAGCAACCCACAGTTTGCCTGTTGGGTCAAGTACCAGCGCCGACAATACAGGCTAGTATTCTGTTACGGCAACACACTTTCGAGCTTGACGCAAAACGCATTGATAAGCTATCAAATATTTGTCGCAAGTTGAAAGTGGAGAATAAGGGTTATTGTTGAGAAATCGTCTCCATATTTTCCATTCTGATGACAGTGCACGCAGTTAGGGTTAGGGTCATCAAATTGGATGCCCGCACAGATCGCATGATGGGCTTCAGCGACTTTTCGTCATGACGTGATATGGTCCAAATGTCAATCGAATCCATAAAAGAAAACCAGTGCACAATGACCCACAAGTGTGACGATTACACACTGTTGATAAAAAGTGACCACAGCCCTTTACAAACGATGCCTCTGTGCTGTTGAACGCCAGCACAGACGAGGATTATTTCAGTCCTTGTCGTGGTTTGCTGAATTTGGTTGGCTTTTGATTCATACTGTACGTCTCAGGAATTTCGCCTACTTTGAACTTTCTTATAGCTTTTAAAAACAAGCAGTCACTGCGGCGGTCAAAAAAAAAGCGGATGCTCCCAGATCCATGACGGACCCGAATCAACGAATGTAGCGCATAATCGTGATTGTGGCCGGATTATATCTTCTTGCGCATCATCACACAATCATCGTAAGTGTTGCGCTGCCATAAGAAGTTCTAATTCATATAAGCAGATAAGGAAGACTAAAAGATATGGGGTGGTTCGATAACATAGTTCATGAGACAAATAAAGAAGAGGCCATAAGCCCAGGGTGAACAAAAGAGCCGATATTCCATCATCGACATTCTGCAATCTAACAATAAGATCCGGTTTCAGATTTTCGGATGACTTCTTAAATTTTAAAAAGGGGCGAATCATTCAATGACTATTTCTGGGGGATGATCATCGTTGTCCTCCCGCCTTCTACAGTTTTTTTTTTAAAAATTTACGGCCAACGAAAAAATATCTTAAGCCAGCCGTCACGGCCAATCCCAGAAAATAACCGCCGAGCAACGAAAGAATCCGTCGAACGGATCTTTACCTACGAATACATAGTAGCATTCATTCCCACTTTCACCTCGGCGATTTGCCCTCCGGGCTTTCTTGACCACGGCCACATTTTGATTGTCAGTGCAATTCCAACTCACAATTTTGTATCTTTGACAACAAAATCATTCAATTATGTTGTCCAATTCGCCCCTCGATATTTTCAAGCAGTTCTACTCGACATGCCTTGTCATCTTCTCTGTGGTCATCGTCACCGCATTGATGTTCACTGAGAACACCAAGGTTGCCAACGATGCTCACCCCGTCGTCGCCCTTGTTGTCATGTGGCTCGGTATTCTTTGGATGAGTATGGTCGAAGGTGGACAATGCTCCATGGTCGGTCTTCCCCCCATCGACCGTGAGCTCTACAAGGAATCTCACAAGATCACCTACCAAATCTGCTCTCTTGGACACAAGGGAGACAACCTCGACCGTTACCTTATGGGACGTCAATTCATGGTCATCTTCATCAACTTTACCATTTCTCTTTGCGGATCTCCCCTTGAAGGAGCTTCCGTTCTTGGTCTTCCACAATGGGTGTCTGACATCTTTTTGGGATCTGGTATTGCCATGGTGTTGACGAACGTGAACATTGGACAATTGACTGCCCAAGTGAACGCTTCTCACTGCATGCTTGATTACATCAACACGCACTTCATGACCTTTACCTTGTACTGCACCTTGTTGATTGAGATGACCGGATTCATGCACGTGTGCTACTTGATCCGCGACTGCTTTTACTTTGCCGCCGGAAAGCCCATTGTGACCAACGAGCCACCACGCAGTGCTGCCAAGGCCTTCTTCCACTGGGGACGTGTTCTCTTTTCGACCGTCGTCCTTTGCTTTTCTTTGGCTGTCACCCTCGAAGCTCTTTTCAAGGGACAGACTACCATGTGGGACTTCATCCCCAACTGGGCCGCCGTGATCATCTTTTTTGTGTTGCTTTCCCTTGTTGGTCTTCTTGAGGCCATGCAAATTGCCTTCTTCGCCGTTTCCAAGTTCAAGAAGGAAGACCGTGGAGACCACCCAATGGCCCGCCGTACCTGCAACTTGTTGTTCAAGGGAGAGGGACGCAACCTTCCAGGCTTCATGGTCGGACGTCAAGTTACCGTGACGCTTATCTTCTTTGTCGCCGCCCGTGTCACCACTTTGAACATCAAGATCGGAGAGGACGAGAACATCTTTGGTGTGTCTGACGGCCTTCAAGAGTTTTTCAACTTGGGTTTCCTTGGAGCTATCATCACCACCATCCTTGCGTCCATCTCTTGGCAATTGGTTGCATCTGCCTTCCCCATCGCCTTCCTTTCCAACCCCTTCGTTTACATCATGTTGAACGTTGTGTTGGCGATTGAATCCACTGGTATCTGCGCTGCTTCTTGGTTCTTTGGAACCATCCACAAGAAGATTGCTGGATTCCAATTGGATGAGGTGTACGTCGGAACTGCCGAAGAGCGTGAAGCCGGAGGAAAGCCCGATGCTTCCATCCACGCTGGACGTATGGGAACCACTGTCAACCTCACCACCGCTGAGTTGGCTGCTGCCGTCGAAAACACTTCTCCAGGAGAGAAGACCTTCTCTGAACGTCGTGAGATCATCTTGGCCAAGATCGCTGCTGCCAAGGAAATGTCTAAGACTGCCTCTCCCGCTGAACAATCCAAGTACGAGTCTGTCATCAAGACTGGTCTTTCGCAATTGAGCAAGCTCAACGCCGAGGAAGGTGTCTAAAGCCCAATATCAGCTGATGAATGTTGACGCTGTACGAATAGGATCAATTGTCTTAATTTAGAATACAATATACTGCCACTTTCCACTCTGCTTTTTCGCCTCTCAGCCTTGGGAATCTCATTCAACTATTCATGCGCTTCACTATAGATGACGACGCATTTGGCTACCTTAAGAGAGTGATAGTTACTCCCGCTGGGATTCACCTTCCTCCTTAATTCACATCACAAAAGGGACCGAAAGAGCTCAATTTTTTACAATTGTCATGAAGTCTATCTTTCTAATAATTAGTATGAATTTGACATACTATGTTCCTTCATCATTTTTTCTCCGTCTCCTTATTTGGCGATAATTCACTAGCGTTCTTTGCATTTGCATTTGCATATCGCTTGCGCTTGCGTTCCCGCCCTTCCGGAGTATGGTCGTTGCGAAACAAGTGACTGACTTTCATTCGAGCTTCATTGTAGCTGACCTCTCGCCACGGAACGTCCTTGCCACTACGTTTTAGGAAGCGCCCACCTTGTGCTTGTACCCATTCGACCAACTCCCGGGTTAGATTGTTCTTTTGTTTCTTGCCATCTTCTTCCGATCCGAAGGATTTGTAGGTGGGTTGAAACATTTTGACTCGGTCGAGCAACGTCTTGTTCCCCGGATGATGATTGGCATGTCCACCACGACCCAAGAGAACGTCCTTATCGGAAAAGGTTCCCACTACATTGCTTTTGGGAGTCCCATTGGGTCCGGCGGGAGCTGATGGTACGCTTGCAACTATTGGATTTTCAGCCGCAAAATGCATGGCGGCTTGCGGTTCTGAAAGATAGGGTTGGATACTAGGACTCTGCATTACGTCGAACGGATGCGGTGCTGAGTGCATACCAAATGGCAAGTACTGAAATGGCATATGAAATTGCGAAAGAGCACCTTCTGGTAGGGTGACATTTGTAATTGGATTTGCCACTTCCATGGGATTGTTCGGAGGAGGTGCTGTGGTCATTTCCCCAAGGGTGATGGCACTGATATTTTGTTCATTCTCGGAAGTAACTACGCGAAGAACGAGAATAAATGTTAGTTCAAAGTGTTTGTGGATCAGGGTTTTCAACAAAGGCGGAACTTACCTTCAGCATTGGATGAAGCCTCTTTCATTTTATCGGTTGCTTGCTCCTCAGCTGAAAAATTGACACCCATTTCAGATTCATTTGCTGCCAAGGTGGCGAGTCCGGCAAGGTTTGATGACACTGATGCTACCGGACTGGAAACTGTAAGATTTGGCGGTAATTTGGATAATGCTACTGGAGTGTCCACTGCCGCAGGCTTTTGGTCCTCCATTGGGTCCACTTCGGATGATGATTCGTTATCGTTGTCTTGTGCGAGATTGCTGCTGGAAGAATCATTTATGGCTGTTGTATCATCAGGGGACTTTTTGGACCACATGTCCCCACTATATTTCTTGCGTTTCCGGAGCCGAGCTGCCGGAGTATGATCGTTTCGAAAGAGCTGGCTGACTTTCAATCGAGCATCCTTCTCGGTGGTTTCCTCCCACGGTCCATCCTTTTTGTCTCGTCTAAGGAATCTTCCTCCTTGATTATGTACCCATTCCACAACCTTGAGTGTTAGTTTCTTCTTTTCTTTTTTGCCAGTTTCCGTGTTCCCAAAGGCTTTGTACTCGTCTTGCATGGACTTGATGTATTCCAATAGATTTTGGTTCCCGGAGTTGTTGTTGGCGTGCCCCCCACGTCCAAACAAAACATCCTTTTCACTAATATGAGAGGAACCCGTGTCTTCTGCCGCTGCCGCTGCTGGAGTGGGAGTCACAACAACAGATGCTGTTTCAAGATTTGCGGGTTTGGTCGGTCGTGTGTCACTGAAAGATGAAGAAGTAGCTTGAAAGACATCGAGGATGAGGGGTTGACCTTCCGTATCCTCCACACTCTCTTGATTGGATCCCGAGATGCTGGTTGCATCCGAAAATGCGACTGTTCCAGATGTAATGGAAGGAGGCAGCTTGTGTTTGGAGTATTTCTTTCTCTTTCTTGCCCGTCCTTCTGTCGAATGATCATCTCGGAACATGTGCATCACCTTATTGTAGGCTTGCCGTTGATCAACTTCTCTCCAACATTCCTTGATTGGATCCATCTTGAGAAACCTTCCCCCTCTTTCTTTGATCCAGTCAAAAACCAATCGTGTCGAGTCATTCTTTTCTTGTCGATTCATATCCGAGTATCTCTTGTAAATCGTTTGTAGATCCTTGATTCTTCCCAACAAGTCTTTGTTCCCAGGATGGTTGTTTGCTAGTCCACCTCGCCCCAAGACGACATCGACTAGTTTCAAGATAGTTCCATCTTCGACTGGTGTCTTATATGCCTTCTTGTTGGATTTTACTGGTAGAGCAACACTATTCTTGGAAGAAGAGGTGGAGGAGGAAGAAGAAATATAAGAATAAGCTGTGCCTTCCGTGTCAGGGGGACCAGCTTCTGGATCATACTCAGCTGAAGCATCCGCAGGAGGAGGCTTGGCTGCATCATAATGAGAGGACTCTACCGTAGCTTCTGGTATTGTTGCTGTGGAGGATTTAATCGTGCCACTGTATAATGTCAGAGTTCTTGTCTGAATCATGCCAGAGGATTTAGCGGAAGATGATTTCAATGGATTAGCATCTTCTTTTCCTACTGCTGGGTGACTGGATTGAATGACACTCTGGAGAAGGTGTAATGGTGAGTGGTTAGTGTTCGTAGCGTCGTTGGCACACGCGTTTGCTGTATTATCCTTGGTAGCCATCGTACACGATGGTGATGATGCATATCACAGGTGAATGTCTATTTTCGGATGGGAGAGACCGAGTCTCCAAGTGCGAGACTCGCGTGTGTGTGCGTTTCGCCGCAGAAATCAGTACCAGGTGGGATTTGGGGCGGACGATGGACAGGCTTAAAATTACAGTCTGGTTGACGGTCAACGGTTGACGTACGGTGCCGTTAATGACTTCAAAGAAAGATCTTCTACTTTATGTCCAATAGGCGACAGACGAAGGAATGAATGAATCATCCATCAATCAATAATTCTATAAGGCATTTGAATGGCACTGGCGTAGTGAAAATATGTATTTTTTTTTCATCTTTTTATACTCTAGTCTTGTTCATCATTTCCATTGAAATCGGACGGACGAAGCTCGGACGCCCAAGGATTTCTGATGATGATTCTCATCATTCTCTACTTCTACCAGGTACCGATAAGACTTGAGACACACTTCTAGTGTATCTATATGGTAGGTCCTAGGCCTATCTAGTTCAGATTATTTTATTGTTTTTACTATTATTATTGTAAGAGCCAGTGATACAAAAATGGGCACACAGAGACATAAAGCTCGGTGACCTCATTTGGATGGGGGATGATGAAGGATAGATGATGGCTCCACTTGATAGCAATCATCAGTTTTCCTTCTCTATATATGGATTCTTTGTGTATTTCTTTCTTGTCGGCCGTTGCTGTTGTTGCTGTTTCGGTGGACTGGTATGATAGAGTATACCGTACATAGTAAGACTGCCAAGAGGGCAGTCTTCTAGAAGCTACTCACTTTGCTTGGTCTTCTTCTTTTTGGAACTGTAAGAAGTTCGTGACTTTTTCAAGGCCCGTCCTTCTGGAGTATGATCTTCGCGCAAGGCTTGAGACACCTTTTGTCGGGCCGTGGCATCCGTCACAATATACCATGGCGATCCCTTGTTTTCTCTCTTGAGAAAGCGTCCCTGAATTTCTTGGGTTACCCATTCGACGACTTGATGGCTCATGGCAGTCTTGGAGTCTCGATCCAACGTCTTGTAAATGGGCTGAAGATTCAATATTCGCTTGCGATAGGCCTTGTTGCCAATGTGATGGTTGGAGCCACCACCTCGGCCGAGCAAGACATCCAATTCGGTAGGAGCGACGTATCGGCGGACGGCTGGTTCCTTGCGACGAATCCGCTTAGCAGTAGCAGTAGTAGTTCTGACAGCAGCAGGAGACGGTGGCTTGACCTTTGAGATGGTAGTCTTTTTGGCGGCAATACGTTTGCTCTTGGGCTTGGTTACTGATACAACAGCAGTTGTTGGTCTAATAGTAGTGGATGATTCTTCCTTGGTTTGTCTGATACTAGTCCGAGTTGTTGCCGTTGGTGGAGCTACTTGGCGGAAGGCGTGGTGTGCTTGAGCCTGAGGTTGTGTTTGAGTCTTCGTGTAGCGGTTCGTGAAATGGGAAGCCATAGATGTCTTGTTGGAAGAAGAGGAATCAATATGGGCAACAAGCAGCATTTCATCTTGGGTTTGAGTATTATTCCTATACTGAGCGGTAAGTTCCTCAAAATGGGCAGCAATCGCTTTAGGCGTATTGGAAGAAGACAAAGCCGGTGGTAGAGGGGGCAGAGCGGGCGGAGCACAAATGGTAGCTTGTGCAGTTTCAGATTGTTGTTGTTGTTGTTGTTGTGCCTGCTCAAACTGAACCGAAACATCATCGAGAATACCACCAATACTGTCAATAGAGTTCATGGCCATTCCCTTAAGAAATTCGTTCATGGAATCAAGAGAACCCAAAGAATTGAGAGAATAATTTAGTGAGGGAGGAGGAATGGAAAACAAGGATCCAGTGGAAGGAGGTCGAAACGAAGGATTCGACGAGGATGATGTTGATCTCTTTTGATTTCGTTTGCGAAGAAACCACAGAGATGCAGGAGGCGCGGAACCGCTAGATGTGGAGCGCAATGTAGGCTGAGGAGGCACGGACCGGTGGTGGGAAGTGGGTTGCTGCTGCGGCCCCTGTTGATGACGATGATCATTGTTGCTGTTGGAAGGATCCAGGCTTGTGTCGTAATGTTGGGTCAGACAATCCAAAAAGGAAGATTCAAAGGCGAAAACCGGGCGGTCGACCATCATTTTGCTTTTCTGTTGTTGCTGATGATGCTGATAATAGTGTTAGAGAGTTGCACGCAAGATCTTTTTGTGAGCTCTGAAGCATGTGCAGGTTTGCAGACTGCGCTGAGATGTTCGAGATATTTTTTCGGAATTTGTTTGATGTCACATCCGTCCACGACCCAGAGTTGTACGCGTTTTCAGTACCAGAGGCGTGTGGGCATAAAAGTAAATTTCAGGCGTGCCGCTTTGCCGAAACAGAGTGGAGAAGCGAGTGCGTGGTAGATGGTAAGGATGGGGGTATCTTTGTGGGTTGTAACAGTAACAATGAATCCAAACGAATATATAAGCCTCTAATAACGACAATGTAAAAAGCATTATTCGGAGAAGCCGTGTACAGTTGCGTACCTTCAGTACCGATACCTTGATTATTGATGCATTGATTGATTGATTCCCACATGTATGCTGATTTGCTGGTCTGCCCAAACGTGTGCACGTTTCAAATCTGACTTCAGATTACGTTGGTGCAAGGGTCATTGTGCATTCCAGCCATTGGTTGATTGATTGGATGTACTTGGGATACCCTTCACCTCACCAAGTCTCAACAAACTCCAGCTAGTTCATCATGATATTATGAAAGGAGATAGGTAATTCAATCTTGAACTCTACATCGCCTAGTATGTGTATAGCTGAGCAACAGAGAAAGTTTCCATGGACTCACTGCCGAAAAAACGTATCAGGTACTGCCAACGGAAGTATTATCAACGCGGTATGCATGATACTGTGCATCTATTCAAGTAGTAAAATACCTTTCTTCCTGTTCAGACATAAGAGAACCAGCCGACGTCTCTCCACACCCTTGTATGTCCCTTGTATAAAAGAGTCATTCGTCTTTTCTCTCGAAACTTGTCGATCAATTGTTTGATCATCATTCAAGGTTGTTGCAATCATGCCACATCGGCAGCAGTCGTGGTGGACGACCCGATAAGTCCATCACGATGCAGCAAGGATGCCTGGAGGCCATGTTGTTTGCACCTCATCGTATTTTGGTTGCATAGCCATGATATTTTAAAGAAAACACATGCAACTGCTCGCAATCGGAATCTCCTTATTGAAGACAATGAGTGAGGAATGACGACGATCCCATCCTCGGAGCTGTGATGTTTTCAGTCTCAAATCTTGGTTTTCATGTTTTTTTTGGGAGTGGATTGCATGCTGATGCAAATAGAGTCGAAGCTATCATATGCAAAGCCATGATGATCCCATTTCTTCGCAATTGTAATCTACTTGTTGGACGACATCATAATATAAAATGAGGGATGATGCTGCGTCGGAGATGTGATGTTTGCAGCCATCAATCTTGGGTTTCGCATGATTTTCCGCGAGTGAGTGAGTCGCGAGTGTCAGCCTCGAAAAATATACACCAATCAAAATTACGGGTGACGAATGAGAGTTGCGGGACTCCACACGATTCGACAACGCCTCGGAAATTGTTCGTTGGACTTGAGCGCGAATCCCGCCACAAATACCATGTGCGTCTCGCTGAAACCAGAATCCAGAATCGCTTCACAATACAATTACAGGATCATCAGGATACGATCCATCTAAAGACCCAACGCCAGGACAAAAGCAACAGCCTTTTGCTTTCTATTCATCAGCTTCATCATCAACCATTTGAATCTACAATGTTTCGATTAGTTTGGTAAGTCTTCAATCGCTCTGAGCTTTTAGTAACGCATGGTGGACTTCGATTTTGGGGGTTTGAATGAAAGAATAAATGTTGAATCATCAATCATCAATCATCAATCAGTCAAGCAGAATTTCTAACAATGGTCAACAGCATTATCGCCTTTATTCTAGGAGTGCTTGGACGCTATTTGGATGATCACTACGAGGCAAAGATTGATTTCAAAAGCAGTAGCAAACACCAATGCTGACGTGATATGGTTCACAGCCAACGCTAGGCATATCATACGTCAGTTGAATGATTTTGCGTGTTTCATTCACGGATGTACGCAAGGCAAAACCTGCCGTGAAAGTGAGGAAGATCTAACGGCCAACGTCAAAAACACCATTATATTTTATTTTGGGCCAACGATATGTCACTTGACTATGCTTGATATCACGATACACACACCACACATACTCACACGAACGAGACGAACTTGGCAACGCGGCCTGATTTTGTTTCATACTCTATAAAGATCAACACCACGATCTTATTGCCACGACCTATATATTATGTAAAACCGCGTCGAGCATTTTCAAACAAAAGGATACCACTATATCATTGTATACCTCATTCAAATGTATTAGTCACCTCATACAAACCACATTGCATCAAGAGCTTTCCTACTCTAGGCGTGTACTTCAGTCAATCTCTACATTTTTTTCAGTTCTTCCCAATTTTTTCGTCACCATGCAATTGCGAAACCTTGATGTGATTTTCTGCTCTCTTATTCAAGAAGCATCAGTTCCTTGATTGATATGGTGATATGACGGAGACCTGCCCCACACATAAAGAAGCATTTCCTTGGGGGACGCACTGTACTGTATACATATAAGGTCCAGCGCCTGATAATCTCTCACGAAAGCCATCAAGCACCACGCCGCAGGTTGAAAGCTATTATCATGTGAAAGTAGTGCATTCATCGATATCGGCCAATCGGTCCTCTTTTTGTATATAACGCCATCGCCAATGCCTTATTGCGTGAGATCAAACAGACAACTGAATAAATCAGTCGACCGAGCTGAATGTACTGGTGGTGTGATCCGTCGTATTGCATCGAAAGTTGTCCTCACTAAAGAGAGTGTTCAAACTATGTAAGCTATCCAGATACGCTGGTCTTGGACCACCTGGATTGTATTGGATATCATCGTCGTCATCATCCTCATCATTCCCGAGTGGTAGAGAGCCAACTCCATTGAGCTGTTGCATTTTGAGCGTGAGACCCATCATATCCCCTGGACTCCTCTCAATATGACAGTTGCTTTCATCTCTGTTGATTGGTCGCTTAGGGTTCTTACTGATTGGTTTGGGACTGCCATGATAATGATCGGCAGGTGGAGCTGGAGCTGGAGCAGGTTCATCATTGTAAGACACAGCAAAACTTTCAGAAGTGGAAAAGCTACCTGCCTCAAAGTCGCTGGAATCGTGGGATACCACTTCATGCTCGTCGTCTGTATCTTGAATTGGAATGAGGTGATTGGTCAATCCCAACATTCCCATATACGACGTTCGACTGCAAACAGACTTCGGATGTTCTGAGTCATCCATCCATCGATTGGCATTGGCGGGAAGGTGAAGTCGACCTTTTCCCTTTCCTGAGCTCTCGTTGCTGTTGCTTTGTACAACATCCGGTGGTTCTAGTGGAGATGACTCATCGGTTAGCGTTTGATCAAAACGTATCATGGTAGGGTCCAAGGTGACGTTTGACTTTACAGAATCAGGGCTTCCGATGGCAAGGATGAAAGAAAAGTCTGAGTTGTGCCCACCAACAGTCGAAAAGCTTCCAGGAACTCCATTGTGACTGTGCTGTCCTCCTCCGTCCAATGCCAAGGCATCATCCAAAGACAAGGTCGGTTCAATTGAAGCCTCGCAACTGTACTGTTGTCCTTGTTCACCTCTTGTTGACATCTCCTGGTTGAGTTAATCGGAATCAATAATTTGTACTGCAGCGTTTAGTAGCTTCTTGCCTGTTCATGCACTGAGTACAAGTAACACATGGGCATAAAGCACTGTTATACGAGATGTGCAATTAGTGCAAATCTCCGCACTGCCGGTTCATTTGCGGTTCACCTGCTGGAGATGAGAGTCACGTCATCAATAAATCTACACCTTCCATGAACAGGCTGGCTTTCGATCGAATGAATCCAGTGTCGAACACCTGCATGCTCGAATATTATGCCTACATAGAGAAAAACAGGTTGAGCTGGCTCGAGTGAGTTTGAATATTAGGGTGAAATTGGACAAAATACCCTACACGCTCGCATATTATGTCTACTGTACTTAGAACGAGCTGTTGCTAAGAATCAATCAATCATGTTGTCACAGATGTTTTTTCGATGAGAATGTTGTTTGGATGACCACACACACCCGCTGGCTTCTTGCAACAACTCAGTGCTATTTAATCTTTGCACTAGAACTGAAACACTAGTTAGACTTTGAAACATTGATTGATGTGCTGGAGATAGTTGATAAGCATTCGATTACAGCATACACTCATTTCTGGAAGCAAGAACAATAGAAAATATCATCATGAAGCGGATACAAGCAATATTCAGCATGGGCATACTCTACACTGCTCTTTTGGCTATGTGTCAGCAGCAAGTCGAGGCTTCCTTCATTGGTGCCAACGGTGGTCCTGAATCGGAAGTACTAATGGCAAGTGCTGATTCCACCAATGTCAAACAATACCATGCTACCAAAGAAGACGTGAAGAGTTACACACGATCTTTGGATTCTCGCAAAAGCACAACAGTCGAATGCGGTGCCATTGTTGGAACCCTCAGGATACAAGAAATGAAATCCAAGCTTCTATCTTCATCCCATATACCATCCTCAGCGGCTGGATTTTCCATTTATTTGGTGAACCATGATGTCCAAGCTAGAAAGATTTGCGCTTCGTGCCGAGATGCTGCTGATGCCGCCGCCACTGGGAATGTTGTATGGCAAGAATACTGCGGAGAGTCTGCATATGGTAACAATGCAACGGTATCTGGACTCATGTTAGTTCCAATCGATGAAAACGGAGACCTAATAGAAGGACCTTTGGCAGGACACATTTCTGCCCACCAATCGTTGACTGAAACTTTCTCACAGATTCCAAGTGAAACTTTTGATCAATTTGATAAACATTGGTTGTCCATCGTGGCGGCGTCTTCGGGAAAGATTGCCATTGAACCTGATTATTTGGGCTACGGGGAATCGTCCAATTTTTTCAAGAGTTTTCTGGTACGACCAGCCTATGCAACTGCTACCATACCGCTCTGGCAGTCAGCTGTGAAGATGATAGCGGAAGAATCCAGCTGCTATTCCTACTTGAAACCCGTCGTCTATGTTGCTGGATATGGCGAAGGTGCTTTTGCTGCTCTTAGCATTGCCGATGCCCTAACGTCGACTTTCAATGTACAAATTGTCAAGGCCAGTCTCGGCGGAGGGCCTTACCGACTGGGATCTCTTGCGCTCCCTCGATTGGTGGACAGTATCAACGAGAAGAAAATGACCGCTGACCATTACTACGTCCTGGCCCTCTTTGCAAGTGCATTTTCGTCGACGAATTCCTGGTTAGCAAATGTGGGATACAATCAAGATCTATTGGATGCATCTTATCGCGACCGGATCGTTGGTTTGGTCCAAGAAGGAGGTTCTGCAGATTCATTTCTGGAATCCTTGCCACCCAAAGTTACTGACATTATTGATCCTAGATATTTTAGCTGGATGAAGAGCATGGCAGTTCAAGGCGAATACATGGGATGCTTGGCGGGACCGCCTATTCAACCTGACTTTAATGGTCACTTTTGCTTGGCACTGTTGGAGAATGATTTGACCAGTGTACTACATGACGCCGAATACGATATCGACCTATGTCACAGTCCCGATGATGAAGTATTTCATATAGATAACCTACCCCCTCAATTGAATGCCGACATTACTACTCGGAACCCGAGATTGACTCGACAATTGGCATCTGGATCTCATGATTCTGCCTACCGATTCTGTTCACAACTCGCCATTACGGAAGGCTTGTTTACGAACCCTCGATTAAGTCCCATTGTTGAGTGTGGAGCCAAAGCGACCCCTCAGCCAACATTGGGCCCAGCGACTACAGTTCCTACAGGCACTCCCATTGTCGCAACTTTGACTCCAACTCCAAAGCCGACTACCAGGGTCGTTGGAATAACAGAGCAAACTTCTTCTGCTAGAAGACTTGGCATTGGTTGTGTCTGGATGCTGCTGGTATTATCAATGGGACTGACTCTTTGATTGCATAATGTATATAATCCAGATGAAAGTAAATATTGTAAAAGTATGCTATTAATATATTCTACAATGTATTGTGGCATTTTAATCTAATATAATCATTCCATTGGGGACTCAATAGCGAAACCTTACGTAGTTCCAGGCAGCTCGGAATGTGAGGATTTGGAGACTGGCAATAGCAACCGTCAAAACAAAACAAAATCCAAAAGAAACTGCACTAGCGAACTCAGAGCACAAGGCTTCATGAAAGAGGTCATGGTATAGTTCACTAACATGAGGACAGTCCAATGCCTGATGCGTTTCTAGGACGACACCGTAGGCCTTTCGCAAGTAGTAGGAGAGTTGTGACACAGAAGAAAAGAAGCCGTCCAGCTTGTTGCCGGGACCGCACGCTCCTTCGAGGTCGGCATAACCACCAGTCAGTACATCTTGTAACTGATTATCAATCACATCAATTGCTCCCTTCAAACTTCCTTCGACGGCGTACAACATGTGCAATGGATCACTGTTCTGGCAACTCTGAGATCGAATTGGAAAAAGTAAGGATTCGATTCAAACGATGATTGGAAGATTCGTAGTCGCACTGCGAAGACTTACCGTCACGTAAGCAGAAGCCGCGTCCAGTAACATCGGATTCATCACAGAGTCATCCATGTTCCGAAGAACGAAGAGAACGCTCTCGTCTGGTGTTGGCAGACACACATCCGTGACAACAATGGCCCCGATGGACAAGGATATAGCTGCTACCCAGACCATGAGAGTAATAATGGCAAACAAAGGAACGATGCACCAAGACATCATATTTTCCCACTGTCCCTGTTGCTCTGCATAGTGCCACTTGTCCAATTGCTCTTGAAGGATCGCCCAGAACATGGAAAATAAGAACACCAATGTCAGTGTCGTCACGCAAAGCATCAAAAGGGAAAGGACCCAAATCCAATCTTGTCCTGCTTGGATTCCATCTATAGCCACTTGTAATTGCGTCTCGACTTTTCCTGCAGCGTCCAAAGTGCCACTAAATTGAAAGAAGGTCGCAAAATCCTCATTTCCACGATCCAGAAACATAGTAAACTCAAACGGATCCACGCCAAGTTTGTGAGCCAGGTAGAAGTGAGGTAAACCCGGGCACAGACCAATCAACTCCGACCTCATTTTGGCTTCAATTTGTGTTGTGAAAATAGAAGTCTCCTGGATTACTTTCATGGCTCGTTGGGTAGTGGTGACGATGAGTTGGGTCTCTTCAATCAGATGATCGGTACTTTCCAAAACGCTGACGGCAGGGAACGAAGTCAAGCCAAAAACCAGAACACTCGAGCACACCGATGCCATACAAGCAATCGCAAACAGGGTTCGAAAAATGAGATGCCAATAGTTGCCAATGAACTTGATGAAAGACTGACAATAGGAAGTTGAAGGATGGGCATCTTCGACTTGTGAATCTGGACTCGAATCGCAGGATAGTCCACTGGAATCATCCGTCTCTTTGTTTCCATCAGAGGACTCATCAGTGGATTCGATTGTAGAATCCGATGTATGCGAAGTTTGTTGAGGGAAGTACAACTTTTCGGAAACGCAATTGGCACCTCGAAAGATCAACAAAAGACAACTCCAAGAAAGCCAGATCGAAAATAAAATGGTAGCAACCCCAAGAACTTCCTTGATAAATTGTGCTTGTGCCTCCTGATTATCAGTCAGCATCACCAAAGTAGATTGTGACAACGAGCTAAAGAGATATCTGACCGCTCGAACCACTGGCGGCTTTTCGAAGAAGGAAGCAAATAATCGATGAGAACGAGAAAAAGAGTGTGTTGGTCAGGATTAACTTTCAATTGTCTTACCGGATCATACGATTGAATAGTATCAGCCTGCATAACGGTGATATGAGAGTTATAGGATAGAGATTGCAATGACTATTTGATTGCAGTGTTTGTTGAAATGGTTTGCAAAAAGCAAATCATCAGTCTGTTTTATTGAGTTTCGTGTTTTTTCCCGCCAGGACATGTCACATCGGACAAGTATTGCAACGAATATTCGACTGCTCCGACTTCAAATTGCTACAAAATTGCAAAACCGATTGAATGATTGCTGGCCATCAGAAGATCGATTGCGAGGCGTCTGATTGACGAAAGACCCTTTTCAAAATGCGATAAAAGGGTATCGAAATATGTTTTGGTAAATAGAAAGAAGTGAAAGCTCGCGTCATCATTCAGCGCGTGATGAACCAATAGCGCGGATGTGAAAAATATCACTTGGGCAACCATTATATTGTCTTGATGAAGAGCATCAAGAAACAGCTTAAACAATGCATCAGTTTTGATCTTTTTCATCTAGGGGATCCAATTTGAGGAAACACCATACTGGCATGGTGCCACCACTCCTGACAATTGCACACAAAGCAATTTTTTTCTCATCGCATTACTGCTGTGCGTCCGTCCATCTGTACCACTACTGTAGTTGCTATTCCTGAAGCCAAATGTAACCTTCTGTGGGACCCGTTGGTCCTGAAGTGACAAGCCTCCTTCACGCGAAGTTCCCTTCATTTTGACAAGTTAGAATACTGTCAACGATGCTATAGATCCGAGACCGATATAGCCAGATAGTAAAATAAAACAGAGATTCTATATCCTTTTTTAAAAAATGATGTGATGTGATTTTACGATCTCCGAGAGATGGACACGAATCCAGACAGTAAGGTCCGTCTCACGTGACACTGACGTGGTGACATGAGATTGGACAATGAGGCAGTGGGAATCCCCGGATTTCTCCCCTAGTTGCGAGATTTTCCCACAGCTCAATTTTCCCATCAGCTCAATTTTCCCCACAACTCAATTTTGCTTCCCACAACTACTGTAGTTGTGGGAATTCCCTCAACAGTTGTGGGAAAACTGTCATTTCTACAAAAAACCACGTAGGATATGTACTGAGACAAATTTGAAGTTTCCCACAACTCTAATTGTAGTTGTGGGAAGTTTCCCACAACTCTAATTGTTTTATTGGGAATTATGGGAAAACTGTCCGTTCTACGGAAAACTGTCTGTTCTACGCACAAAACAACGTTTGATATGTACTGACTAGAAATTAGACAACTACATATGATGTTTCCCAAACATTTAAGGCAAAAAAACGGACAGCTGCGCAACGGAAATTCCCACAACTAGTTGTGGGAATTTCCCACAACTACAGTAGTTGTAGGAATTTCCCACAACTATTTTTTACAAGATTCCTACAACTATGGGAATTTTTGGCAAAAAAATGTTCCCACAACTAGGAAATCGCGTCAAATATCGCGGGGACGAAATAAAATGAAAAGGGGGAATTCCCACTGCCTCAATACTGTACGTGTACCGAATGTATACTCGTACCGGTATATGTTGAAGCAAGAGCACGCGCGAATGGAACACGGAATCTCAAGCGAAGATCAACGTCCTATGAAGCCAAAACGGCACCTAACACTATACATTTGCTCACAATAAACTCGATTGCCGCCTTTTGCGAGGATTGTCTGTAAAGGGACTTGAGGGACAGTCGAGGACACTAGACAATAGAGTTGTAATAGAGATAGGATTGCTATTCTTATTGATGATAGTTCATGAAAGTGAGGATTGCTCTGAACTTGAGCAGAGGATCCAGCAGTAGATACACGTAGAGAGTAGTATAGAATTCGGGAGAAGAACTGAGGTGTCAAATGATCGTGAGAGTTACCCAATCAGAGTAAGCCACCGATCCGATCTATTGGACTCGCGGTGCGATTCGTTTGACCTCAACATCTTTCATCTGAAACAAGATACCTACTCTTGTTCACTATCAATATGATCCCACAATCCTCATCTTCACAACACACAGGTTAGGCCGCGGCACATTCCAATGAACATGACACGACGAGGACCACCCATAAACCGCCCCATGTTCTCCCCTCATCGTGCAAAAGGTCTTGACGCCATTCTGCGATGGGGTCCATGGTCCATCCGTCGAGAGACTCAGCTCAAAGGCAATTCTTGATGCAGCGATTCGCGTGGCAAAAACTTGCTCCGAGAAAGTACTACAAGGCGACGAGCCACCATGCACGGCCCGGCCTCCTCTTGACAATAGTTGACCATATATCTGCTAATACTATATATAGACTCTACATTGTTGACTACCACTTTAGATGAATGCCTTGACTCTTGCCAGACATGATAGCACTAACTCTGTATGGCCAACCCGACTATACATGGAGTAGACGTATCAATCCTGGTGGTTGGGTTTTCACTGGAACCGTTGTACAATGGTTGGATTTTCATTGGAACCGTTGTGCGATGAGAGCATATGCATGTGCACCACACCCTGCAGCTCCAATGTAATACATCTCCTTCAGCTTTTATGCTATGCATTGATGTATTTATAGTGGCCATAACCGGGGTACCTGGTACCGGTACTGTTCCTCAAGGAAAATATGAACCCGCTCGTCACCAAGAGCTACATAGGCCCAGCACCATAGCACGACTTATTCGAAATTGAAAATGTGATTGTTCATTCCTCACCAGTCAAGCGCTCCAGCTCCTTTTTGTGTACTATCCATCGCCTTTAATTCGACATGATCTTTATAACATCATGAAGCATGACCTAGTACCAGTACGTGATGATGACAAAAATTATGTAAATAGATACTAACGTGCATCATGTCGTATTCATGGCACCTGCATGTGTCTATCGTTTTCTTGAAACCACTACAGACTACGGACATGCGATAGCAACATACATGAACTGTCCCTGGGAAACAATAGACTTCAGCGTTCGGAATACTGTCTACTACTACTGTACTGGTATATAGTAACATAGGTATAAATACCTGGTACTACTCTTTTTTAAACCATGAAGACACATACCATCTTGGCAATAAAATACCTCAATCGCGTCACCTAATCAGAGATCTTATTCAGTTCTTTCTAAAATGTAACAGCTGCGCTACTGAGTCTTTTGACGAAGTTTCCATCCAGCAGAGTGATTGGAAAGAACGGAGACGTCATCTTCTTTGCCTTCCGGCAATAATCTCTGCGATATACTCAAAAGATCGCCATCGGCAAGTCCTCCTTGGAACACTCTTCTCTCGGCGCTTAGCTGAGTTGACGCAATATCCAAATACTTTCCGTATTTTTGTTGGATGCTGTCCACTAAGGCATTAGCACCCCAATCGTCGTACATTTCGTAGGCTTCTGTGATATAATTTCCTACAAGCAAATCCCGTGCCTTCTGAAGAATGGGGCTTTTCAGGACACTGTCTTCTAAACTCAAGAAATGTTCTGCAGCCAGCACGGATCCCAGACCAGCGTCTTGCTTGTACCCCCCTTGGATCGCCATGTTAATGGCATCATCAAAAGAAGACTGAACAAGAGAAGGCTTCTGTCCATTTAAGGACAAAAGCTGGGCCTCGAGAAGCATACATCGATGACGGCTGTTTTCTCCTTTTGAGTTGCAGAGTGAAATGAGCTGGTTGCAGCGCCTTCGAGCTTTGCTGCCATACGACTTCTTGTTTCGCGTCCGAGCCAACATGGCATAAGTCAGAGAGGTGAAATAGATTCCAAGACTTCGAACTGCGTGAGAATTCTCAAATTCGGCAAGTGGTGCCAACTTTTCTGCCATTTCCAAAGCAAACTCGTAGTCCCCAAAGAAAACACCCAACTGAAGGCGAGCAAGCAAGCAGTAGATCAAACGATAGGTACTTGATGAATCTGAATTTTCCGGGATTTCAAAAGTCTTGAGGTCCATGGTTGCCGTGCCCATCAAGTATTGTCCAACAAACCGCTGTTGGATCGTCATTCCGAGAACTGCGTCTACCTTGTAGACTTGCAACTTCCGTACCAAGTTGGCGAACTTTTCATCGACATTCCCCAAATAGTAGCCGGCATTGAACTCATGGTAAATACTTGCAGTGCGACTGAGTAGACCGTTCTCAAAGTCGCCAGTTTCCATTCCAGATTTGTATGCCCGATCATACAATTTCAACACTTCTTCATTCGACTTCCACGAAGTCATCCAATAGGCGACGACGAAGATTTGTAGAGACTCCAAGTGCTTTGCATTGAACCGTGTCAAAATCTTTCTGGCCAACTCTGCAAACCGTGCAGCACCTTCCATATCATTCACATTGAGGCAGAATAGGCAATATCCTGTCACCGCAAACGTCGATGTATCGCACAGCCCGTACTTTATGGAAATTCGAAGCATCCGAAGGGTTCCGACCATGAATCCAACCAAGTTGCCGCAGTAGAAAGATTGATAGGCGTTCGAGGCGAGGAATGCCATGACATATTCCTGCTTCTTGTCGGTCATGGTTGGAAGATTCAAGATCTCTTTGTCGGACTTTTTCTTCAAGTAACGCTTGATGTATAGAAAATCCTTCGTCAAACTGGCATGTAGAGAAAGAACGCCTCGGGGGTACTGCTTCAGCAGTTGCAAGGTGGCCACACTCATTTCTGCCGACTCTTTGTGTCTTTCTTCTCTTCCGAGTGCCTTGGACATGGCAAGCTGGACCGGCATTTTGTCTTCCACTCGTTTTGCCTTTTGCAAGACTTCGTCGCCAATCGCTTTGCCTACTTGAAGATGCCCTTGACACAGCTTGACATCAACAATGGTTTGATACACCTTAAGTGTCAAGTCATAATGAGATTCCCATGGATCCGATAGCCTTAAAATCTCCTGAAGGGCAAATCCCAAATATTTAGCAGCTGTTTCAAAAGCGGCACAAGACGTCGCTCGTTCTCCAGCCTCCAGATTCACTCGAATGGGAAAGATCGAATCCTGTCCAAGCTCTCGGGCAGTGGCGTTCACGTGATCTGCAGCCACGTAGATCATCCAGTTATCTCCTCCGTCTTCCATTCCCATTCGATACAATCGTTCTCCCAATTTGAATCTGAACGTGCTTCGTGGCAAACCTTCGGGGACAAGGGCGTATGCTGCGTGTCAATACGTGAGTGATTTGCTTCGTGCTGTGTTTTTGACGATCATCAAATATGGGAGAGTCAGTATACGTACCAGCTTGTCGGATTCGGTCGTGTGCAAAGAAATACTTTGAGGAGCCCATACTATTCATCAGGTGACCCTCCAAGACCGCCTTGTCGAGGAGCTTGGTAAAGAATTCTGGATCCACGTTGTTACCATCTAGCTCTATAAGCTTATACAGCGTGGAAAAGTCAATGCCATTGCGAGTATAAGCCGTAATGGTCATCGCTTTTTGCATTTTGAATGGCATTTTCTTGAGCTTTTGGGTAATGCTTTCAATGATACTGCCCGACAACTTATCATCCACGTTTTCCAGTTTCCAATTCCATTTCAGTGTTTCTGGTGAAAAAACCAATAAGCCTTTTCGGCACATTTCATCTAGCACTTGCTTTGCAAAGACCAAATTTCCTTGCGTCTTGCTGAATACCATATCGGCCAGAGGAGCAATGGTGTCTTTCTCCACGTTTAGAATATCAGCCACAAAGCTTGTGGTTTCAGATTCGGTAAGATTGGTCAATTCGGTTTTGCTAACGTGTTGACTCTTTTCAATAGCCTCGAGGACTTGGTAAAATGGAGATTCTTCAGTCATTTCGTCAGGTCGGAAGCATCCGATGAACATCAAATAGCGCAAATCTCCATCAGTCAGCAAGGCCTCCAGTAGACTTGCCGATGCTGTGTCACACCATTGCAGGTCATCCAACAAAAGCACCACAGGCCTTTCTTTCGTACTTATGGCATTCACGAAGTTCTGAAAGACGTACTTCAGTCGATTTGGAGCATGCTCATTGTTTCCTATGGGATTCGAAGCACAAGTTCCCGTAACATCTTTCAATCCGGGAATAACCGTAGACAAGAATTCAGCTTCATTTCCCATGGCGGTAATAACTTCCTTTCTCACTCGCTTCAGCTCGTCTGCTTCTTCAGGCGTGGTTAAAAGCGACCCAAGGCCATTGAAGGCTTCAATGATGGCCGAAAAGGGATCTACAGAAATATCATCAAACTTCCCATGCAAAAAGAATGGTTTGACAGGACCGTCTGCTGCTGCTTCTTCAGACGACCTTTGTTCCAATTGATCCATAAATTGTTTGGCGACTGTGGATTTTCCAGTGCCAGCAGCCCCCGTGATTAAAGCAATGGTGGGTTTGTTGGAGTCTTGGGTTTCCCCATCTTGACTCTTGAACGACGATCCTCCAGTTTGTACATGTTTGTATATTTCATGAAGGCCCGAGATTGCTTTGTCCCGAAGATGGGTACCAACGACACTAAAGTCCAGGTTATTTTGGTGATGGCTAGTACTGGCTGTTACCGAGGAGGTACCGGCGTTGCTAGATACCAAAGATGAGGACATTGTCGTTTTGGAAAGTAAATAAAATGCGAGTAAAATCAGGAATCAAAATCATGAACGGAACACTTTTTATATGAACACACTTTACGATCACCTTTTTTATGGCAGAAGATCTCATTATGGCCTACCGTACTGGTAACCCTAACAAAAATCGAAATAGAACTCTTGCATAAATATAAATTATATATTGATGTCTCCAGCGAACAAATGAATTTTAAGCTTTCGGAGAAACGCTCTTCAAGACTATATGTGGTCTGGGCCAATGCTTTGCCAGCAAGTATTTATAGATATGTAATGAGAGTATTTTACACTTTTATGCGAAAATGGCGGTAGTTTTTCAAATTATAGTTAGATGAATGCTGCCGTTTCGCCTTTGCACTACAGTACCAGAATCTAGGAAGAACCAGCGAGGACAGATGGGGGACATCAGGACATGCAGCAACATTTAATTTTGTGGGACATCGCGGAGAAAAGATCGTTCTAGCGTCTTCGCATCCGCTTGCAGATAGAGGCTCAATAAAAGGATATGATTCTTCTTCGGTACGAAGCCGAAGTTTTTGATCGCTTCTCATCGGTTTTGCCTACATTTGATCAGAGTTAGTTTTTGTTTGACACTTGGGTTGATGTTCGTGCTTCTGATAGAGGCTCACATTTTCGAAATAACGCGGTACATAATGGTCAGCTTGCTGTTGTTTCTATTTGCATTACCTAGCAGCTAGCTATTGGAACTGGTCATTGAAGTCTCCGTTATCTTCCTCCCAACAGTGATGTGTTCCATAATATGGTGGAAAGAGTTCTTGACCTGAATAAAAAATGAGTAAATGAGACGAAAGGTTGAACAGCACACCAATCTAGCAATCAGATCTAACTTACCGCACTCATAGCAGAAATGGGTCGCGCATGTTGGGCACTTCATATGAAAGCAACCTTCGATTCGTTCGACGCCATTCGAACAATTGGGACAGCATTGTCCATTTTCCAAAATCCATTGCAAGGCTACTCCATCATGTTGTCTCGAAACTGCATAGTTCACAATCCATGGATACTTGGATTCGCAATTCTTCTTTTGTTCTGGCGTTGCTCGAATGTACCGTCGACAAAACTTGAGCGTCGTTTGAAATTCACAAACTTCTCGGTGTTCCTGCCGGGTGACACCCTGCTTGATGCGCTTGAGGCATAGTTCACACCAACTCTTGTCGCAGCAATCGCAAAAGACAAAGGTATTCTTGGCATCTTTGGATCGTTTGCGCATACATACGTCTTCTTTTTCATAGTCTTGGTTCTGGATCATTTTAGTAGTTTCTTCGACACAAGCTTTGGATAAGCATCGGTCTAGAGAGTAGCAAATGGGATACTGCAAATCTCGTTGCCATCGTTGGATTTGCTTGTATTCTTGTGATGTAATATGACACTGAACCGTTTGATCAATGGATATTTCGGACCGACACTTGTCAATGGGACACAAAAAAGGATTGGTCCTATACCCAGCCAGTTCGGTTACTTTGACTTTGAGGTAGATTGGAAAGCAATCTTGGCAAAAGAAATGGCCGCAGGATGGCAAAGTGACACCCTTGTCGCAACGCGTTGTATCGAAGCAAATGGGACATTTCGTCATGTACAGCTTTTGCCACGACAAAATCAATGCTTGTTTGGCATAGTCGAGAACATCCTTGGGTGGATTTGAAAACTGTAGTTTTCGTGTGGGAGCTGGCGGCGACTTTGACTTGGATTTGTCGTCTTTATTTCTTTTTGATTTGGTTGCTTTCCGTTTCGCATCCTCCGCCTTTTGCATCTTTCGTTCCATTGCCAGTGCTTCTTGACGAGGATTTAGTAGCGACCCCACATTGGAATGATACAACAAATCCATCTGTGGTGGCAATAGAATCAAACGATAGTCGCCTTCCTCATGAATGGTTTCCCAATAGCTCCATAATTCATGCTCGCATAGTTCGACAATACTGAAAGAGGCACACATGGTCATGAGTTCCGTTTCTTCTTGTAGTTTCACTTGGCATTTCTTGTTCAGCCAAGACATGATTGTGGGTTTTTCCAGCTCGGGTAGTTCGGGAGGATAATATTCCCAATCGATTTTGACTTGGGAAGGCATGATGAACGTGCTCGAGTCCTCCAATCCTTCCTCCACCTGCTCCTCATCGTCTGACATAATTATTACGGAATACACGAGTTTAATGTTCAATATGGGAGGTTTGGCCAGAGTAAAGTATCGATACTGGTTGTCTTCTGTCACTTTGCGACAAAATGCCAGTGAGGAAGAGGCAGCATGAAGGGTCAGCTGCACTCTTCCACAAAATCCCGAATGATGCTTATTGTGCGAGCAATGCGAGTTGGTCGTGGAAATTTCGACTGATGACAATAATGGAACAACCTTGGATTCTTCCACGTAAATGGCAGCCGTCGCCGACCAATCCATGTTGGATTCGGCCATTTCCAAATAATCGTTGGATGATTCTTCTGGCTGAAGGTCTCTCATGATGCTTGGGGTTTTGCTTTTGCTTCTGCTTTTGCTTTTGACTACTATTATGTGATGCTATTATATATGAATGAATATGCTCTGAAACACACAGTAGGTGTTCTATCTGTACCGCCGTATCGCTGCTGCTGCTGCTGCTACTTCCATGTGATATATCAAAGAGTCTGTTTCGATACTATTTTATAGTTGTATTTGCGATTTCTCCAAACGTGCAGTCAGTCGCTCGTCATCATCATCCTTATTACTGTATAAAATATAAAATATCGGTGGTCGATCGTTCGCTGCGGGTTCATCGCAGGTTTCTTGATAGTGGACTAGAGCAGTACCTTTTGCAATCTCGTGAAAAAACTCAACAACATTAATGCTGTCACTGAAATGTCGCAGGCATTCAAACTGCTGAATATTTTCAAAATACCGCATGAGTCGCACCATATTTTCGAATCATGCACTGGAAAAACGCATCATCATCTATTTTAATATCTTATTATCATTATTTTATATGTTATTTCAATGATCATCTCAACAATAACCACAAATAATAACAGCAATAATGTCGTTGGAAGCCGCCATTTCCGAAAATGTCGATGAACCCTTCTTTACGAATTGGAAGGTAACGTTAAAGGAAGGAACTCAAGTAGAGACTGTCAAGGCTTCCTTGGATGCCCTCGTGGCTCCCATCATTCGGGAGGAAGATCCACGCGCTGGCGTCATTGTTTATGCGTATTCCCAATCTGTCAAGGAGGGAAATGACAAGAATGTCTTGTATTTCAACGAACTATTTCAAGATGTCGATTCATTCCTTTGTGGGGCACTTGACTGAATCCGAAGGTCAAGCTGTCGTGGACGTCTTTGATTGCGTGCAAGATCGAATCGTGGGCTACGTCAATCCTCCACTTTGGCATCAAGGAGTTCGGGAAGGCTTGACGCAAAATCAAGCTGTGGCTGTGCGTGTCACTCAAGGACACACCTTTACACCGCATCCCCAATCCTTGTTGGGCACCAAGAAATGGGGTCGCAAACTCTGTCCTGCAATTGGAGAAGCGGTCATGTTGGAATTGCGAGTGCAGGCCTGCAATCAACAAGTGGCGGATCGGTTAATCAGTCTCCTAACACCGCTCACCAAGATTGACAAGACGAGCATGAATATTGTTTCGTCCTATATTGTCAAGGGTAAGGGATGGTGGAGACGAGATCCTAATAATGCCACCAACATCAAATTGAAAACTCGAGATGCCAAGATTCCCGCTTCTGCCTATACAACAGATTATGGCGACGATGATACAACCATTGAATTCCGCGTCATTTATTCCCATTGGAACATTCGACATTTGTATCCTCGAGCCTTGGTTCAAGAGTTGGTAGAATTACTGCAAAACTCCAAACTGTCCGAGTTGGTAGTAACGGCACCCAATCCCCAGCAAGAAAATTTGCAAGAGGTATTGGAATACTTTCAAGATAACGGATTGATGATTCAAGATTTAAGAACCTTATTGAGTGGCTTTTTGATTCATCCATTCTTTACCAAGGATTGGACAGGCAAGACGACGGAGAATGTTGGCAATAATGATGGCGATGCCAAAGCTGCAGCTCCCAATGAGAGAATAGAAGGGGCAGTGTCCACCAACAAGTCAGCAGCCGCAACAGTGCCAAAAGCAAACGGGGGTCAGAGTGGTCTGGCCTCTTTGATGCAACAGAGAGCCGGCGCTACTACTACTACTACTACTACTACTACTACTACTACTACTACTACTACTACTACTACTACTACTACTACTACTACTACTACTACTACTACTACTACTACTACTACTACTACTACTACTACTACTACTACTACTACTACGGTTAAGCCCAAGATGAAAGGAGGCCCAACTGGTTTGGCGTTTCTCATGCAGAAGAAAGCCGAGACTACTACTACTACTGCAACTGCAACTGACGAGAACGAGGACATTTTCACAATTCGACACCATCCCATCAAGAATCAACCCAAGGCGGTTGTCTTTTCCAAACGAGCCTCTGATTCTCCCTCCACACCTCAATTTTTTGTGGTCCCATTGATGGATTACTTGAAAAGCGCCACTCGACTAGGCCATCGCGACAAGGAAGTGCCCATTGGAACATTGTTTGGGATCTTGGAACGAATGCGAGACATGGCCCGTCACGTCACCTATATCAATTCCTTGGTGGACATGACCGAAGCCGAACGAGAGGAACAAGGAAATTTGCCTTTGGTCCAACACATTTTTCACAAACTGAGTCTCATGGGACGGCCATATAAGGACTTTGGGACCAAGAAATTGAAATTGGATGGACTGGATGACTTGATCCAAGCTATTGAAAAAGAATATGCATTGATTGTGAGCAAGGCCAGAGATGCTGTCGAATCAGGAGCGGCACTGGAATATCTTGGATTACAGGAGTTCTATACGATTGGGTCAGTAGTCACTACGCGATCCGTTCCCGGTTTGGGTGGACTGCCAGTTAGCTTCAAGGTTGTGGATTGCATGTACGAACCCATCCGATCGCTCATGGGAAGTTTGCGCTATAGCTTTCGAGTCACTTTGGAAACCATTGTCTATACTGGTCAGCACTTTGTGGCCGTACCATTTTCCGAAGTGATTGGGGACTGGAAAAATGTCAAGGAACAAGTCAATCTCCCATTTCAACGAATTGGCAGCAGTAGCTCATCATCGGATTGGATACAAGATCGAATTGGCAAGATGAACTCGCTCGTCATTCCAACCAGCGAATCTGATTCTTCCGTTGCATACATGGATTATCCTTCTGGATCCTTCTTTCCATCTCTTGGTGGTGGGAGTCGCAATCAGATCAACAAGTCGTCAGGGGCATCGTCCTCCAGCATTCACCGCGCGGCCGCTGGCCAGGCTATTATTGATATACGAACAGGGTTCGATTTGGGATATGCTCCAGCTAGCAGAACGGGGGAGCTTGGCATTGCCATGGGATACATTATCAAGTTCTACATGGATTTCATTCGGAAAGCAACCCACGCCAATGTCAACATGGAAGAATTGAACAATTCCGGCATGTTCACAGCCTATGAAACTTTTCCGCAAGGTGTGAATGCCCAACCATGGCCTTGTGTGATTGGGTTTTCGATGAATACAAAATCGTGGGGATATGTAGTTGTGGATGGCTTGCGACCTGTTCTACCTGATCCCAAACCATGGAACGAGCTCGTGTTGCCGGACTCGTCTCGAGAAATGCTCATGTCCTTGGCCAAACTCAAGATCCAAGGGAGCAGCAGCAACAACAACAAACCCTCAAGGTACAAGTACGACGATGTGATTGCTGGAAAGGGCACTGGAGGTTTGTATCTCTTATATGGCCCTCCAGGCTGCTGGAAAACGCTTACGGTGGAAGCACTAGCTGCCTATTTTGGCAAGCCGCTCTACTCTATTTCGTTTGCCGAACTTGGTAGCAGCCCTGCAGAGCTGGAAGAGAAACTGACCGAAACGCTTGGATTGGCATCTCGCTGGGGTAGTCTAGTCTTGCTGGATGAAGGTGATGCACTGGTCGAAAAGCGAAAGCAAGGACAATTGCTGCTGAACTCAATGACTGGCATTTTGTTGCGACTATTGGAGACCTTTGAAGGATCTTTGTTCATCAATAGCAATCGAGTCTCTTCTTTTGATCCAGCCGCCTTGTCTCGCGTCACTCTGGCCGTCAAGTTTTCTCCACTGGACAAGGACGGCATGAAACAGATTTGGCGCAATACCATTGCACGCGTTCTCTGCAGTGACATTCTGAAGCCTATCACCTATGAACAAGCCCTTGTCGTGGTCGATTCGTCCTTTGATTTGCCAACTTTGGCATACTTTCCAGGATCCGGAAGGTCAGTAGGTGCCGTCATGAAAATGGCGATTGCACTTTGCAGCTACCGCTGTTGTGATCTATCCAATGCTCTTCTTGTTGAATGCATGAGGAATTTCTTGTCCTTTCACAATGACCTAAAGGGCGAAGGAGCGACTGATGAGTGGGACAAGTAAAATTGCGTTTCCATTACAAGCGTATGCCTCACTCACTCCAGTGTTCACTGTGGACATGATTTTACTCGACGATCAGTGAAAGCCATCCAATTTGAAGAGAGTGTACTTTCAACAGTATATTTAGTGCCGTTATACTATTTAGTACAGTCTTGAATATCTATTGGCCCGCATGGTTGGTTCATGTCGTTGATCGTACTTTCAACAGTCGCTAGTGGGCTTCGTCCTGTGGCCGTGGAGAAAGAGAGGAGTGATGCTAAGCTAGTTCTATTGAAGGTTAGCGCTATATGGCTACAACTCTGATGATGACTGGAGAAAAGGAACAGAACATAAATGGACTAGGTGCATTTCAGCAAAGAGTATTTGAGTACTTTATAAGATTCTCAAAGGCATTTTAATTCGCAGCATTCATCATTGACCACTTCTTAGAATAGTCGTCGGCCACCAAAGTGGGAACAGTTACACTCCTGCATCACACATTGATTCTCCATCCCACAATAGTCTCCCATCATATTTTCAATCAACACCCCTGATCCACTCCAGTATCGGCGATTCTGTTGATGGTAGGTAGTGGTCGGTAGTAGCAGTAGCAGTGCCAGTACTCAGCTAACTGACTCCATTTTCCAGCACTTTGACGTTTGTCATCTTTCAAAATTATATAATGCTACTACAGTTGCTCCATCATAAATGTCCATTCGACTCAGACCTAGATTGTCTTCATGAAGAAGCGCATTCGACTGTAGTGCCATTGGATACACCAAAACGTTGTTTATCACAAAAAACAGTTGCCCCTGTTCCAACGCTCCAGCCGCCTACACTTTACGATCGCCATTTGACAGAAAATCTTTCGCAAAATTGATTATGGCCAATCCTGGTGTAAAAAAAACTCAATCGATATGACTCAATAAAAGTTTTGGGGCAATAAACGATTGTGATTGTAATGTATTGATTGATTAAGATTAGTTGAGATTGATATCAAGTTTCTTTTAGATTGGATTGAATTGAATTTGTCGTTGTTTGTTGTTGTGAGCTCTGATCTGATGAAATCTCTCAGATCGGCTCTAGTCGTACAGTAGCATTCTGATCTTGCTTGATCATGCAATGACCTTCATTCAAGATCAGTTACTTATATTCTGGCATACATCCAAGATCAATCATATGGCAATCCAAGATAATCATAAGCCTCCTTGCTGACATCGGACTTCTCAATTTAGAATTCGTTATCCCGGTCAGTGTATTTCCAATGACCGTTGAGTCCACGGAGTCGATTCATGATTCAACCATTCATGATTTGGTTCAAATACCGTATATCTGTACACTCCCTCTTTTGCTCCAAATCTTGATCTTCTCATTACCAACCAAGTACCAATTTTCTGAACTTGACAAAACTCGCTTCATTCAATGGCTTTGTTAGTATGTCTGCAATTTGATCCAGTGTGTGTATCTTGTGAATACTTATCATGCAAGGTCCATCACCAATGTATGATCTGAAGTGGTGTAGTCTGTTGTTCAAATGTTTTGTCCTTGGTCGAAACTTGTGCACTTTCGCAATTTCCAATGCCCCACTGTTGTCCTCAAAAACTTTACAATGCACCTTCGCTTTTGAAGTTTCCAGAGGTATCCCATTATCAATCATTTCTTGAAAAAGGTTCATGATAGGAATTGCTTCTCTGAGTGCATAAGATAGTCCAGTGTATTCTGATTCGGTCGATGAGAGTGCTACCTCTGTTTGCATCTGGGATTTCCAAACAATGGGACATCCAGCGTAGGTGATGTAATATCCATGTCTTGATCTTGCAGTATCGCGATCCTCATATTCATTTGGATCCCAATTTCCTGCAAAGTCAGCATCAACATATACTTCAATACCTTTCTCTTTGTCTGGTTTCAATATAGTCCCTTTGTCCTTCGTGCCTTTCAGATATCGACCTAACCATCGAATGGCCTCTCCATGTTCCTTCTTTGGACAACTCGAGAATCTCGCACATTGATGAGTAATGTACGCAATATCAGATCGAGATCCCTTCTCGAGATAATTCAATTTTCCTATCACTGATCGATAGTTGAATGATCCATCGAAGTCTGGAGAGTCAGAATGCCTTGACAGTAGTTTGGATGACGGAGCTGGAATCGATCTTGGTTTGGCATTGTCTTCCAACCGTAGATCTTCAAGAATCTGGTCAATAAGATGTGGTTGTGTGAGATGGATTGTACCATCTTCTTTTCGTTCAATGTTAACACCAAGGAAATCTTGGATGTCTCCTTCAATCGTAATGTCCAGTTTGGCGGCTTTAATGTCTTCAATTGCCTGCTCAACTTCCTTCAAATCAGGACCTGCCAATAATGAATCGTCTGTGTACAATACATACATCACAGATCCTCGATAGAACACACATTCATCAACTTCGGATTGCTTGAAACCGACTTCGTCAATGAGTTTGCGTGACAGAAACTTGAAAAACACACGAGAGGATTGTTTTCCGCCGTATACATTTCGATGGAGTTTCAACACGTAATCTTTTGTGTTCCCCTTGGACACTTCGAATCCACCAGGTATTTTCATGTAAATTTCACGTTCAACTGGTGCTTGTGGAAACGCCAAGACGTAATCAATTTGCCTTGTATGCCAACCAAGAAGAGCTGATAGGACCAACAAAGTTCGGATTGAGTTCCAGCTCGCAACTGGAGCATATGTTTGATCATAATGTTTTCCATATTGCATCTTTGAGCCGTCAATGTTCAATCTCGCTTTGTACTTCTTGATCGTTCTTGTCTTGATATCTCTTTTTCTTTTCATTTGCCACACCGCTGGTAGTATTGTGCCTCCCTCTGGAACCTGCGATCGATGTACCACACTGAAATTTCCATTGTTGATTTGATCTTCCCATTCTTTCTTCATTGCTTTCTTGAATTCATGGGCATCCTTTTCTCGCATGGCTTCATGCATGTACATTGTGTCTGGGTCCGAGGTTGCTTTATAAATACTTAGCGGGTCCTGCTCCATTTCTCCTGCATAATTGGGGAACATTGCTTGGAGGCAGAATATTTCTCCTTCAACGTCATGCACAGTGGCTCTCGATAGTTCTGCCTTCATTGCTTTAATGATATCCTCAGCCGGATGAGGATGCTGCGCTGACTTGGGATCCCTTTGGCTTTCGGGAACTCGCTCCTTCTCTTTCTCCTCCTCGAAAATTGAAGGGCGACCAGTGTCTGCATCGCTGACTGCTCCTGGATTTGATGGTGGGTCATTGTTATTTGTTGGTTCATCCATTTGACTATCATTGGATGGGGATGGCTGCAGCCCATTGTCGAGGCCATCAGGGGTCGGCATCTCGAACTGTGTGTGTTTTTCCGGCTTTGATACTTCATCATCCATTCTCGCTTTCTTCTTTGGCGGTTGGACTCCCTCTGAAACTGGCAAAACTTCCTGTGTTTTAGGATCGACTGACTCCATTGTCGAGGCTTGCTTTCGCTTTGAATTGTCCGGTTTATCATGCTGGACTAAGCCTGCCTTTCGTTGCCATTGAGTATCAAATTTGTCTTCTTTGACGGTTTGAAATCTTCGATCGAATATCACATGGAACTGAGGTGACACTAGCCCAGTTGTCCTATCAAGGACCAATGCAATGTTTCGACCATGGTTTGGAGATCGCCCAAGATATATGCCCACTTTGGATCGATACTCCCATTTGTTGTGAATCCCTTTTCCACTCTGCAATGCAGTATTCAGAACATAGACTGGGCAACCAAAAGGCACCCAATGCTTCTCATTCAATTGTACTTGAGAGTTGCTGAATAGTTGCAATGGCGAGCGTCCTTGCTTGTCCTTGAGGTTCGGCGATTCATTGATTGCGTCATTTGCCATTCTCAGAGCATAAGGCCATAGATGAACGGTACCTGCCATGCTCCACCTTCTATGTTGGTGTATCAGCATTGATCGAGCAAGATCCTGTAGTGATCGGATTCTTCTCTCAGCAAGTCCATTGGAATGGTGTGCATTTACTCCAGCGAAAGAAAGTCCTTGCTCCATCTTCCGGCATTCGTCAACCCATTTATGTGCTCTGAAAATTCCGTTGTCGGCATGGTAGTGTTGAACTCTCACGCCATGTTGCTTGCAATAGGCTTCAAATGCTTTCTTGCCTTCAATGGTCTCATCCGCAGTTGCTGTTTTCTGCAAGTAAACAAAGCTCAATCCTGAATATTGGTCGACATAAACAGTAGCGTACTTGTATCGCTTCTTAGTCAATGTGCCAGATATTTGGGCAATCAATCCAGGTGAAGGCGAGACAAGTTGATCAACTGAAATGACTTCTCCAGGTCTTGTTACAGTTTGTTCCTTTGTCCAATGCTTTCTCCTCTTCTCCCGCCATTGTCGTCTTGTAGCTTTGGCAAAACAACAGGCAGTGCATCTTGGAATATCAGCATTGGCCAACCTTCGTGGAATGATATTTTGCTTTGCCATGCTTTGCAGTTTCGCAAAAGAGATGTGACCCATTTGGTGGTGTAGCCGTAGTAGTTGCTGGCTATCTGTTGTTGGTTGTTTCTCCTCCTCCTCGGCTATCACCGCCGGTTTGGGTGCACCATCTGTAGTTGGTCCATCCAAGTCAAAAGCTGCTTCGCGAGCTTGAGTTTGAGGGGCCTTGGCCTTGTGGTTCGGACGGCGAAATTTGGTAGTCAGTCGGGACCAAAAGGTAGTGGCTGTAGTTGGAGGGGGGTCTGGTGGAAGAACATCATCATCATCGTCGTCGTCTTCTTCGTTATCACTGACAACACCGGCTGGAGAGATAATAATCGGCTCCTCCTCACTCTTGTCATAGTCGAAATTGCATTCTTGACAAAAGAGGTCAAATCGTTTGAAGCCAGGTGCCAAATAGAAGGTGGCAACATTGTCGGTGCGACCAAGGGGTACATCCAAAGAATACTTCTTTCGATCCCAAAATAGAACACACTTGTCAAAAGTGGTTGTCTCACCAATTCCATATTGTGTGATTGATGATACCCCCCTTCCAAGCTGCGACTTAGCCCAATGTTGGGGACTGAGAAGTCGACAGTTTCCTTTGGGGACATAGTAAGAGTTGGGAATTCGAAATCGATGCAATCGCCCATCATTGTCCTGCCATTTCCACACAATGGTGCCTTGATAGACATTCATGACACGTTCTCCACCAAAACCTTTGATAGATCGGTTAACCTTTACCAAAGGACCAACAAAGTCTTTAATTCTGTGAGAGATGCAAGCACTCGCGCGATTATCAATACCAACTTGGCAAGAGTCAGTATCAAATGATGCACGATTGGAATAAATCCGTTCTCCTTCAGAATTGGTACTTTCATGAATGTGCAATGGAGATTCAACTGCAGTCATAGCCATGATCTTGCGCTTGAAATGATTGTATCTCCGTTTGCGTTTCTTCACTTTAGCAGTTTGGCGATCCAACCAGCTTGACCTAGTGATTTGATCAGTACTGTCTTGCAATGAATTCGCCACTGCAATCATTCTTCGAATTTCAAATCGGATTTCCTTTGGAGTCCATAGTCCCATGGCAAAAGTCCAGCGAATCACCACGTTAAAAACATAGTAATCCAAATCCACGATATAATTCCACATAAAACGCCTGATTTTGCGTGCACGATTCCATCGTTTGCGTTTGGGCACGTATTCAGGGAAAGTAGCATTTTTGATTGTTTTGATTGGGCCAAGGATCACACTCAGGTACGTGATGAAATATAGGAGCATAAAACATCCTAAGTAGCTTATTTTGCCACAAAGGAATTTCCAGATTCCGTTCACATTGATACCGTTGAGTGCATCCCAGCACCATCATTCAGAGTAGTATCCACCAACCAAATCGTCAATAGCCTCTTTGGCAACAATGGCTGGTTCCTTTTCATCATCGTGTTTTGGTTTGGACTTGCAATTCTTTGGGAGATGGACACGCCAGACACCACCACAGTTTCCACCTGTCTCCTTGCAACAATAATGCCATTGTTTGTTGTTCCAAGATCGAGGCTTGTTTAGTTCGGTTTTGGGAGGTGGCTTGGACATCCAGTCAGGTTTTTCCTTCATTTGTTTCTTTCCTTTTCCTTTTTCGAACTTCACCTTTTTCTTGGGTGAACCATTATCAGCACCAAGTTCTTTTCTCTTGCGTTGTCTTGGCTGCTAGCTTATCCGAGAGCTTGTTCAGGCGCGTTTGCATAGCGAGTATTTCCTCTTGGGCAGCTGAAGGTGCTTCCCATGTCTTCGTCGTCACCATGATGCGGTACTTCTTCTCAGCGAGACTCATAAGTGTACGGGAATCGATCGCTTTCGTTCCCATATCATGATCGGTTTGAAGATCGCCAATGTACTTGACAAAGTTCTCGTCTTTGCAAGCATTGTAGGCCCTGAACAGATAGGTCAAAAGATCCAAAGTCTTCTCACCACGCGCATGAAGTGCCATCAACAGCATCTTGACATGATTATTGAACCGATTGATGTCATGGTCCACAGTTGGGATAAATGCATCCAGCGTTGAAAGCTGCTCACGAATCATACCAGTAGTCGCGTTTGAATCCAAGTATGCCTCACGGATAAATGTTTTGAGCAAGCATAGACCGGAAGGAAGCTTGTTCGGTCCAAGTTGAAAGTCTTCCCAGTGAATGTTGAGCTTAGATTTTGCATCGCGAGTAAGCGAATTCATGATGCATTCATAGAGCATTCTGTCATCTTGACTCTTGCGGTTTCCACTGTCCCAATAGGTGCGCTCATAACGTTGGATTCGTGGCAATGAAACTGACCCATAGCTATGTAGCAAGTTGACAGGTTGTCTTCCTGGTGTTAGTACCCAGAAGAGCCCACCAGTGTCGTTCCATCCAAAGTTATTTCCTCGATGTTCCAAAGCCTTCATGATTTGAAGGAATTGGTCTGAAGTACAGTCGAAGCCTTCGTCGTCAAGCTTTGATGTTGCCTTGTTGAAGATGCTCTTATCTGACTTCTTTTCATAGCGAAGGATCCTACCCATACTAGCCAATCCTGGTGTTAGAGATCCAGGTGCTTCACCATCGGTTTCCTCCTTCTCGTCATCAGTATCTTCTTCGTTGCTATCATCATCTCCGCTGTCATCTGGATCCTCATTCTCGTCAGGATCATCACCATCATCAGGATCATCTTGTGGATCCTGGTCTTCATCGGCGTCTCCTCGTTCTCCAAGATCGGAGTCGTTCTCTTGGACTTCTTCTTCGGCTCTGAAGGAGTCCTGTGCTTCATCATCACTTGAAGCATATCGTTGAGGTCTCCAACGACGACGAGCTTGACGTCTGGTTCTAGCCATCTTGAATCAGTTGAAAGAAAAGTTAAATCGTTCTTTGCGCAGAGGGAGCGTGTAAAAAAAACTCAATCGATATGACTCAATAAAAGTTTTGGGGCAATAAACGATTGTGATTGTAATGTATTGATTGATTAAGATTAGTTGAGATTGATATCAAGTTTCTTTTAGATTGGATTGAATTGAATTTGTCGTTGTTTGTTGTTGTGAGCTCTGATCTGATGAAATCTCTCAGATCGGCTCTAGTCGTACAGTAGCATTCTGATCTTGCTTGATCATGCAATGACCTTCATTCAAGATCAGTTACTTATATTCTGGCATACATCCAAGATCAATCATATGGCAATCCAAGATAATCATAAGCCTCCTTGCTGACATCGGACTTCTCAATTTAGAATTCGTTATCCCGGTCAGTGTATTTCCAATGACCGTTGAGTCCACGGAGTCGATTCATGATTCAACCATTCATGATTTGGTTCAAATACCGTATATCTGTACATCCTGGCAGCAACATTTAATTCCATGGGACATCGCGGAGAAACGATCGTTCTGCAGTAGCGTCTTTGCATCCATACTTGCAGTTACTGAATACAGGCTCAAGGATGGTTCGATGATGACTCTTCTCGTTGGGGTCACTTTTGCTCAGACTTACATTTGCAAAATAACGCTACACAATAGTCAACTTGCTATTCCTATTGCTATTGGAACTGGTCATTGAAGTCTTCGTTACCTTCCTCCCAACAGTGATGTGTTCCAAAATATGGTGGAAAGAGGTCTTGACCTGAATAAAAAATAAGTGAATGAGAAGAAATTTTCGCAGCATGGCATGGGTGAACGGCACAACAATCTATAGCAATCAGATCTATCTTACCGCACTCATAGCAGAAATGGGTCCCGCATGTTGGGCACTTCATATATGAAAGGAACCTTCGATTCGTTCCACACCATTCAAGCAATTGGGACAGCATTGTCCATTTTCCAAAATCCATTGCAAGGCTACTCCATCATGTTGTCTGGAAATTGCATGGATATTTACATTCGCAATTCTTCTTTTGTTCTGGCGTTGCTCGAATGTATCGTCGACAAAACTTGATCGTCGTTTGAAATTCACAAACTTCTCGGTGATCCTGCCGGGTGACACCTTGCTTGATGCGCTTGAGGCATGGTTCACACCAACTCTTGTCGCAGCAATCGCAAAAGACAAAGGTATTCTTGGCATCTTTGGATCGTTTGCGCATACATACGTCTTCTTTTTCATAGTCTTGGTTCTGGATCATTTTAGTAGTTTCCTCGACACAATAAGCTTTGGATAAGCATCTGTCTAGAGAGTATCAAATGGGATACTGCAAATCTCGTTGCCATCGTTGGATTTGCTTGTATTCTTGTGATGTAATATGACACTGAACCGTTTGATCAATGAATATTTCGGACCGACACTTGTCAATGGGACACAAAAAGGGATTGGTCCTATACCCGGCCAGTTCGGTTACTTTGACTCTAAGGTAGATTGGAAAGCAATCTTGGCAAAAGAAATGGCCGCAGGATGGCAAAGTGACACCCTTGTCGCAACGCGTTGTATCGAAGCAAAATGGGACATTTCGTCACGTACAGCTTTTGCCACGACAAAATCAATGCTTGTTTGGCACAGTGGAGAACATCCTTATATGCGGTTGTCCGCTGATTCGAGTTATTTTACTAATAATTCGCAGGTTTGGTTCTTTCTTGATCATTTTGGTCGTGCTAAATGCATACCGTCAAATACGGACACGTATTTAGTGAAAAAAACTCAACAATGCTGTCACTGAAATGTCGCAGGCATTCAAACTGCAAAATGTGGAAGGGCGATATATGCCCGGATTTTCATGTGTCAAAATCCGACGCCCCGGTCAAAAACAGCCACGTGTAAACGATAGTACTGCAGTACTGTAGTGACCGGCGGAAACGTATATACCCCCATATACGGTAACGTCTGTACGTCCTCTCACTGCATAAACATACTTTATCGTGGGTAGAAGTCACTGGATATCGTTTGATGTTTCATCCCAAGACAATAAAATAATGCAGTGTATTTCACTCCAAGAACGCTGATGAGAGGAGCCATACACGGGAGGCACCCAGCCAGCTCAGGGACGTACAGCCTCTGGAAGAATCACGATGCCTCAATCGATACCAGCTATTGTGCACGGTGACAGGACCTTGGGGCACATCCTCTTCGACTCCTTTTCGAGCTACATCAAGGCAAGAGGAAGAAGAAGTTCTTCCCAAAATAGGCGATGATTCTGGCAAGGGCCTACATGGCACATCCTTCAACGCCCTGCCCCGGCAATGAGACGGCGATGAAAATTATCCTTCCAGTATGGTGAATGAGATGAAGTAACAATGCCCAGGCATATCTTGGAAAGACCTAAAATAGTTTGATAGAAATCATGATGATTGTGATGTTTTTCTATTTTTCGTTGTTTGGGCGTGAAGTAGTGCACGAGGCCCTCCATTGGTTGACATGTAGGATTCCAAAATACACCAAGACGGCTGTCGACCCGATACTTCAAGGAGAGAATACGCCGGCTAGAAGGGGGGAAATGGATATTTTGGTTATCGTCCTCGAGGTTGCTTCTATAGGAAGGGCCGACATGGATAATTAAAAACTGCTAGTTGCGTTTATAGTAAACGGTTTACAATCAATTAATATGCTACATTATAATATAGAGTCCTTCGGCTATGAAGTCATTCATTCTAGGAGCAACAAAACTCGAACAACGGTATGATTGCCGCTCCAGCACATCCCTGCTTATTGTCGAATTCTGGATTTATGATCAGAAGCTTTCTTTCACATCTCTTCTGGGTATCTCTGCTGGATCCAATGGGTCATGGTAAACGGCGAGATGTCAAACATTCATCGGTTTGACAACATACCCGCAATCTAGACCAACAGCAATAAGCGCCTGCTGCAGTGATCTTCTCAGCAGAAACGATAGACATCGAATCAAATTACCGATAACCCCATGGACCAGCCAGCGCAGAACAATGTTGATTGTTGATTCAGGTGATGAAGAAGTGGTGTCGAATCTGGAAGATATGCCATCCAGTATGTTCTTCACAAAAGAGCGCCAACATAATACTCCTTGCGGTCCTTTGTCCTCATTATGGCGCCAGATTACAATGAACTGGTTGCTCTGTAGTGCCCAGGATGCGGAGACCTCGTCCAGATACGTCCAGTGGCTGATTGATATGTGTGACAATAACACAAGAGGATTCATTCCAGCCATATCAAACGCCACCAAGAGTGGGCAAATGTGAATGTGCTGGAAGCAAAGGTGAATCGGTGGCACTTGAAGGATCGGGAGCGCACCGTTGCAAGTCTATTAGAGGGTGGTTTGACGAAAGCGATGCCGATGTCACCAGTCCAACCCGTACAGGTTTTGCAGGAGCCATGTTTGAGAAAATTCCACACGAAGTCCGAGATGTTGCCATCTAAAACTTACATTTACATCAGTTAATTAAGGAACGTGTATTTTCCAATATTCTCAACCAGGCCAGTATTCTGGTCTACGCGAAAACGGTACGATTTCTACGTGCCAAAATTGAGCCTGAATTGAAATCGCATCGTATATCAAGGGACCCGGAGAGGTATATACTTTTCCGCAAGCCTTTGTGGGAACAACATTTTTACATAGGAATCATATGGTGTTGGAAAGTATATGATATCGATATACGTTTCGTGCGGAAATGCGCGAAAATGATATACTTTTCAGTAAGTCTGTACTGTATTTAGTCCAGTGACGACTTGGCAGGCTGACAAGATGTCTGCTCAGAAATCTGTATTTTTCACCCTTTCCGTGATCATTTCGCAGCAATATATTGCAATGACAGAGCATGAAAAGGAAGCATCATCATCAGGAAGACACAGCAAGTCGCGATCCTCCCGAAGATCTTCGAGTAGACGATCGAAAACAACAAGAGAAGCAGATGAAGAAGATTCCTTAAGTACTACTCATCGATCCGATTCAAAATCTTCAAAGAAGAAAGACACTGGTGCAGATGATCGTAGTAGAAAGAAGCGAGGCACTACTACAAGGGCATCCGAACCTGGCGCAATTCCTGAGAAGGCAACCAGCAGTTCTGGCAATCGTAGTAGAAAGAAGGAACGAGGCACTACTAACAAGGCATCCACACCTGGTGCTATTCCTGAAAACGCAACCAGCAGTTCTGGTAGTCGTAGTAGGAATAAGGAACGAAACGGCCGTGGCAAAGCTTCCAACAAGCCTGGTGCTATTCCTGAAACTGAAAACGACGGCAGTATCGCTGTTGGTGATCGGAAAAAGGAGAGAAAGAGGTCCAACCGATCTTCGAATGCACCACCACCAGGAGCTACCACGGAAGATCGGATGAGCCATCGCGAGAGAAGAAAAGAAGAAAGGGCTGCTAGTGCCTCCAACCATCAATCGCCGACACCTACTGCGAAAGCTGACGCTACGGATGCTGATACTTTATTCGAAGCAACAGCTGTGGATGCCAACTCGGAAAATCAAGAAGTTGTCGAGCAAATGAGACGGGAGTTTGAGCAAACGGAGAAGAAGCGTCAACAAGAAATTGATGCGCTCAACCAGCGACTTGAAGCAGAGCGAGAAGCAAAAGAAAAAGCAAAAAAGAAGGAAAGAAAACGGATTATTATTGGTGTGGCTTGTTGCATTATTGTTCTCGTCGCCGTCGGAGTTAGTGCCTTCTTTGCTCTGAACAAGGATGGAGCGACCATAACGCAGATATTCGTAACTCAGCTGTACGATCCACCCAGTGAAGCAGAGTGTCGCGCTGTCACCAGGAATGATACCATAGCTGGACAAGAAGCAGACTTGGAAGAAAAAGTTCTTGACATGGCCTTTGATGTGACTGTAGATTCGGGTTGCGAGATTACTACTCCGCAAGTGCAAATTCTCTTGGAGGCTATTCAAGAAAAGCTTCTTCCACCCTTGGCTGGCTGCAACAACGAGATTACCAGTCGTCGTGAGTTGGTAGCTGAGAACGAACAGCCCGAACTTGCCATTGGGGAGAATCGCTTTGTGATTTTGAATGCATTTGTCACGGGTCAGCTCGATCCGGACGTGGTCTGTGGTAAAATTCAAGATGATTCGAACCTGTTCCATCGAATCTCAACGAATTTGGTTCTCACTTTGAAAGGACCTGTCGAGCGGTCGGATCTTGTCCTTCTGACCTTTGATCAAGTCGATGAGTTATTGAACAAAGGAGGACGAGTTGATGATAATTTGAAGGAACCGTTTGGTTTGGACGAGTCATTCTCCAAAGTAGAATTGGTCAAAATCGAAGACCCATATGTATCCTCAGCGGCTCCATCAATCTCTTCATCATCAGAAGTCACATCCGCGCCATCAATGAGACCTACTTTGGCTCCCGTGGTTGGCCCAACACCATCGCCAACTGCAAGAATCCAAACACCACAGCCATCAATGAGACCGACCTTGGCTCCCGTGGTTGGCCCAACACCACCTCCAACTATAAGCCCAACGGCTGTGCCATCTGATCCTCCAAGTCTACGTCCTTCCATCAGCACCTCTTCAGCACCGACACTGGCTCCAGCGGTCGGTCCAACTCTTTCACCCTCGAGTGCACCGTCAACAGTGCCATCAAGATTACCAAGTTTCTCGCCTTCAGCCCTCGCAAGTGAAGGTCCATCTGCCAATCCATCAATTGGGCCAAGCATTGCACCATCTGCCAATCCATCAATCGAACCAAGTATGGCTCCATCGTCCAAGCCATCAATCAAACCAAGTATGGTCGCATCTGCCACTCCATCGACGAAACCGAGCATGGTTCCATCTGTTGCCCCATCAATGAGCCCTTCGCAAACGCCTACAGTAGCATTCACACCACAATGCTTTCAAAGCAGAAGTGAACTGACTACCGAAGTCGACAAATGGTTTGGCACTGCATTGCAAAAGACAGCAGTAGAGAACACCTATGGTCCAATTGGAGATTGGTGTTTTGATTCAGGTGTGACCAATATGTATCGACTCTTCTACCAGCGTTCCACTTTCAATGAAGATATTTCGAACTGGGATGTTTCTTCTGTAACAGATATGTTTGAAATGTTCGCTTCCGCATCATCCTTCAATCAAGACTTGTCATCCTGGGATGTTTCTTCTGTGACAGAGATGGGTTTCATGTTCCATCAAGCATCATCCTTCGATCAGAATCTCTGTCCGTGGGGCTTGCGCCTGCCGGGCAATGCTTATTTTGGATCCATGTTTTCTGGCGCCACCAGCTGCCCTACACAATTCGTTCCCAACCTCTCTGCGAATCCGCGAGGTCCATTTTGTTACCAGTGTCTATAAATGGTAAAATATCTAACCCAACATTCACAGAAGAGTCACAGAGAAAATTGTGGATGTCTATAGATGAGGTGCACTTCAAAGTGCTTACGTGGACCTTTTGACTAAGGCCTAGTTCTGTAGCCAACCGAAGGAGCTTCTACAGTCCCAATACCTTGGGCCTGTTCTATGGGCCGTTTCACTCTTCCCCTCTATGATCAAAGCTTGTCGTATGATCATAGTATTATCATATCATTCCGTATCAAAGTGTAGTCACAAAGGCGCCCTTACATCCACAGTTCATACGAGAGGTGGTTCTTGACGCAACAGGCGATTCAAACTCATCGCTTGCTAGACTCGACGAAACGGCACAAGATGCCGTATATTCAGTCTCTCAAAGACTTGAGGACTCCTGCGAACTTCAACAGTTCCGTTAGCAAACACACGAGTAATTTGATACGGACCTTCCATCTTTGGATTCAATTTACTTGGATTGAAATTCTTGATCAAAACTTCGCCACCAACGTTGTAATTAAACTCCTTTCGTTTAGCATTCTGTCGCCGTAGATTTTTGTTGACCATCAATTGTCTCTTTTCTTGTATACTCAAAAGATCGACGATGACAGGAATGTCGAGCAACATATCACGAGCAAACACTACTTCACCTGGAGTGTTGTTTTTCAAAGACTGAGAAACAGCACATCATCTCATAGCATGATTGCATGCTGCAAGAGCATCATCGACTGCTTGATTAGCTGTCTGAATGTTTCGGGCCATGTTAGTGTTGTTGAATCTTGTTCGTAGAATGCTGACAACAGTCTGATGCATCCGTTCACAGATAGCATTGGCAGTTGGATTCTTGCTTGTCGCCGATTCATCCTGAATTCCCCACTGCTGTAGTTTCAACTGAAAATCGTGACCAATGAGTTTGCCGCCTGGTTTTGGATATCGAGAAAGCCAAAGATTCTCGAAGACATTTGTGACATGGGCTGAAGTTTTGTTCTCAATGCGTGAAAGTTCAGTGAGATTTGTCACGGGATCAATACAAGTGAGCGCATTGAATTCAATGTCTATACCGTTGACCTTGATTTTCCAAGGTCCAATCAAATCCACAGCCACAGAAAACCACGGGACCAAGTCTGCGTGTCTTTCAGGCAGATGTCCGTATTGAATGTTCACGTTTTTATTCACTTGGCAAACTTCACATCTGAGGGATTCAACTTTTCTTTTCAAAGCAGGAGCATAGAACCGTCGGACGATTGTATTGTACAAAGAGGTAGTACCTTGATGTCCAAGTACCAAATGATACCATACAATCACTGGAGCAACCAAAGTTTCAGGCAAGTGAATTCTCCATTCGTTAGGTTTATTCAAATCTGCACGGTATCAGATCACATTCCGATTGTCAATTTGCATGATGGGATATTGAGCCCAAGTTGCTGCGTTTTGCGATTTTTGAATGAGGGCAACATCTTGGAGCTGATGTTGTTGAATGTTTGCCATCGTGATTGGATTTGGCATAACTTCCAATGGAGGATGATTGAGAAACGATTCAAGCATCTCATCACTTTTGATAGCGCCATGTCCATGATCACCATCTCGACAACAAGCAAACATGCATCTGAAGGTACGATTGAATTCCGCTTCAGATGGAGGAGGAAGAAGAACTTCTTCTTCGAAAGAATACATTTCATCCTTGGGATCCATTTTGACATTGAGTTTGTCAAATGCGATCAATTTACCTTTAGAAAGCGAACTCTTCCCCTCAGACGGTTTCTCCATTTGCGGTAAACGCAAGAAACAGTCGGCCAAAACATTATCTTTACCAGGCAAATAGCTAAACGTAGGCGAGAATTCGTCCATGTACATTCGCCAGCGTAAAACGCGTTGTGTATTCAATGTGCGGAAGGTGAGATTTTTGTGATCTCTAAAAATAGTCAATTGCGTACCGTAAAGCATTGAGCGAAACTCTTTCAAGCAATGCACAATAGCCAACATTTCTTTTTCCATGACAGAATAATTCTTTTGCGCATCATTGAGTTTGCGACTCCAGTACGCCACTGGCTTTTTGTCTTGCATGATCACGGCGCCCATTTGATAGTCCAAAGCATCAGTATAGAGCTCAAAGGGCTTGTTGTGATCGGGATACCGCATTAAAATATCACTAGCCATCAAAGATTTCATTGTTTGGAAAGCTTTTTCACATTTGTCTGTCCATTGAAATGTGCGTGTTCCAGTGAGAGCTGTCAACGGTTGTAAAAGGTGAGAACGTTGGGGCCACATGTGACGATAGTAGGTCACAGCACCCAAGAAAGCTCATAGTTCAGTAATGTTGCGAGGTGCATTCATTTTGAGGATGGCATCAACCTTTTTCTTCCAAGGTTTGACATCGGTTTCTTGAACACACCATTCACATTTCAAAGGATTAATCTTGAAACCTGCCTCTTGAAGTCGTTCGACAACAGTCTTGATCAATTCCATATGTTCTTCATAAGAGTTAGAAAAGAGTCCAACATCGTCGATGTAGACTTCAACACCTTGTTCTTTCAAACCATGTAATGTCTTCTCAATGTAGTATTGAGCAACATCAGGAGCTGGTTTCAATCCCATCACCATTCGTTGGTACTGATATTTTCCATATGGGGTGACGATTGTGCACAATTCCTTGCTTTCATCATCAAGCTAAAAAATATAATACATCATTGTGATATTGAGTTTGGTAAAGAATTTGTAGCCAGCATGACAAGAGACAACTTCATCAATCAATGGCAAAGGATACACTTTACGTTTGAGAACCTTGTTGAGCTCGCGAAGATCACTGATCCATCGTACTCTTCCATCCTTTTTTGGAATAATGAATGTACGAGAGGCCCATGCAGTTGGACCACATTGCTTGAGTACGTTGATCGATTCCAAATGCTGAAGTTCCTTGAGAAAAGCGTGTTGGTGTTTCACAGGAACGGAATAGGCTTTAGAATGAATTGGTACGGCACCGTCTTCAACTTCCAAATGGATCTTGTCGTGTTTGTAGTGTCCAAGGTTGCCATCGAAAAGCTCTTGTGTATGTTCCAATGCAGTTGCCAATTGATCTTGTTGTTGTTTTGTTCGGTGCCATTGCTTTTGATGTGCGGAAATGGTGGCTCTTTATTCTTTCCTTTTGCGAGCTCATTTACTTGATGAAGAAAGGCAGGATTGGAGTACAGAGGTTGATCCTGACAGTATCGAGGCACATACTCCCAACAACAATCAACTTCAGTGTCATCGTTCTCCATCTGCTGAAACTTGTGCTCCCTTTGCACCTCACAGAGTTAGGGAATCTGCCATTTCTGGTCGCATTCCAGTATTGGCGAAGTGGCACACAAGACAATGGAACATTTCAATCAAGCTCTCTAGACATTTAGAAAGCCATTTGATTAATTGGATGAGTGCCTTCTTCCCTTGTTGGATGCCTCTGTACATCTCAATTCCTTCTGGATCTTGGATGTGGTTGGCATGCTGTCCATTATTGGCAAGTTGCTCTCTGAACTTCTGTAAAGAAGACGTGACAAGGTCTTCAGCTTGTGGAATTGCCTTGAGAAAGTCAAGAAGCCAGGCTTCACATTCATTCAAGTTTCAGTCAACTTGGTCTCCATTTGGAATCTCCTTTCTTAGGTATTTGGTGTAGTTCCTTTTCCAGTTTTTCGAGTGAGTCTTAATTCATCCAATACTTCTTGAGTGTATGTTTTGCCATTTTTATCCGTAATATGTCCATCCTTGAATGCATTCATCAACGCACTCAGATCATCTTGAATACAATTATAGATTACCCTTTGGAATCTCTCTTTGATCCGCTAGAAATGTTTGTGCTGCAAATTTAGATGCTTCATGAGTCACTGATTGAAATGGAACAGACCCAATGCTCCTTCTGTGTTTGGTCCAAGGCGTTTCTCCCAGTAGTCCTTGCTGTTTGGCCATGTATCTGTGTAGAGTCCGCGGGGTTTGCCATCGTTGAAGTCCATCCCTTTCCATTTCAGCAACTTGTTCAGCATTTGATCAATTTCACAAAGTTTCTGTGTTGGAACAATGAACAAGCTGCAAATTTGTGCCTTCTCATTCAAGACAGTGAAGAAGGCTTTGCCACCTTCAATTACAAGAAGCTCATCAATTGTTGCTTGAATAATTCGTTTGTTTTGATCATTTGCTGCCATTCCTTCTGGATTGAGAGTTGAATCCTGTGCCTGCAAGTATAGGTCCCGGCAATCTTGATTGGATGGCGCATATGTTTGAACCACCTGCTGTAATTCTGGATAGGAGCCGCCAATGTTTGGCCAACTGAGATAGTCTTCAATTCTATCAAGATAGAATTGGTGCTTTCTTCAAACATCTTCAAAACAAATTGGTGTGCGTTGGAATGTGTCAGCATTTCTTCTTCCAATATTCAACTTGCCAATTTAGAGAGATGACAGTGATTCCCCTTCTTTGAGTATCACGGGTCCACTGGGTATTGGTTGCAAATGAAAGCTGGATGGTTCCCTTATTAGTCTCAAACTCATGCCTGCATCTGTTGCATTTGTATTTGAAAGGGCAACACCAGGTCTCATTTGGGTCAGTAGTAACAATTCAAAGAAGAGTCTTGTTTTGACTGAAACAGTCACGTTTTCCAAGTAAAATCCTTGGATTTGCAGTTGCAACAAAGGATATGAAAGTCTGGAAATGCAAGTTCCAAGCCGGGGAGGGATCCCACTCCAACTAATTTGAGTCAGTTTGGGGGAAAGGGATGTCTGCTCTGGTCTTTGTCCGCTCACACTTGCCTAATCTAAATCTAATATGCGTGCTCCATAGCATGGTGATGTTCCCACAAGAGGGAGTGTTGAGGTAGATTCAGGACAGACAGATATCATCATCCGTTAAGGACCGCCTTTTGGCCGAGTGACCAGAGTCCGCCAATACCTCATGTGCAACCAGTTCAGAACCAGCCTCAGGAAGTTCTGAATGTTCAAGATGATCCAAATGAGGTTGCCAATGACCCCTAAGAAGCAATCAAAGCTGGTGACAATGACAACGTTGATGATGACTTGTCAGTTCCAGAGGGAGTAGCTGAAGATGAGAATGTTCAACAGGAAGAAGAATCAAATGTTCCTAAAGACGTTCCTATTTCTAATCAAACTACAGAAGATGAAGAACAAGAAGAAGATGAAACTCTTAGTGGAACTTTACAAAACCTACAAGAACAAGCTCCTTTGCGAAATGGAAGACGCCAATTCAGGCCAAGGAAATATGGCCTACATGCTCTAACTCAAGATGTGAGACACACCACCATCAATCAGGGTTTTTCCGCTTCTCAAAATCAATGAGTCTGTTGAGACACTTCGTTCCAACGAATTCGCCAAGATGTGGGCACTCACCACCAACTTTGACCAGGATTCAGAGACCTGTGAATGGCTCCATCCAATGATCCTGGCCGCCAAAGCCAATTCCGAAGATAATCCAGGTTGGGAAGAAGCTATGAACGGTCCTCTAGCCAATGGTTATATGGAAGCAGCAATGAAGGAGATCAGGACCCTACAGCAAATGGAGGTCTGGGAAGTTGTTCCCCGACTTCAATCAATGAATGTCCTTCCCTCAACATCGGCATTCAAATGTAAAAGATATCCAGATGGGAAAGCTCAAAAATTGAAAGGACGATTCTGTGTGAGAGGTGATTGACAGAAAGATGGGATCAATTACGATTCCAATGCAATATTCTCACCTGTCCAATGAAATATTTTCACCTGTCGTCTCTTGGCAGACAGTCTACCTCCTCTTAATTCTATCCCTCATACTGGGACTCAAAACTAAACAAGTTGATTACACCGCTGCCTTCATTCATGCACCCATCGGAGACAAGGAAGTCTTCTGTGAAATGCCCCGAGGCTTTGCCAAAGAAGGAAAGGGATTGAAACTCAAGAAAAGTCTCTATGGGCTCAAGCAATCGCCCTTTAATTTCTTCATTTTCATCAAAGGGAAGCTGAAAAATGCAGGATTCGAATCTCAAGTAGAAGTTGATCCATGTCTCTTTATTTCAGACAAAGTTATCTGCATCATTTACGTCAATGACACTTTGTTCTTCAGTCCTAAAGAAGAGTACATAAACAAAGCAATTGGGAGTTTGAAAGGTCAATGTGTTGCAGTGGAAATTGAAGATTCTGTTGCTGGATTTCTTGGAGTCCATATTGAACGCAACAAATCCAACAAGGCGATCAAACTTACGCAAAAAGGACTAACCGAACGGATCATTTAAGCCTTCGATATTGATCACGAACCTCAGAAGCACACTCCTGCGTTGATCCTGCAAATGGGAGTTTCTCATATGCAAGCGTGATTGGAATGGCCTTGTATCTGTGTGGACATTCTCGTCCGGACATTGAATTTGCCGTGTCTCAATGTGCACGATTCATCCACGGGACTATGCGCTTCCACCAAAAAGCGCTCATCACAATTGGGCAATATTTGAAATCATCAGTAAACGAAGGCCTGATCTTGCAACCGACTGATTCATTTGACATTGAATGTCATGTCGATGCGGATTTTGCCGGTCTTTATTCAGTTGAAGACGTTATGGATCCTACATGCGTCAAGTCAAGAACTGGATACGTCATCTCAGTCTGTGGATGCCCTGTCGTTTGGGTGTCAAGACTACAAACCGACATTGCCACTGCCACAATGGAAGCGGAATACAATGCACTGTAAAAGCCATCCAATCAGTAGAGTTTGCACATTCATCAAAACAGTCAGTGCCGTTACTACTATTTATTCTACTCTTCAAAATCTAGCTGTTGGCACGCATAATATACAGATTGCAGCCTTTTTTTATATTGATTGGTTCATCCAAGATGACGTATGAATAGGATTCTTTTTTTGAAGACAATCACAATGGATGCAAAATGGAACATAAACTTGACTCTATTGTGTAGCTCAATGCTCAATGTTATTATTGCGTTCTTATTCTAACATACAAAATGAACTATAAGTCAAAGCACTTTTAACAAATTAAATCAGTTCTTTAGTCCTACTCTTAATGTTTTTAAAAAAAGTCTATTCTTCAAAATCGATTGGCCCGTATCCAGCACTCGCGACCTTTTCCGCAGTGCGAGTGGCCCAGCCACCAGACTGTTGTCCAGGTTGTGTCGGGTGTTCAAATTTGTAGGCTGCAACTCCATTTTCAGGTTTGTTCACTGAGACCTTGACTCGGAACAAATGGTTCGACGATTGTCCCATGAGCGTCCACACTGGATTCTCTGGTTGGGGACTGTTGGAAGTATCCCAAGCTCGGACCCAGATTTCATCTTGCAAATTGGCACAATCCAATTCAAAGGACCACATGACCCAGCACCAAGTTTTACCGTAGGGGTTTGGCTTTTCGGTCCGATGAATTTCGGCCAAATCCCACCATTCTCCTTTGGTAGTAGAGATTTCGACCCTTGTGACGGGACGACCACCTCCGGCATGGGCGTAGCCACGAAGCGTCAAGGTGGAATCAATGTATTCATTCACTGGTAAAGATTCACCGTGATTGGGGTAGGTAATGACCGAATTCAAACTAAGTTCATTGATAATGTATTCTTGTTTGTACCACCATCCCTCACGGGCAGCACGTTCGGCCGTGATTTGGGGCGGCAGATATTTGTTGTCCCAATAGTGATAATGGTTGTGCGTTTCGTGGGGAAGGACATTAATTTTGGACAGCCACTTGATCATGCGTCCTCCAATGTATCCAGGGATGATCAACCGACAAGGGTATCCACGATCCGGATGCAATCGGTCGCCGTTGCACTGAAAGGCAATCATGACTTCGTCCGCCATGCTCATGGCCTTTTCAAGAGGAATACTGGTGCCGTATTTGCATTTTTCGCCCCACGGTTCGTCCGGAAAGGGACCGACATCACCGGCCTTGTTGGGCAAGTCTTCGGTACCGATGAATTCGACGAAACGCCCAGCGGTATCCGAGGGATCCAAACCCGCATGAATCAAAAGGTCTCGCAAAAGCACACCGCGGTAGATACAAGTAGCTACCGCACCAATGCCCCAATTGAATCCAATGGTCTGCTTGATCATGTTCATTTCCTTGCGACGGTTTCCACAGCATGAAATGGTCACGGGGAATTCGGTTTGTGGGAAATCTTTGGTCAGTTGGTCCATACTCAGCTCAAAAGAATTGGCCACCAAGGGTCCACCAATCGACAATTTGTGAGTCTCCCACTTGAGTTGTGGAACGGCACCGTGATTTCGGATAATGTGCAGATTGGGCGGAGTGAAGAATCCTTCCTTGTTCATTTCATCGACGGGAGTCTCACTATTGAAAGGGTGACGACCTGTCAAACGAACCATGCGTCCATCCCTTGGAATCCAATCGTCAGGCGTTTTCTCGTCCCGGAAATCGTTGGGCATGTCGATCCAATGTTTGGCTTTGGATTTGTCCACGGCATCTCCTTCGCGTCCTTCGTTGCGTGAATTCTTCCAGGGTGTCATGGTATTCTAGTAGTATTGTAAATTGGAGAGCAAGGAACAAGAAAGCAATCAATCGTCAATCGACGGATGGATGGATGGATGGATCATCACAGGAAGATAAGATTTGATGCGTTGGTGGGAGAGAAAAAGAGAGATGAATTGGTGTGAGTTGAGTTGAGTTGAGTTGAGTTGAGTTGGATTGAAATGAAATGAATGATGCAAACAGTCTCCCATTAATAAACTTACACCTTTGTAGGCTCCGTAAACGTTAACTCCACGAATGGATCTCGTCTTGACACCATCACTGCCACTTCCCATTGTTGTTGTTGTTGTTGTTGTTGTTGCTGTTGCTGTTTTGCGTGTATTATTATAAATGATGTAGAGGAGAAGCTCTTTTGGTTTCGGACAAATATACCGGTATTGATAGAACACAGAAGCTTCACCTATTGTGTGCGATGATGTGTTTGATCGTTTCCTATTGGGTGGAAGGGTGATGCCGAGCAGAACTTCCTTCCTATCCTCAAACTGCCCGAAGCAAATGACTCATTCGACATCAATCGGACACCCATCATCCGAACGGACGTCGTCAAAAGACCGATAATGGTCCGTCACGTTCGTGTGCTTATTTATTTATCACTCGCTGTGATATATATTTAATTCATATGCTGCCGCGCACCTATATTGTCATCATTATAAACAGCATGATGATGACAGCGAGATATGCACCGCATGAGATGCAACAAAAAGTCTATACTCTAGTTTGAACATTGAGCAACCAAAACACTACAGATCTCAGCGCTGTAGAGTAGAAAATTGTATTTCCGCTCACGGCAGTCCAACAACAACGACAACGACAACGACAACATTTCAACCACCAGGCGTCTCCCATCTCGCATCAACAACATAGTAGGTTTTCGACATCGACAAAGAAAAGCAAAAACTGTTGGCACCACGGTCATGGGGACGCACTCCTCCTCTTATGCCTGCTGGGCTTCTCTTGGATGACAGGATTCAGGAATACTGAAAATAATGATAGCAGTGCCTAATAACCCAGACAATACCAAACTTAAAATTAGATACGGGAAGGAAACAAGAAGTCAGACGAAGCTTCTGATCATGCTGGTGCCGGTGAAGGTCTATCATCTGCGAAAGCCAACAATTGCTATGAATGCGAAACTGCAAGTTCACAGCTGGCCGACGACTCTATGATCTGTCAATGGGCACTTATTGGGACATTGGAGATGCTTTAGAATGCATGAAAACATACAAGCGTAAAGTGGAAAATATGCTCGGAGACATGTGTATTGGAAGCAAAAAGAATGACTTGGATACGAACGGGGGCAGCCATGAAGAAGATAGACCATGAGACCATCATCGTGGCGGAGAAACGTGAATCGGAGTGAGATGTTGCTTCGGGGTAATGCAATAGACAGAAGCGCACAATAATACTTCTTTTCGAAAACGACAGTGGTCTTGAATATACGAGGTATTCATCCATCAGATTTTCTTTCATTTCTTTCTTTGGAATCGAACACTGTGCGATGGAATAAGGCGTTGGATACATCGACTTTATCAGAATGTGTCGAATTTGGTTTCGCCTCCTGTCGCCTGTTCTTGACAACGTTTGTTGTTTAGCTCTAATATCAGCACCTTTGTCGAGAAGCCAAGTTAACTGTCAGGGGATGGAGGCCCCTGTAGTGTGGGTGAATCAGATTTACATGATAGTACATTCCTCGATTTATGAGAGATATATTACTAAGCTGGTGGTGATATTTGGGTAATCTAGCTAGATGCCCTCAGACACCACGGTGTTGTGGGATGGTAGCATTAGTGTTTGGTTGATTTAGCTCACTATTCCGAATGCAAATGAATGGCTCTGAAAACAATACTCATATATATTTATATATCTGCTCTTATCTGTCATCATTCAATAATTGACAAATGGATGGACATCACTCAAACTCTCTCATCGCTGGTATACTCACTGAATTAGAACAACTGACAAAGAACTTATTGTGCCAATCGCCGGCTCTTCTTGGAAGACTTTGAGCTTCCCTTGGATGAGCTAGCAACTGGGGTTACGGGAGTTGTTGGGCATGGTTCATATGTGCCTGGCAAGATCACCTTGTCGATTCCATGAATGATACCACCTTCTCCGATAATGTCGGGTTGAATGACGGTAGAGTCATTGACCATGACCATACCATCCTTGACCATGACACGGATATTAGCGCCAGATAAGGTCATCAATTCAACACATCCAGCATCAATGACAGCTTCTGCAGTATAAACGTCTGCAACAACGTGGCTCGCCAAAACAGTTGCAAGAGTGCTTTGGTCTAGTTCAGCAACGGTCGAAGCAATCTCAGCAAACGCAGCATCGGTTGGAGCAAAGATGGCTGTGATACAAGATCGAAATGGTAACTGAAATGAGAAATGGCAATTTTTTTGGAGTTCAGTTTCAAGGTAGATATGATACTTACTGACGGGGAAGTTGGATGTGATGGCATCCAGGACTCCAGGTGTTCCAGTGACAGCACCGAGAAGTGTTCCGTACTTTCCATCTGCGGAAGCAAGATCAATGATGGATTGTGAAGCGACAGGGGTGACAGCAGCGGCAAGGAAAGAAAAGGTGGCAAGGAACTTCATGATTGATGCGGATGAGATGTTAGTCTTGAAAGATATGTGTTGAAAAAGTTGGATCGATTTTGTGAGAGCTGTATAGTCAATTCAAAGATTTTGTGAGAAGACTGACGAATTCTATGACGTGGCTTTTGTCACGAGAATTGTCACGAGAATTTTCCGATTTTTCCAATTTCGCACGATTCCGCGTGATATATATACAAATTTCAAAGTTTGTCACGAAGATTCTTCGACGCAATCGAATCCGTACACGTGTACATAACAAAAATCAAATTTTGATGGGAATCTTTGGTATCTTTTGATGATGATGACTCACACCGCAAGCCCAAGCACAAATACGCTTTGCCCCTACCGGTGCCGGTACTATACTGGAGTAAAAATCGAACCCTTTTCAGCACCACATCAGCGTGAACACCAAACGACCTTCCTATCTGCAGTTTGGCACGACCACAATGAACGAGATGGTGTTCTTGGATCAGTCCGTCAAAAAGGCTTGGAATTTTCCGATCTTTTGTCACCCTTCCTTGATGACATCTTCCATCCATGTTTAACACGACAAGAAGATCATTTCATATCTAAAACACAATCATTCATTCTTGCTACAATCAACCAACTTTGGAATCAGCACATCCTGGCGAACAGACAGGAGATGATGGAATTGACGACTGAACTGACTAGGAACTATCTGCCACCAGGACAATGTTGGACGACGGAAGCTACCAGTGCTAGGGGACCAGCTCGTCCATTCGTCCCAGAATGAAACAGAAAACCAGGAACGGCAGAGTGGCCGTGGCTACTGGAATTCAGCGTGGCTTGACAAGGTACTTTCGGGTAAGATTTGATTCATTCGCTTTGGCCCCATGCAGCCGTATGTATGTATGTATGCTCATCTCATCTCGACAAAAAATCGAGTCACAATAAGGCCGTTTGGACGTCAACTAGCACTACTGTAGCTTTATTCAATTCTATCCTCCAAACTTTACTAAATGATCGCACATTTCTCGAGCAACAGGGAACTCATCCTTGTAATACTTCCACCAGGTCGTATACTTCCATTTCTTGGCCTTTTGCTTTCCATCTAGCTTTCCATTATGGTGGATACTCATGTTGTAACCATGCATCCGCATATCCCATGCTTTGTCAGGATTTTCAAACGCCGCTGGGACTGTGACGGCAATTTGATCGTCCCATTCTCGACTGAACGGATGGGTATTGTGCTGGGTCAATAGGCGCTGGAACTCCATGTGTACCGGCTTTCGGTAGATATCCATATTCGTAATGTGCATCATTCCATGGACGAGACCTATATATGTATAAATTGTTAGATGCAGTCGAGGGTTCGTTGGCCAATGAGCTAGTAGCGCAGAGCCTGTATAGTTAACAAGTAAAAAAGACGTACCGAATTTGTCCAGGACATAGTTCCCCTTCTTGTTCTTCTTACACGGCCGAACCACAAATTTCCCCGTTTGATTTCCCTTGAACACATGGACTCTGTGAATGTAGCAGTATGTTTTATTGTAGGCCAGTTGCATTTTTTCAATGATGCCACCCGATTTGCAAAAGCCGGCTGGGAAGTTGTCATAAAAGATGACCAGGTCTTCTTCTACCATTGGCTTTAAGGGATCTTTCAGCCACGGCTTGGTTGGAATGGCATCATCATCAATCCAAACCATGTACTTGTAGTCTGCCAAGGCCGGGTGCGTCCAAATATTGTAGGATCGAAAAACTGCTTGCCAAGCGTAACTGAGCGTAACCCATCCGGTCTTCTGTTCGTAACTGGATTCGCAACGAGAATAAATGAAAGAAGGAGTGAGTAAATAATAATTATAAAATACAATAATTCGTGTGCAATCATTGTGCCCACTATCAACAACATTTCCAAAAAAAGATGTCTTCAATACTTACCACCAGAATCCCCAATCAATCTTCTTTTTTCGGTCTTTGCAGCAATTCTCTTTGTCTTTTGGATGACAACACTGGCAGCGTTCAATCAAATATTCTTGTTCTTCCTTTGAGAAATTCCCCACGACTTCTTCCAAAGGCGGTGAATCTTGCACAAATGTGACTGTCCCTGGGTATGCCACCGCTCTAGCTTCTGCCACTTGCTCGGCGGTCACTGGAATGGTATGGAAAATTACCCATGGGTAGTTCCGTCGGTAATTGTACGCGGCCTTTTGCAAACAAATCATTTGATTCAAGGACTGGCGACCCGCATAATGGACCTTTGTGGCCAGTACCACCTTATCATAAACATTTACCGAGGGTGGATCTTGCCAACCGTCCTCCTTGGCAGCCTCCTTTTGCCACAAAGGCAATCGACGATCCATTTCGGCTTGAAATGTCGAAATATCCACAGTTGCCTCCAAACCACTACTATTATAAGGCATTTGCGGAGTGGTGTCAATAGCAGAATTCGTCGTCAGCTGGGGTGCCATGGTCTCGAGTGAAATAGCGGATGCCTCTTGTTTTTCATTCGATTCATCTTCGTCTTGTAGCTTCGATGATTGCTGCTCAATAGTTTCATCGACTTTGTCGTTCTCGTCGCCACTCGACTCGTCCTTCTGCTTGTTTTTTGTCTCGTCAGCTCCATCATTGTCATCAGATGATTCATCCGTTGATTCGGCATCTTTTGGTTGTGCAATGATGGGTTTTTTTTCATCCGTTGATTCGTCATCTTTTGGTGTTGGAACGGCGGGTGCTGCTGATGATGTTCTTGCTGGTATATTTGGTGCGGACGAGGCCTCCAATTCTCGTATCGTAGTAGTACTGCTGGGATCCTGTAGCCTTGGCAAGTTGTACATGTGGGCGTGTTCTTCTTCAAAGGCAGTAGCAGACATGGAACCATGCGGATCCACAGAAAACAGCGTCCATTGTCGCCCAAAAAAGACCCCCAGTATCAGAACAATGGCATATCGAGACAAGGATGAGGCTCCTTGATTATTCAGCTGCGACTTTGGTTTTGTTGTTGGTGGTGTTCGTGGTGGCATTTTATTGTATATCGTTCACCGAGAATACTGAATTGAATACTGAATTGCTTCGTTGTGAATAAGTGCTGGGGTCTGCGGTCTAAATTATAATAACAATGCCCTCCTTGGTGCAGCTACTGTAGCTACAATCAATCTCTGTCGTGGATGATTGATTGATTCTGACCTGCCGCAAACTTATAGATCAGTGTAGGTCTCAATCGTGAAAGTGCTAGTTATTTTCCTGGCAGTTATTGGTATTAGTTTGAGCTGTTGTTGACGTTCCACGATCAGCACGCATCACAGTTTGATATATGCAATATTATGGATTTCGATGATGATGATGATGATGTGAATAATCAAAGTCTCACGGTTTTTTTTTGGATGACCGCGATCTAATCTGCTAATCATGACAGTCGAACCAATAGTGGTCGAACGGGTCTATTTGTCCACGTCCAACGTCGCGTCCGTCCGGCGTCGAAAGTGAATGAATCATTGAATGAATCAATCGCAATTCTATTACTGTACGTATTTGAAAGAATTTCAATCTCATCGCGTGCGTCTCATCATCATCATCATCATCATCATCTCATATATGTCGTCGTATAATATGGCATCGCATCTCAACTTCAATACACAAAATATAATTACAGTTTGCTCGTGCAAACACATATCGTTCTAATGCCCGTTAATACAGTAATACACAACCTCTGATTGATGGCAGTGGAGATACTTGCTATACAGTGATTTGTCCATCGCAGATTATAGTCTTCCGATTCGACAAACAATCAGAGCAAAACCCGATCATCATCATCATCATCATCATCATCATGTGCGATTCAAATATCACGTCACACCTCTGCAAACGAGACGACTATAGTGCCGGATCATTCGAGGCAATCAAGCATGCGCATCCATCGCTACATGACAACAGCAACGACGGGATTACTACATACTGGCTGTATTCTACTTCGTTGTCAGACTCTTTTTTTTATTAAATATCAGACACAAAAGGTTATTGTTTTATTCAAATCGATGAAACAATATATGAGGATTTTGCAGACACCGTTTCAGGAAACCTTATTTGGGAAACCAAACATGAAAATGATTATATATCGCATATCACATCGCAACGGACCGTACCGATGGTATAATCGTCCAATACTACAATAGAATACAACAGAAACAACGAGGACTATCTATCTACATATATAAATATTATATATATAGACTTGAATACGGTTTCATAGTAACTTGATTTTTTACACTCTTTCATCATATGTAACAAATATTATTCATTCTCGTTCTGTAGCTTCTGCCAAGCATACATATTATACATATTCAATATATATGGATTTTGAAATGCATGTCGCTCGATCTTGTCCGTGCTTATAGGACACGACGAGAAGAGGAAGACTTGGAGCTGCTGGCAGACTTGACAGAAGAAGAAGATCCAGTGGTAGGGGTGGCGACGGGTGTCACAACCATGACTGGAACCGCAACAGGGGAAGCGGTTTGAAGCTTTCTGCGAGAAGAGGAGGACTTGGAACTGCTGGCAGACTTGACGGAAGAAGACGACCCGGTAGTTGGGGTGGCGACAGGTGTCATGACGGTCATCACAGGGACAGCGACAGGGGCAGCGGTCTGAAGAAGACGGTTCTCGGCTTGGGCAGAAGCGGCAAGGGCGGCGATAAGGACGGCAACGAATTTGTTCATCTTGATTATTTTGTTGATTGCTTTGTCTTGATTCTTTTTCCTGTCAAAAGAAAATTGTGAGTGAGAAAAGTGTTGAGTTTCCATGAATGTTCAAACCTGGAAGCCATCGGCTTGCGATCCAACGCATCCAATACTTCGCTTTTTCCATCCTCAGCGCGCACCTCCAGTGAGACCATCCACCCATGATACACCCAAAAGGTTATATATCGTCCAACACCAGCACAACAAATGGCAATAAAAAATAACAGCAGTTTTTTCGATAACTTGATTCTATACACTCTTTAACAAATATTCAATCTCTTTCTGCAGTTGCTGGAAAAACATATATCATGTAGGTAAACCCAGTGCTTACAAGACACGACGAGAAGAGGAAGACTTGGAACTGCTGGCAGACTTGACAGAAGAAGAAGATCCAGTGGTTGGGGTGGCGACGGGAGTCACAACCATGACTGGAACCGCAACAGGGGAAGCGGTTTGAAGCTTTCTGCGAGAAGAGGAGGACTTGGAACTGCTGGCAGACTTGACGGAAGAAGACGACCCGGTAGTTGGGGTGGCGACAGGTGTCATGACGGTCATCACAGGGACAGCGACAGGGGCAGCGGTCTGAAGAAGACGGTTCTCGGCTTGGGCAGAAGCGGCAAGGGCGGCGATAAGGACGGCAACGAATTTGTTCATCTTGATTGTTTTGTTTTGTTTTTTACTGCTTTGTGTGCGGAAAGAAATTTGTGAGACATATCTGTGTTTTGGTTCCCAAAGGAAACAAAGGCAACCCAACGGTCGAAAATACACGTGCAGGTAAGTGCACCATGTCGTCCGCGACCTCGAAGTGCACCTTATTTTCTGCTTGTGGTAATAAATACACGTAGCTGAGGTTTTTGCGGACTATGATTCAACGCTTGAAAACAGAAAATTAGCGAACTGAATTCTCGCCAAGAATCGAGTAGCACAACGAGTAGAGAAAGTAGCCGTTGAGTTTGATTTTTTACATAATGATTGCGGTATTTTTCAGAAGGTGGCACACTTGAGCGAGCACCTCCCTACGTTGGATCATCGCTCATGTTGAAGAAAATGCGACGTCATTGAAAGCTACTAAGTGGTGATGAATCAAAGGCGAGCTGGGGTACTCTTCAACGACTGACATGCGACGTCAATACGATAAATGTGTGTTGCACCTTTGTATCTTTGATACACTTCCATGTGGCGCGCGAGACATCATGGATAGATTTCAACATTGATAGCCTCCTAGTGCCGAAGCTGAATGCAAATGGTCGATGATATTATGTTGACATGTTTCAGAAAAGTAAAGAAAGCGGCAAAGCTTCAAAAAATTCGGTCTCGACTCTATTCCTTTAAGGCATATTCTGTTACGAAGAAGAAAACATTCAGTGGGGCCATGCTTTCCACCAGCAAGTAGATGGTGCTCAATGTGTTCTAGTTCTGTAGTTGTATCATTGCGTGAAATATAGTTGGCGATGGTAATGGTGACAAGAGTTCAATAATGAACGAGAAGAAGCATAAAATCTACAAGCACCAGTGAGGATATTGCTGAATACCTCTTCAATGATGGGTTGGTGGTTGTTTGGTATCACTGTTGTGGATTTGACTTGGGGCCCTATCTCTTAACGATGAAGCTGAAGGTAGTGAAGAGAGTCTATTCTCTTTGCCTCGAGCTGCCTTCTCTTTGACTCTAGACTCTTCCTTCTTTGAGCCGCATTAGTATCGCAATTTGAACTTGATGTTGTGAAAGTTTGAACCAGATTGGGTTCTAGAAGGATTGGAACAAGACTTGCTAGATACTCCGGGTCAATATTAGCGCAATGGTTAATCTACAGCTTACAATCAAACTCGTGATACAGCACAACGAGTTATATGAGGTATCCCAAGTCAGAATACTACGAAGTTGCTCCGATCCTACATGTGAAATCAATTTTCAGCTGCTGAAGATCGATGGTGGCCACTACGCACCCAGATAGCTAGCTAGCGTGGGTTTCCCGGCCCCAAGCTGCCAATTCCAAGTATAAACACATAATCAGTTCTCCATGATCAACCACTGGGATTTGTTGCCTTTTTGAAAGTCGTCTGGTTCGAGAAGTTTCCAATTTACCACCGTCGTCGAAGAAAAGCAAATAAAATAGCTGCTCGTGCGTCCGATTGAGTGCATCAAGAGAATTAATGGCAGTAACATGGCGCTGTGCAACTCTTTCTTCATTGCATCATGTGCTGGACAGGACTTGTCTCCTTAATTGAGGCTTCCAATTGCTTTATGTGTAGTTTTTCAAATATACCATCTTGAACTCCAATCGTGATCCTGGGTGCATTTCTGTCTTCATCCTTACGCTTATCGGCATGTGTCCAAGACGGCATCATCGCGTCCTTCATCATTTACTCCAACACCGTGAAGAAAGGAAGATCAAATTTCATGATCCGTTTCATATTGCAGGTATCGACACAACTTTGTTACTTGAAATGATTTTCCTTCTTGCTACTTTTTGTTGGATTCTTATTCTTGTTGTAGAAGTAAGATACGGACTTGACGCGATGATGAATGCCTGTATTAAGATAAGATTCGATCGAAGAGACGTTGGAGATATCAAGGAAAAGAAGATACCAGCAGCCCGTTGCCTTGTGAGGATCTTTCTTTTTTATCTTCTTTTTCGTTCCGATTCCAGAGAACTTTTTGGCTGCATTGCTGCCTCAATTCGACGATTGAGTTGTATTTATCGGGATATGTAGCATGAAACTCTGATCCACTTGTTGTTACACATGTCTAACCTTGGCGAATTGAGTTCTGACGAAGCACCATGGTTGATGACGGATTCTTTGTTGAACGTATCTTTCAGTCACTGTATGATTTTTGAAAGTCGGGCTAGTCGAAAATCCTGTTCGACACACTCGAATATCAGCGAACGTGCGGCTTCGCTAATTTTTACGTTTCGTGCGTTGAATTTAGTCCGCAAAAGACTCCGAACACGTGCATTTGTGTAGGAACTACCTGTAACAAGACGAAATTACTGTGCGTTAGGTGGTCGCGGACGACCTCTGTTTGCTATGTGAGCGAGAATTGCTACCGTTGAGTCGCTCAGTTTTGGCAGGTTTCGAGATCTGGACCAAACCACACATCAATCTCACAATTTACTTTCAGCAAGACAAAAGCAATCAACAAAACAATCAAGATGAACAAATTCGTTGCCGTCCTTATCGCCGCCCTTGCCGCTTCTGCCCAAGCCGAGAACCGTCTTCTTCAGACCGCTGCCCCTGTCGCTGTCCCTGTGATGACCGTCATGACACCTGTCGCCACCCCAACTACCGGGTCGTCTTCTTCCGTCAAGTCTGCCAGCAGTTCCAAGTCCTCCTCTTCTCGCAGAAAGCTTCAAACCGCTTCCCCTGTTGCGGTTCCAGTCATGGTTGTGACACCCGTCGCCACCCCAACCACTGGATCTTCTTCTTCTGTCAAGTCTGCCAGCAGCTCCAAGTCTTCCTCTTCTCGTCGTGTCTTGTAAATTGATTGATGAAATTCAAATCCCATCATAATTTTACAACGAGGAAAATCTACGAGAGGTTCGTCTCAGTTGAATATGCAGCCGCAAATAGTTTAATAAGTTAAAGTTGAAATGTACATGTCAAACAAACAAACAAATCTGCTACTTTTTCTATTGCATTGTGTACTATTTGCGCTTTCAACAGTCGTAGCTTTCGCCACCCTTCCATTCTATGCACACCAAATTTAGATCCAACAAGCTATGGCAACGCAGTACAACCAGCTTGTGCAATAATAAATGAATAGAGGGACATCCTTTATGCAGTCGATTGGGAGTCAGTCATCTCTTGTGTCGTGGAATCAAATTTCCTTGAGGAATCAAGAGGAATATCATTGATAGTTAGTGAATAAAAAATGAAGCAATTTCTTTGCGTTCAAATGCATGAAGCATCCATGAAATATAATCTATCATAACTGCTAGCTACGATGGTTCACACCTGGAACTGCTGATACTTACCGGCATAGATTCATTTGATAGGAGCAAGAGTGTAGTACCAGGACTCCCCGCAACTCGTCTGTCTACCCACCGTTTTTTAGCAAAGTACGCGATCTGCGCGCACGGGTCTTCCCCCCTGGCAGCAGGGAACCCACCATAAATTAATATGACTTTTTGAAACCGATCAAATAAATTGAAACAAGTCACTGCGACACGAAACCGATCAAACGATTTTGAAACCGATCAAAGAAATCGAAACAAGTCAATGCGACATGAAACCGATCAATCGATTTTGAAACCGATCAAAGAAATCGAAACAAGTCAATGGGACACAAAACCGATCAAGCGATTCGAAACGAGTCACGAAACCGATCAATCGATTTCGAAACCGATCAAAGAGTCACTGCGACACGAAACCGTTCAATTAATTGATTCAAAATGAGTGAGTCAGTCACGAAACAAATCCTCATTTCAAGAAAAGCAAAATCCTTCAAGATGACAAACGTCACACCGTCAGTACCGGGAGGATCGACTCACAAATATCGAACCTCACAAATATTAGCTTCAGACCTTGAAAAAATGGCGAGGAAGAAAAAGCTCCGACCTGGGAAAGGTGCCATAGCTGAGATCCTGACAAGATTCATCAAGCCAGAACAGCCAAATCCAGGCAGCAAACATCGCAGCATGGTCGTTCTGGAAGAAGAGGATAGAGACGACAATCAAAGAAAAATCTTTCGTTTCTACTATGACGGGGATGAGGAGAGGACTCTAATGTGGGCGAATCATCGCTACCTGAATGTGCTGAAGGAGGGTAACCATCTGCTCCTTTTTGGAGGACCTGGTGAACCAAGACCCCCAGAAAGTAAAGAGCCGAATATCAAATGGCAATTTTCAAAGGCCCGAAGGCTCCTAGTCGAAGCAGTGAATAAGGGGGAGATTGTATTCAACGAAGACGACGAGCCACAACAGGATTTGAAGGAGATTTATGCAAGCAAACCAGAATATTCAGAGTATTTGTTCGAAAAATTTGAGGAGCGATTGAACAATATTTGGATCAAGACTAAAGAGGACAAAAATCGCGCCAGCGACGATTTGGAATTTTTCGAGGAGTTCATCGATTGCAACGAAGTATCATACTTCAACAAGGATGGGACGGCTCAATGGCAGGGGTCGGAGGCGCAAGAGCAGGCACGGGTGGATATAGCGGCTAACGCTGTGTTTCACTTTGGATATCGGCATTTGTTCGAGAACAACACACTATACCATCTGAACTATACACATGAGCAGTTCAAGGCTTATGTGAGGCAAGAGATCAGCCGCAAGAAATACCTTCACACAGTTGAAGTGAGAGCTCTACAAAAAAGAGAAAAGGAGAACAAGAGACAGAGCAGGAAGTAGTATTAACCGTTTACGTAGTAGAATTGGTCAACATTTTCCATCTTGGATTTGTCAGCAGCAGTTCTAAACTATTTCAAGTGGCTTAGTAAATACCGGTACCGGTAGGTAGTGTTTTAGTGAAGTGGTCGTGGATGGATTGAACTTCAAGGAAGCATTTCGAACTCCGCACCTCTGGCTCCAGCAGGTTGCGTTCTGGTACTTGATTTACGAGAAAGCCACGTCGTTGCTGACTCGAAATTGAGCCGACGACCTTCCGATGCGGCCGGTTCTTGGAGTGCCTTCACAAAACCGAATGGTAACGCTTCGAAGTAACAAAGAGTACAATCCAACACGCAAAACTCCAACCAAAAAGGCTGGAAAGACTCCTCGAAAGCCCACTCCATCCAAGATCAGCAGTTCCAGCAAATCAGGTGAGAGCAGTAGAAGCAGGACATCGCATCAACACGTGTGGCCATTGCTCCTAGAGGACATCGAGGTCAGTGGAGGGATACAACGACTCGTCTTAGAGGGCGGTCAATCGCTGGAGAGGCTCCTCAAGGACGTTATCGCTGCTGACGAGGCCAACCCTACAGGTGGAAACAAGTTGGAACTCTACGGTCGGAAAGGTTCTGCCGAACGAGAAGTAATTCGCATGCAAGTGAATCGTTGGAAGAAACAAGACGCCAAGCAATACAGATCAACTCTGGAAAGATACAACATCCTGGCATTTGCAAACCGAACTATAAAGATTGAAGACAGCTTGATATCGGCACTTTCCACTGATTACGAAGGAGACGATTCGGATTCCTCCCTAGCTTCATCGCGGCCTCCAACCCTTGCACCTCCACAAACACAACGAAAGACAAAACAACGTCTAAAGTATCCTCCACCAGCCACCAAGCGTCCTCCTGCCCCAGTCTCCAAGTCTTTGCCTATCGATAAAGCAACACCAAGTACAACTCACCCCTTGTTGCCTCCCGAAAGCAGCAGTCCACAAGAACTCGAACAACTCGACGAGAGCAACAACACGATGTCCGACATGTCCGAGCCTAAGGTATATAATCCAGAAAACAAAGACCCAATGCACACTTGGCCTTTCGTGGTAGTCAAGATCAAAAGCTTGGAGGGTGTGGATGAACATCAAGGCGAGCTATATGATGGATTCATGATTCTCCTGAAGTTCAATCCTCATTTCACCTCATTGGAGGAAAACCGTCTTGCGAACGAGTTTTATCGTTGCACTCTCATCGAGGAGGGTCTGCTGAAATTTGAGATGCCGATGCAAAGCTATCTCCTGATGAAGCAGCCCGAGTGCTTCTCCATGGCAACTGTAGGTCATGCTAACTTTCAACTGAACCGCCAACAGGCATTGTTCACAGCAAACAAGAACTACCAGGACATGATCAACAAGAATGATGGCAAGGACCCAGTCCAGGAACTCTACCTGCAGTTTCCTAAGTCTATTACACTCTCAGCAAAGCATATCAACAGACAGACTGAAGAGGACCGAGAAGCCAAAATCGAATCGCTTACTACTCAGTTCGATTGGGGGAAAGAGGAACATTCAGCAACTTCTGGGGCCCATGGGCCTTTCTTTGTCAATCACGAATTTGTAGTCTTCTATGATATTGCCGACCTCAACGTTGATGCAACCAATAAGGCGAAAGCAGCCGCAAAGAAGAAGGCTGCAAAGGTTTCCAACGTTGCGAGTGCACTTTCAGGTTTGAAAATCACATAGTCAGCAAGTGATTTGTGTTTTGTTTGTCTAAGATACTAAACTCGAAATTTGTCTTTCTCTTGTCTGTACTACTAGAGCTGAAACTTGATTCTGGCGCTGCCACTATAGCGGGTTCTCCGATGGTTACTAGTCCCAAGTCCATTGATCTTTATCCATATGGAAAGCCTCAAACCGCTGATCCAACGACTGATGGCGCCATTGGGGTAGCCCCGTCGCCTCGCAAAGGGCTCCATCAAGAAGAAAGAAAGGACCAATATAAGCACCACGAAGGAAGACCGGATATTGTTGCAGAGACTTTGAAGAGGTTGAAAGAAAATCGAAGCGCGAAAGTTGCTGAGAATCGAAAACGGGGAGATTCTACTCCCTCTAGCCATGACAAGTCTCAAACCGCTGGTCCAAAGACTGCTGGTGCTAGTGGGGTAGCCTCGTCGTCTCACAAAGGGCCCCATCAAGAAGAGAGAAAGGACCAATATAAGCACCACAAAGGAAGACCAGATCTTGTTACTGATACTTTGAAGAGGTCAAAAACAAAGCGAGACAAGAAAGTTGCTGAGAATCGAAAACAACGAGCAGATGCTGATGCTGAGACTCATAAAGGAGTAGAGGACGACCGGTATGGAAGGAAGTTTCTGAATGATACCTTCAAGCCGACTCATGCTGAGAACTGTGCTACAAAGAATTGCATGTTTTGTCGGCAGCTGGATGGGGCATTTGCACAATCACTTGATGAAACAGAATCCTGTATGCGCAATACGTTGCAGGAAGGGCGTGAGCTTACAAGCCAATCAGTAGTTGTTCCTCCTAGAGAGCATCGAGACCAAGACAATGGTGGTGTTGCAGGACCACGAGGTGTTGAGGATGACGACGACCTACTTCAACATGCTGAGCCAGGAGATGAAGAGGATAAAGATGACTACTAGAATGACATAGAAAGTAAATACAATTACTCAGAACAGTTTCTATTTATCCCCTTCATACGTATCTACAACATCCTCGATCAAAATATCGTATAGTGACATCTCTCTTGTGATTCGATACTGAGCCAAGACGCAACAAGCCTCGAAAGCCGAAGCAAATCTATCTTCATTGTGTCGAAATCGCGTGTCCAAGATCTTATTTTGCTTCAACAGACTGTTGAAATTTTCGTGTCTCTTGAGAGCTCGACTCTTGAAGAGCCTGACACCAGCATTATCGTGTGCGTTGTAGGTGCTCATGTGCTTTGGCTCTCCGTTGTAGCCTCGATCTCCGATGGCAGATTGCTTTCGTTTCTTCAGCTCATCTAATAGTCCTTTTTCCCTAAAGATAGTAATGTCATTAGTCCCCGCTGGAAATGGACCACGCATCCAAAGCAAACGGTTGTCAACAAGTGAGATTCCCAACTCGTAATCCAAACCAGCTTTGTTATACTTGTGAGAATAGTATTTCGGATCTTGGCTCCACTCCTTATGCGAGGGCTCGTTGATCCAACAATGAATCCCATCCACTGTCATTACCCATCTTTTCCCCTGCTGGTAATCGTCTTCCCAAACGATCACCTGGTGCTTCAAGAGCTGAATTTTCTCAATAGTTCCCCAAGCTTTCTCTCTTACCCAATAGTTGGAGTAGTCGAACTGGGACGTCAGCTCTTCTTCGGTTGGATACTTTCGTAGATAGTACAGTCCAATCAAGAAATATTTGAGGTCAAGTATTCCTCCCTTGATCTTTGCGCCTGCAATGTTGGTAATTTGCATGTCGGTGTACACCCAAACTGCAGTGCAGGGAGAAACTCCGAAGTGGTGTTTGAAGCGGAAGACATTAGTCTTTCCCTTGGCACGCTTGATTCGCCTTTCGCTGTAGCCCTTCAGGGCGAGGCCAGATTCCATCATCTCCGATGGAGTAACGAGATGGTTGATGGGGGGCTCGTCCATGGAAGAGATTGATTTGATGAAAATGTGCGTAGAGGAAGGCTCTATCCGACATTCAAATACGTACTTGGGCTAACGCTGATGCGTATGATGTGGCTGCGTCAGTTTTAAAAAAATGATGTCACGAAACCGATCAAATTCGAAACCGATCAAATTCGAAACCGATCAAAAAAATTGAAACAGATCACTGCGACACGAAACCGATCAAACGATTTTGAAACCGATCAAAGAAATTGAAACAGATCACTGCGACATGAAACCGATCAATCGATTTTGAAACCGATCAAAGAAATCGAAACAAGTCACTGCGACACGAAACCGATCAAAACAATGTTTTTGCCACAGCCATGCCCCGACTCAGGGGTGTATTGAAAACTATTTAGTAATCAAAGAAGTCGGAGTTTGGAAATCCAGAAACGGTTGGTCGACAGACGAGTTGCGGGGGGTCCAGGTACCGGTATAAAAAAGGAAAAACAAGTACTTCCGAAGTTCTTTTGGCAAGCGGTCTGCCCTACCGCCGGTACATACATACTGTATGTATATATATCCTTTCTTGCGAATTTTCGACCATCGCATATTCAATATTTTATTATCATCATCCAAAAAACAGAACCCGAACTCGCATCTCATTATCTCATTCGAAGTACTGTATCTATCTCCTCTAGCGTTGTATACTCCGGTAGTTGGATGCTGTGAAGATATCTATATTACACTGTCACGTATCATCAGAAGTGTGAATCTCACACAGTCCCATCGATTCTTCGCTCGGTAACGCTCAACAAATACGGAACAAGAAGGATACAGTGAAGTTTCAAGTATTTCATTGGATACATTATAGTATGGCAAAGAAAAGGAATAAGGGTAAGAAGCGTGCGACGAAAAGGCTATATGACGCAGCCCGCAAAGCGCAGAAGTTGGATATCATCAGTGAAAATGGAGAACCTGATACCCGTGCTTATCAACAAAATGGTCGAGTCGAGCAAGAAATGAAAGAAGAAATTGCTTTCAATCCCGACGATGCTGATAACGCGAATGTCGATGCCACCGCAAGTATCAGTGATGTTGATTTGGAAAAAACCGTACGGACCTTACAAGTCCTGACTTCGACACCCCAGTCCATCGAAATGGTTCGGCATTCCAAACGATTCAAGGAACTCCGACGATTCTTGCACCCATTGGTCGTGCAACAGCTCAAGACCTATGACAAGGGAATTGATTATCGTCATCGAACGACGGTCCATTTGGCACATCAAGAGTATGGGGCCGCCTTGACATCGCTCCAGGCATGTGCTGATTTGGAACAAATTCCCAAGCAAGGAACTATACAACGATGGGTCCGAGAGGTGGATTCTTGCGAAGAAGGCAATCTGAAAATATCTCTCTTGAGTCGGATATTGACCATGGGTAGCAAAAACCAGCAGGATGATTCAAATTGTAAGACCCACAATATGATTCACCCAGCACAAGATTTAGAAGACGACTACGAAGGAATGAATAAGCACGATCCAAAGCTCGCCTTGTTACAAGCTCAGCAGGCGCAAAATCAACAACCGACTCAGAGCAAGCATCAGTCAGACTCGGTAAATAAAACTTCTACTGGGATTAC